CTCTGTCAAAGCCAAAGTGGCACTTAAAGAAACAACATCAAAGAAACAGAAGGCTGATTCCAATGGAGATAAGGTGAAGGTGCAGCCAAAAAAGGCAAAAAGAACCAACATGCTGAAAGTACTGAGGTGATGTCATCCAAGAAGGTTACAGGATTGTCTAAAGATAGTGGCTCCACCAAGAAGGTCACAGCATTGTCTGAGGTGGTGGCTGCACCAAATTAATGAGCTTTTGTGTGAACAGAGGAGGAGTTGCATAAAAATGCAAATGATAGTGATATCAAACTTATGGTGCCCACAAATGAAGAAGCATGCACCAATGAAGAAGAAAGCACTGGAGATGAGCTAAGTGTGGGTTTAAACTTATCAAAAAATGATATCAACTTATCAGACACTAACAGAATAACTCATGCAAGAGTGGAACTCACAAGTATATGCATTCTTTCATCTGATTCCCAAGATTAGTGAGCAGAATGGGTGACGTACACATAAATTCCGGTGCCAATGCAAGGGCTGCAAAGCCACTGTGAGGTGTTACCTCGAAAAGGGAGACACATGTTCAACAGGAAACCTGTGCAAACATATGTACTTGTATTGGGGAGAAAACATTTTGAAGGCAGCAGATAAAGCGAAAGATGTTGACAAGGTTCAGAAGAATATTGTTGGTAGTGTCCTATGAAACAGATCAATCACTGCATCATTTGAAAGAAAGGATAAAGAAAAAATCATGTACTCTCACTGTCAGCATACCTGCACTAAAACAAGATATAGTACACTCAATGGTGTCTTGAGCAGGGCCTAATATGCTTGACAGAGCAGAAATTGTGTGTTGGGTGTCAGAAAACCTGCGGCCATTTGAAATCATTTGAGATAGAGGATTTCAGTCATTAATGAAGACTGGACAATCAGAATATTACTTACTGTCCCCTTCAACTGTCTCACAAGATGTTCACCTCATTTTTGTAAGGACCTGTCAGCATATCACTAAAATGACAAGTGTAAGCTTCGTTACACAATTATAATTGATTTAAAGACTGAAAAACGAACCAGGAATATGAAGGAAAGTTAAACTTTAGTACTGATGGGTGGACCTCTCCAAACCATAGAGCCCTTATGGCAGTATTGGCACACCTGGAGTTCAAGGGTGAAGCACTATGCTTGCTGTTAGATATAATTGAAGTTCCAAAGGTAAAAATCACTTACACACATTAAAGTGCTGACACCAATATGGTGGTCATAATAGTCCTATACTAGGGAAGAACTTGCTCATGCATTTCAAGGTGTCCTGGAAGATTTTGGAGCACATGAAAAGATAAGCAAAGACTTGAAACACATAGGAAAATTCAGACTTACGAAAAAGCAGACTCTTTGTCTCACATGTGACAACACATCCAACAATGACACTATGGTTGATAAACTAGCTATCAACCTGCCAGATTTCAAAGGATGAGCAATGTATACCTGGTGCTTCCTGCACATGGTTAATTTCATGATGAAATCAGTAATCTGGAAGTTTGATGTAATGAAGAGGAAGTGGGATAATTCCAATGATGATGAGGCTGCATTGACGGCAGAGAAAAGTCAATCAAAGGAACAGCTTGAGGAATTGAGTAAGAATATTGAGCTGGAAGATTATGTAACCATCACAGAGATTGTAGGAAATGACGATAATACAGAGGACAACACCAAGGGTCTAGTGGATACAACTGTGCTGCTGATAAGGGATGAATAAGAAGAACTATGAAATACAATAGTTCTGGTCCAGTCAGTGCTAGTGAAGGTGCATTTATCACAACAATATTAAAAAACTCACAGCTGACTGCATATTAAATAGCTTACTGTAGGTATTTCTATGCGAAACCCATGAGTAGCACTCCGGCTGTCTATACACTCTATCCGCTGTGATACCCAACATCCCCTCTGTGGGTCCAGATATATGTTTAGGTCTGGGTCCAGGTATTGGCACCTATGGATTGACCCATGTCGTTGCCTACTTGTGATGATGGGTTCACAATTACCTATGGAGCTGGACCATAATAAGTGGCTAGAAATGTCTTGAAGTCCAGGTCTGCTATGTATTTCCACAGCTGGTCCTTGTGTGGCTTCAGAACCCATAATAAGTCCTTGAATAATTTCTAGTAACTGTTTCTGATTATCTCAATTGACATGGCTGGCAGTCTCTGTTTCATGCTCCACCATTCTTGCCAATATTTTTTTGTCAGATAGTTCTGTGGCTGTATTAGGAGCAGTGCATTCTGAGGTAGGAAGAAAATATTGAATACTTCCTTGCATTCCTGTCCACCAACTTTCTTCCACTAAACCTGGTGGAAGACCATGGCCAGGTTGATGTCCTTATAGACCTCATCAGTTACATGCATGTTCCTCTATGGCGAGTCTGCAGTGTGAGGCTGTCTTTGGCTCATTTCTCACATTTCCACATTTCTGCAATATGTCACTGCAAAACTGGTTCTAGTGTTTGGTCAATTGCACTAAGCAGTCTTCTTCAAGTTCAGGAGGAAAATCTACATATTCATCCCATGGCAGGTCCTTACCAGCATCCTGTTGTCCACCCCCCAAGTCAATGTCAAAGTCTGTAAGAAATGGTACTGGAACTGAATCATCTATTTAATGTCTTTTAGAGGATCCCTTCTGCACTGGCACTCATGCTCAAGGTGCCATTCCCCAAGGAATGAAAGCTGGAGGTTGATAATTTCTCTGCTGTGCATCATATTCTTGTTACGACTTGGATGGTATCTGTTGGCAACGCTCAAACAGAGCGTGTGTCGTCAACGGTCGAGGACGTCCTTGAGCTGGCCCAAGGTTAGGGGTTTTACTTGGCGAGGCTTCGGCAAGTAAGATTTGACGCCTATGTCCAAATCAGGTAGCTTATGTCAAGCGGGTGCGAGACGATAAGCTATATCGGCCAATGCTTACGACACCCGAAGGTTAATCGTAAGATCGTCGTTAATTAGAAGGACAGAAGTCCAACTAGTTAACAGGGGCTTTGCTCGTTGACAAAGTCGATGAGTAAAGATCGAGACTATAGGCTTATCCGCGAAGAGCAGATAAGAAGATAGAATATAGACTGCTGGCGAGGCAGAAAGGATCACTCTGGTGAGAGTAGGAGGTCAAGAACCAAGTAGATTCAAGTTAGGGAATATGTTACATGGTAGCGAGTTTATAGAGGACAGGAAGCGTATTAGTGGATGGATAACTCGTACTACCAAGAGAAGTAAACGGTAAAGGGTATGACCATAAAAGGAAGGCACGTTCGAGGTGAGACACAGGGTGAGTCCTGAACGTGCGGATAAGAAAGTGAGTCAAAGATCAGAATAAGAAGTGAAACGCGCAGGGGCACGATCATGCAGCTGCGGAGCTAAGTATAAGTCGCATGTGCGACTGCGCACCGAGTCAGAGATCAAGAAAGGGAAAAGGGCAAAGGGGATGTGTCGTGCATCATATCATAGGTTACCGTCCGGACGGTAAGGGCAAGGGGACTGTCCACAGGATCAGTCAGGCGGTGGAACGGAGCATGGGTATGCTTCATCAGCGAAAGGATCTGGCCAGATGTACTGGCTCTGCTGAAGCGACAGGTAGAGGGCGAAGGGGAATGTGAGGATGACAAGGATAACAAGGGTGAGGTCGGGGTAAGGGTATGATGTGAGGGCTGATACGAGAAGGATGAGGAGAAAAATGGTAGGGGCCCAAGCGTCTAGATGTTCTTGTAACAATTCTAACCTAAACACATACTTGAAAGTAGTGTTATGCATTATAGGACCTTGTTGCATTTAAGGAACACCAGCTGTGGGTGGTCAGACAATATTTTGGAAAAAAATATGCTCCAAAGGCACTGAATGGCAAGCCATCAACACACCGGACCAGCTCTGTCCTGGGACAGATGTGCAACATGTCATTTCCATAATCCTGTGTCAAAGGCAGAACTATGCACATAATCTCACATGATGCACTACCATCATCTGGCCAGCAGTGCAGTCCATTAATAAGCCAGTAAATACTAGCTGACAGAATAAAAGCATCAGGTCCTACTTGAAGTGCACTGCTAGCTGAATTTTGCAAAAACAATATGTATGTCAATCCTAGCAGATGAACTAGTCGTCATTGCCTATAGATAGATATTTCTATATCAGTATAATCTATTTTACCAGCCAACAAACCAGGCTATTCCTCCCACATGGGATTGTAGCCAATCAAAACACTCAATTGAAAGTCACTCACCACCAATCCTTGCATTCAAATGCCAAGATGTTGTGTTTTATCAACATCTATGGAAAGTCCAGGGCTCTGCTGGTAGTATACTTGATTAGAAGTCTGAGCTCAATGTGAGCAGCATAGTTATGGTTGTCTTTGGCATCAAAATACAAATTATAAATCCTCTGCATATATTCAATGTTACCATTATGCAACAGCTGTTTGTCACTCATTGTCTGTTAATTGTATAAGCTTGGATATACACTAGGTCTTCATCAGTCACTACAAATGTGCCAAAGAATCCAGAGACATAAAGCAAACCAGCAGAAATATCCCTATAATACTGGTGTAACAGAATTTTAACATAGCTGCTAGCTTAAGTAAAGGTCAAGGATGTGAAGTGTTTGATCAAGTCACTGTAACAGTCTGTATGTCATTGATATGAGAAGCCTGGCTTGGATAGTTCCAGTCCTACATCTATCCAGCAGTGTTCTTCCTCATGCAAGGATGGATCCAAAACATCTATCATGTCATATATGACTTCCATTGCTTGTTCTTTATCTCCTAGAACATGTTGGTTTGCCTCCTTAACACCCTGGACCTGTATTATAAATAAAATGTCTCTTATCCAGGGATGCTTTGTAGCCAAAAACCTGGTGAGGTCATGTACAAAGTTAGGTATTAACTTATCTGAGAAAGGATAAATTAAGTGCAGATATGACTTTTGTGTGAAGGTCTATCAAGTAAACAAAAATCATAAAACTAAGCTATGGAAGTTGTAAATCCAGAATACTCTACAAGGACTCATGAGTAAAGTGAGCTATAGAAATTCTCTGTCCATCAAAAAATGCTTTAATAGCATGAGGGAGTATATGTCCATAAAGTAAAATAATGGTACTAGACTCATACCACAGCCTAAGATTGAGACGAGGTATAAAAAGATGATCACTCTTGAAAGATCCTAAAGCCACTAAGGCTACCAAACACTAGAGAGGATCAGTACTTTCCAGATGCAGCGGTGTTTGCCTATCAAACTAGATCGACCTACTCTCCCATAGGAGTCTATTTATGGCTGATCAGGCTTTGACATCTACATACTTATTGTGGAGAGCAACAGCAAACTTAGTCATAGCCAAGAATTGGGGCAGGTCTATGAATTCCAAAAAAACATTGAGTCTCAAATTTAAAAGCTCAAGATTGGATACCAGCTAGGTGGAGAGAGAAAATTGTTGGCCACTGGAAATAATATCAGTGAAATGATAGGGTCCTTTTTCTATATAAAACAGAGCATTATATAAATATCAGAATGATTATAGTGTACCTATCTGTTGGGCCACAGTGTACCAAGCCAAAACTAACTTAACATTACCACTGAGCTGGGCCTCCACTATGTGATAGGATTTCTCTTGGTTTCATCCTTTTTGGTCCACCCACTTTTGCTCTGGACATTGTCTGAGTAATCTCTCCTCATTACCTCCCTGCTCTTGACATTGCCTGAGCACCTCCTCTCCATCTTCTGAGCATCCCCACTCATTGTATCTTACCTTAGATAATATCTGAGTGCACTACCTGCACTTCCCTCCCTATTCTGTATTTCATCCGAGTAGTCTAAACCCACATCCATACCCACTCCAGACAACTGTCTGATAGTTACAGACTAGAAAGTACATATGTGCTCTGGATCAATATCCGCCAGATCCATCATTTGTAGAACCAAAACCCACCAACCTCTGGTCTTCAGATTTCATTAATTATTTTCCCTCAAAATCTAGTGTCTGTATTCAGTAAAGGGGTGCAGTGCATGAGCTGAAGCTAAGCCCTTTCAGATATGTCTATCATAAGAATATTCTGTTCCCAGTTCTTAACATGACCCCTAAACTTAGGTAAGCCCAAGGATGTTCTCAACTGTTGACAATACAGACTATGCAAGTCCATAATACTATTCAGAAGAACCTCTCCTCCTTATGTTTGTTCTGTCCATCTGTCCAGTTCTTAACAGTTGGACAGAGCAAGCTCTTATTGATAATAAGAGAAAAATAGCAGATGTAAATAAAGCTTGGACTGGATACATATAGGTATGGAGATAGGTGAATGGTCACATAAAGGAAAAGTATAAATGATGTAGGAAGAGTTTGGTGGAGGAAAAGTGAGCTTCAGTGGTGAAAGACAGTGTTGGCTGAAGGGCAAAAACAAGGGGTGTCTATTGTTTACAATTTGAGACATGCCAGAAATGTGCAAATTGGACAACCCTTGATTTGCACATTTCTGGCATGTCTCACAATGTGCAAAAGAAAAGCTCCATGTCACACATTTCTAGCATATCTCAAAATGTGCAAATCAAGGGATGTCTATTATGCACATTTTGACAAATGCTAGAGATGTGAAAACAGTGGGGTTCATTTTGCACATTTCTGGCATTTCTCAAAATGTAAAACAAGGGGTGTCTATTTTATACATTTTGAGAAATGTCACAAATGTGCAATTTAATAGGTGTCCATATTGCACACATTTTGATGAATGCTAGAAATAAGAAAACAGGAGTGTCGATTTTGCACATTTCTGACATTTTTGGCATTTCTCAAAATGTGTGAATCAAGAGGTGTCCATTTTGCACATTTGAGCTAGGCATAACCTTGGGCTAACCCTATCCTATTTAACAAAATGTGCTTAGAAATAACACCTACCGGCCTCTCATGAAAATGAAATTTCTTAGTAGGTTAGCCTCCATAACAAAAGCAGCAGGCTGTGAACCTTTACAGGGACATAGGATCTGTGTCAGATCCACCTTAGAATACCTGCTATGAAACATACCTTTTGATGTAGTCAAAGTGAAAGGCCAATGGATGAGTGACATGTTCCTTGTGTATCTGCAGAAACATACTCAAATCATAGCCCCATACATGCAAGCTATTCCCACCCTGCATGACCAATTCCTTCAATGCACCATATCACCGATATGCTAGGATGTAACTCAAGACCAGAATCTTAATATCTTATATGTGAGTGCCTTGTCTGCTTCCTACAATTTGGGAATCTAAGTCTTGCTCAATGTGTCACCGAACTTCTGATATCTAGGAATCATAGCTCAACTCTCTCTTAGGCTAGATCCTTTTCCCTGAGGCCAGAAAGTGCTGCACACCTTCGCCTAAAAACCCATCACCAATCCTTACCTCCAATGTTCACTTCTCATAGTCAGTAATTAATAAACTTTGTTCTTGCTCATAGACCGCATTGAAGTGAACCTCAAAGAACACTGTACCTGTCCAAAAACATGATGTCACTGCAAGACTCATTCTGTGCCAATATTGAACTGATTCTGATACTACGACTACAAACAATGACAACAGACATCTACAGTCATCCACTGTAGTGATGGATGGATCCGGTTTGGTCCAGTTCTCTGGCAAATTCTTTGAACCGAGAACCGAACTATAGATTCAGTTCTCTCCACAAACAGAACCGTGGACTGGACCATCGGTTCAGTCCAATAACAGTCCAGTTCCAGTTCATCAAAAGTCCAAACCCTGAACCGGATCATCCAAATCTAAGCCCCAAAAATATCATTTTGGCCAAGATGTAGAGTAGTGCAAGATAGTAGCTATACAACAAAGAGAAAATAAAACTACTTGCTATCTTCATCTGCATCATCATGGAGGGCAGCAATCAGTGCATCCAAGTGCTGCTCGGCATCACTGGCAGCGGAGATATGACCATTGTGGTACGCACTCTTCAACAACTGCAAGCTTTCAAACACGTCTGTTTTGAGACAGTTCCGTCGTTTGGTTCCCATCAATCCGCCACTTGAAAAGGCACATTCTGAGGGTGTACCAGAGCCTTGTATGGGCAAGTAGTCCCTGGCCATGCGTGAAAGAGTCGGGTACTGTGACTGGAGGTGCTGACAAATTTTCGTTAGTCAACTTGTATGCTTGTGATAGCATAAACACTCACCCCCCACGACATCATCAGTCTGCTTGAGAGGACTTCCAAGATAAGCTGTAAGTTCAGCGCAAGGGTTCAGCTTGGTGCGATCTGATGCGAGACATGCTTGCACAGCTGCAAGCACCCATGAACAGCCATACTGACCATGCAAGTCAGATGTCCCTTGTTCGTTGTCAGCCTCTACAGCAACAGAGGTTGGGGCCACATCACGGTAGTACTCATTGAACTATGGATACACTAATCAGCCTGTGACAACCATGTGAGGAAAAAAATTACCACTTGTTTGAGCCTATCAAGGCCAACATCGAACAACTCCTTGTCCCACTGATGTTTGGCATATGCAATCTTGACATTGGGGTCGAGTGCTTCAAAGCCAGTAACTCATCAGTATCATCATAAGTGAAGAGGTATGAACATACCAAGGCAAATAAAATAAATGTCAGTATCCTTTGTTTTGTGATACCACTTTGCGACATTTTCCAAAGTCTTTTGAATGGCATCACTGACTTTGGAAAATTGGGAGCTTGGCCATGTTTTCCCATGACTTGTGTAAAAATTCGAGGGCAGGGATTGTGCGCCAAATGGAAGGGTCACGTGAGCTAGAAAATGTTTGCGTAGCACTTGCTGGTTCCTACCATTGTTGTCAGTGCATGAAGAATATAAAAATGTAGCTAGTCGTAATGACAAACCTGTAGAACCTTGTGCATTAACCTTAGCTTTTCCCAGTCCCTTTTGTCGAGTCAAAAATCTGCATAGGACTTCCCTTTGAGGTTCAGAACATCTTCTCTATCATCAGCAAGCTCAACAAACAGATTAACGCCCTAGCAAGATGTCACAATTAGCTTTAAGTTTAAAAACATAGTATATGAGAGAGACATACCTTCTGAAGCAAAAGCATGCATGAGATGCAACTATGCATTGAAGCCCAGCGTGTCCGCACCCACTGCATCAGCTCAAGGATAGGAACATCTGCCTGCTTGCAACATTGAGTGAAAAAAGTGTGAGCCTGCGGTGATGCGCAAATCTGTAATGTGTATTAGTCAGTAGAAACAAGGGCTGCAAGATAGCATACCTGCTTCACCAACGCTAGTGCCTTTCCGATTGTGTCCCCAACTCCAAATTCCTCGTCATTGTTGTCATCCTCCTCCTGGTCACCCTTGACATCAACATCCTCCAAGTCAGCCTCTAAAGCATCCAGATCGACATCTTTACCTTCCAGCTGAGCAAGTTTGAATGCCACCTTGATCTTTTTGAGAAGTTGGTGAGCTGATGTTGGCGAGACAGTAGTGACAAAACACCTGGCAGTGAGGTTGATGGTATGTTCCATACATCTGTTCAAACAGTGAGATGTGCAAACATATAGATGTGTATCACGGTGAACATACCTGACATGACCTTGAACAGGATCCCACATTGTCGCACCAGCATCCTTATCAGCGTTGATGGTATCAGCAAAGGCGGCAAGGCACATGTCATTACTCAATGCATTATCACAAGTAAACCAGCCAACCTGGTTGTTATTTAGTATCACATAGATTAAAAACAAATTGTTACGACTTGGATGGTATCTGTTGGCGACGCTCAAACAGAGCGTGTGTCGTCAACGGTCGAGGACGTCCTTGGGCTAGCCCAAGGTTAGGGGTCTTACTTGGCGAGGCTTCGGCAAGTAAGATTTGACGCCTATGTCCAAATCGGGTAGCTTATGTCAAGCGGGTGCGAGACGATAAGCTATATCGGCCAATGCTTACGACACCCGAAGGTTAATCGTAAGATCGTCGTTAATTAGAAGGACAGAAGTCCAACTAGTTAACAGGGGCTTTGCTCGTTGACAAAGTCGATGAGTAAAGATCGAGACTATAGGCTTATCCGCGAAGAGCAGATAAGAAGATAGAATATAGACTGCTGGCGAGGCAGAAAGGATCACTCTGGTGAGAGTAGGAGGTCAAGAACCAAGTAGATTCAAGTTAGGGAATATGTTACATGGTAGCGAGTTTATAGAGGACAGGAAGCGTATTAGTGGATGATAACTCGTACTACCAAGAGAAGTAAACGGTAAAGGGTATGACCATAAAAGGAAGGCACGTTCGAGGTGAGACACGGGTGAGTCCTGAACGTGCGGATAAGAAAGTGAGTCAAAGATCAGAATAAGAAGTGAAACGCGCAGGGGCACGATCATGCAGCTGCGGAGCTAAGTATAAGTCGCATGTGCGACTGCGCACCGAGTCAGAGATCAAGAAAGGGAAAAGGGCAAAGGGGATGCGTCGTGCATCATATCATAGGTTACCGTCCGGACGGTAAGGGCAAGGGGACTGTCCACAGGATCAGTCAGGTGGTGGAACGGAGCATGGGTATGCTTCGTCAGCGAAAGGATCTGGCCAGATGTACTGGCTCTGCTGAAGCGACAGGTAGAGGGCGAAGGGGAATGTGAGGATGACAAGGATAACAAGGGTGAGGTCGGGGTAAGGGTATGATGTGAGGGCTGATACGAGAAGGATGAGGAGAAAAATGGTAGGGGCCCAAGCGTCTAGATGTTCTTGTAACATTGCCGGGGTCGGATGTTCAAGCGTCGAATGTGAATGAAACCTTTCCAGGTAGGTCCTGCAGCGAGTACACTTTAAGATGGTAGATATCACAAAGAGAAAAGAACAACACCCACCTTGAGAATGTCTTGCAGACGTGCTTCTGTAGCTGCTGCTTTCTTCATGATTTCCTGGCGAACAGCCTTATGGTGCGGAATGTCGTTGTCGGACAAAGATGGTCGGAGGTAAGTTAGTAGGCAATGGAATGGGCCTTTTTCCACAAGTTGGAATGCCTTGTCCTCACACACAATCAACTCCACGACATAGTTGAGAAGGCCGCTGGTTGTAAAAGCAGGTGCGCATGGCTGATGGATTACGATCCCATCAAGACTTCATTGACTGAAATAAATGTAAGTCAATGAAGTCAAATGTTAGTGCAAACGGGATCAAACATACCTGTTGAGGGTTTCAGTCGTATCAGACTTTGGACACGCCCTTTTGTTCAAGGGAATGTCCAATTTCTTGCAATTTTCTTCATAAATCTTGATATGGTCGGGATGCCTGTATTCTGTCGTTAGCGTGAATACATTGATCACTGATGCAGAAAACTTGCCTTGAGATATGAGTACAGAGGGTTGACATGCTGCTCTTGAAGATGCATTGTCTAGCGGCAACACCATTCTTTCTAGTGAATGCAGTTTTAGTGTTAGTATTTCAAACAAAAATTGGAGGCTTACTGGCAGACTGTGCACACATGTCCTGACTCAACAAGCCCAGTATGTGGGTCTACATAATCATCTTTCTTGATGAAGATGGTACGAACATCCGTGGTTCATTCAGCCCTAGGACGGCAAGTTGAACCCTAGTTTGTACATGAGAAAACTGTGGACAAAAGTAATGCTAGTGACTCACCTTATGGTCTGCATCTCCCATAGCTTTTGTGGATGCATATTCATGCTCGACATCATCCTCAGCTTCGGTGTCACCACCTACTGCATCAAGATCAGTACCACCAATATCTACATCACCGTCGTATTCTCCATCACGATTGGAAGTAGTAGGGCTTGCAATAATCTTGCGTGCGACCCATCATCTGGTAAGATCATTGGCAGCTTTTCATTTACCTTGCGCAGTACTGGATGATGCAACATTGTCAGGATCGAGAATCCTTGTTGGAGGGCGAGGTGCGCAAGTAGAACGATGAGCACCAGCTATGATAGCCGCAGGGGGAGCAGCACCAGTGAAGAATGGGTGGATTGTTGATGAGGAGGGGATAGGCTGATCATCATCTGCATCGTTGTACCATACCATTTCGGACACATCTTTCAGCTTGCTGTTTGGGCCAACAGCACTGTCAGACATCATGAGATGTGTACAGTCAATGAGAAGTCAGTTTGCCAGCTAATATACCTTGTACGTCAAATAGTGCACACAGGTTATGGAAATGGAGGCGATGGGTTCAAGCCTGTATCATTTGATGATAGGTCAGGAAATGTCTGTATAATTGCAACAAATTACATGAGTCGCCAATTGAGAATCGAACATAACTTGATGGAGTGATTCTGAAACATTGTGTCATCAAGGATGTGTGCTGCTGATTGATGGTAAAGACTGACGAGCAAAATAAGTTGAGCTTGTTACCGCAGTCAACAGAGTGTCAAGCAAATCGAACATCACTTGATTGAGTGATTCTGAAACATTGTGTCATCAAGGGGATACAACTAATATTAGACTACAACATACTGCTTTCAGATATTCTCTTCCGGTCTGATATATCTCTGTGGTTCAAACCTGTTCGGACCTGTTCGAACAGGTTCAGCAATTCCTACAGGTCATTGAACCAAGAACTGGACTGACGGTTTGGTTCCTCTCATTGCCCAAACTTTGGACTGGACCTCGGTCAAGTTCATAATGGTTCAAGTTTGAACCACGGTCCTGAACTGAACTCGGCCACCACTATCCACTGACCAATGATACATTTTGACTCTCCTAAGTCAGTCTTACATATCACTTCATTTCAATATATCTCAGATCATACTACATGTCCATAGCTTTTGATTCATGTAAAAAAATATTATACTACATGGAAAAATAATTGTGTGGTGGGTCAGCAATTCATCAGAATCACATGACCTGGTTTACTCTGAAACTTTTGCAACCTGCTCACAAGGATAAAACAGAATCATTGGGTGAAAATTGAACTCAGACTATGTAGAAACATCCTACAATCCAAATGAGTCTGCAGCCTTTTCAGACTTGTATTTCATTAAATATGGCTCCTTCAGAGCATAGTATATTATGTTACCTTGTTCACACCCTGAAATAGAAGTCATGCTGCAAAGCCTTATCTGATATACAAGTTCTAGTATTAAAAATTGATCCTGACAACCTTGCAGTTCTATTGTAACTTACCCACCTACTAGACATGCCTGAACGAGCAAAATCAGACATCAAAAAACAGCAGATTGCTCAAGAGGCCCATGATGGTATCATGGCTTGTGCTGTTGCAGCATATCAGATTAAGCTAGCCAAAGGGCCTCATCAGCAACAACAAGGTGGTCAAACTATTTGCTCCGACTTTCAACAACTTGATTACAATGAGACAGGTAAGAGTGTCAAGCTTAGCCATAGCACACGCATCAGACTTGTAGCTGGTGGAATGACCAAAGCACAGTCAAATGCTTGACTTGCATGGCTTACAGACAAAGAAACAAATGTTGTCATTAACTATATAATAGAGATGGGGAACCATGGATTTTCACTGAGTCATAGGCAGCTCAAAGAGCATGTTGATGAAATTTGCTGTACTCAGTCAGGGACATCTTTCCCAGAGAAGGGGGTTGGGATCAACTAGACACATTGCTTTATTGAAAAACACTCTGACCACATCAAAGTATCATGTGCACATCTGCTCAAGTCAAAATGTGGACATGCTGTTAAGTTCTAGTGATGTTCCAGTCCAGCTTGGGCTCAAAGCCGCGGCTTAGGCTCGGCTTGGAGCAGCTCAAGCTTAGGAAAATTAGAGCCTGAGCTATGAGCCCAAGCTAGGCCCAAGCTGGAGGCTTGAGCCCAACAGGCTGCAGCTCAGTAGGCCAATGTAGAAAGCTGATTCCCACTGGGCTCAGCAGAAATTGTACTACCTAGACAACAAATATTTAGGTAGATCTTAGCACGACCTAGTCTACTATACTTGCAGAGCAAGTGCGTTCGATCATATAGGGGTAGCTGTTTGGTATTAGTTTTGATAGTTAGTTATCAATAATAGGAAGATAATCCGAAGCTAAGAACTACTTGTCTGAAGGGAAACTGTCGGATCCAAAAATATCGGAGTTGGGTTGGGCGTCAGACTATGTGTCGGACTGTCGGGAATGTGTCGGACAATAAAGGAATGTGTCGGAAGTGTGTCGGATTGTCGGTCAAATGAATGTCGGATGTGTCGGAATGTTTCGGAGGAAAAGAGCGGATAGATATTTCGCAATACAATAAAGTACTACTAATATCCAATGACTTCCATCCTACTACTGAGTAGGGAAAAGTAAGTAATGCAATAGGTAGGAAGTACTAGATATTAAATAGTACTATGTAGAAATTCGGACTGCTATAGGCGAGAGTAGTAGCGATATTTCGGGTCCGAAATCCTATGTAATAGGACATGTGGTACTGCGGACCATGAGAAAACATGTAATAACACTGTATACAATGCTTAGCAAGTCAAAAGGAGTAAATGCGCACCTAGTGGGGATAGATGCGACTGGACAGGACATAGGGAGGACTGGTCCGATGCGCAGGAATGTCAGGTCGGGATCGGACATGCGTCAGACTGTCGGAAAGTGCGTCAGGTCGGGATCGGACTGTCAGACTCAGGTCGGGGTAGTCGGAAGTGCGTTGGACAGATACTGTTTGACATTAGTATCAAAATAGCTGGTTCCAAGCCCAGCGCCGCGACCATTGTTACACCGATGTCACATGGCAGGTAGTTACAGAGGATTAGGCAGGTTGGGGGTGGGCAGCACACCTTGTTTGTCTTTTTGATGACTTTCTTTCACTCATTCCTCTTCTGCTTTCTCTTTTCCCCAGCACCTTCCTTTCTCCTTCACCAAAATGTCGTCCACATTCACCTTAGCCACACCAGCAAATGTTGGCGTGTGCTGGGCACATGCACTAGATGCTGGTTGTTGCTGGAGCAGGGTAGTGGTTGTGGCAGGTGGTGGTGGACCATGGTGTTGATCAAATATGATCATGCACTAGAAGATTGGATGTATAAATAATAATTGAACGAAAAGTGTCAGGTGCGGAAACAGCAGCATGATCCAGTTAAGACCAGACCTTGGTGTTTACAAGCAAACATCACCAAGGCCTCCGTAATGGCCCTGGTATCCACAAACTCACCTATGATTTCAACTACTATCTACATCATATGACCCATTGATCGAGTGTTTGACCATCAGGTGTGGCTACCTGTGTCTGAAGGTAGGATACTGTAGTATTTCACTTGATTCAACACTACATGTGACATGTGACACAATATATCATTTTGTCACTTCGACATTTAAGTATGCAACACGTGACAGCACTGAATTTTCGACAGCATCAAGAATTCAACAGGTCAGGTTGACTATGAACACTGGACCATCTGATTGAAATGATTAATGCACCTCAAGTGAAAAATTTTGATTTGAGTCACAATATTAACATTCGACAAACCCAGGTGTGACCCATGACATGCTACAAATTTCGACCAGACAAGTTGGCATGTGACATGTGACAGTCGAATCAAGTGAAATACTACAGTATATTGTAGGCAGGAGAGACCTAGATGAGAAAGAACCATAAATTAATAATGGGAGTGCATAGCGGATCAAAACACTGGTGACTTGGAAGATACTAATTAGTACACTGGTAAGCCATGGCTTGAGCCACCGGCTTAGGCTTTCTAAAATTGAAGCCCAGGCCCAAGCCTTGGGCAGGTCATGACCTGGGCCTGGGCTCGGCTTGGCTTATTTAGGCCTTGCTTTGGCTGGCCCAGGGCTTGAAGCCAGGCCGGAACATCACTAACATTGCCAGTGGCCGGTGGATAGCTGTATACTTCAGATGAACCAGATTGTCATCCAGGTCCTGCAAAGATTACAACTTCTCAAGCTTAGAGAGATTGACATAGAGAGTCAATTAATCAACTTGAAATTGACCATAAATTTAACACAACACTCAAGGGGGTAGCAGAATAAGGAATTCGAACACCAACCTACCTAGTTGCACTTGTTTGTTTGCTTTCGGGGTCTCAGATTTGACTTTTTGTCTATCTTTTTGTTTTTCGTATGTTTGAACATGATGTATTAAGAGAATATCTTTCTATAGTATAAATGAACATATTTTGACGAGCATGAGGAATACTCGCCCATGAAGAAGTGGCTGCAGGAAGTGATGCAATTTTTACACCAAAGATCTAGGGGGAGAATTACTGCATTTGGTCATCCGCGGTCTGGCAAACAATGCATCTGTCACGTCCATCTGATGTGTCGTCCCGGACCTATGTATGACACTGCATGACCCTCCAGTCCCTCTTTTTACTACAATACATTGCATAATAAGGTGTTACACAGCACCTGCCAGTGGCCACTGGATGGCTTCTCCAACTCTGACTTTGAGCTTAGCTCTGATTCCGAGCCTACCCCCGAGGATGGAACCACTCTCGCACATTACAATCCAGAGCCTGCACCTGCCGAAATTCTTTATGTCCTGGATTATGACTCAGAGGTGGATATGACAATAGAGGACGACTGCCAATTTGAATCAGTGTTCGAGTCAGAAGAATGATTGACCCATGTGGATTTTGCAGACAGTCAGGCCATCCGGTGAAACTTGTCAAGCAAAAAAGAACATTTCAGCCACAATCCTCATGTCCCCAGGCAATATCGTTCAGTCTTGGGGCAGCCACAAACAGCTCAAAGGCATCCCCATCCACAAATGCACCAATTTGGTGTCAACTATGCCCAGTGTCATCAGGTGATCGCGCCGTCTTCTGGAAATACAATGTTCACCAACATGTCACCAGTTCTCATGACACTTCATATGAATCCCTTCCGGCTGGCTTCACGAAAGAAATTGAAATTTCACAGCTTGAAAAGGAATGCCTCGGGATACCACTGGATTTGATTGACAACAGTGTTCAGGATGACTTGAATGCAACTGCTGTGGCTAGTACTAGTCAAAACTCGTTAACGAAGTGCAGGCGTCAAAACTTCAAGGCAACACTGGTTCCAAGCGCTCAAAGAAGGTTTAAATTTTAAATTTGATTCACGCACATACAGTACATCAAAGCTACTCCTACTATTACCTTAGTACTACAGTGTACGAAGCACTAGAGTGCCGTCTCTATAGGGAGCTTAATTGTACGAATTTTTTTGCTCAATGAAAATTCTACAAGGAAACAAGCAAAAATAAGCAATTTTTCGAAATTTCCCATTTTGTTTCAAATTTTTCCGTCGGAAAAAATTTACCCCATGCTTGTTACGACTTGGATGGTATCTGTTGGCGACGCTCAAACAGAGCTTGTGTCGTCAACGGTCTGTGGACGTCCTTGGGCTAGCCCAAGGTTAGGGGTCGTACTTGGCGTATCTTCGGCAAGTACAATTTGACGCCTATGTCCAAATCGGGTAGCTTATGTCACGCGGGTGCGAGACGATAAGCTAAATCGGCCTAGGCTTACGACACCCGAAGGTTAATCGTAAGGATCGTCGTTAATTAGAAGGACGGAAGTCCGACTAGTTAACAGGGGCTCTGCTCGTCGATGAAGTCGGTGAGCAAAGGTCGAGACTATAGGCTTATCCGCGAGGAGCAGATAAGAAGATAGAATATAGACTGCTGGCGAGGCAGAAGGATCACTCTGGTGAGAGTAGGAGGTCAAGAACCAAGTAGATTCAAGTTAGGGAATATGGTACATGGTAGCGAGTTTATATAGAGGACAGGGGACGTATTAGTGGATGATAACTCGTACTACCGGGAGAGGCAATCGGTAAAGGGTAAGACCATAATAGGAAGGCACGTTCGATCTAGGTAGAACGTGCTGGATAAGAAAATGAGTCAAAGATCAGAATGAGAAGTGAAACACGCAGGGGCACGATCGTGCAACTGCGGATCTAAGTATAAGTCGCATGTGCGACTGCGCATCGAGTCAGAGATCAAGAAGGGAAAAATAGGGCAAAGGGGATGCGTCATGCATCATATCATAGGTTACCGTCCAGACGGTAGGGGACTATCCGCAGGATCAGTCAGGTGGTGAAACGGAGCATGGGTATGCTTCGTCAGCGAAAGGATCCGGCCAAATGTACTGGCTTTGCTGAAGCGACAGGTAGAGGGCGAAAGGGAATGCGAGGATGACGAGGATGACAAGGGTAAGGTCGGGGTAAGGGTATGATGTGAGGGCTGATACGAGGAGGATCAGGAGAAAAATAGTAGGGGCCCAAGCATCTAGATGTTCTTGTAACAATGCTCCATATACCCTGTTCATCTCCCCGAAACCCTGTTCATATTACCATATGCCTCCTGTGACAAAGAAAGCTGCTCAAGCAAAGAAGCAACGAGCCGACTGTCGTAAATTCAGCTCTTTGCCATCACCTCAACCAGAACAGGGGTCAGACTCAGAGTATGAGCCTGGCTTTAGTGGGGAGAGCGAGGTTGAGGCAGATGATATATCTGGGTCCATTGTTGCCCTACAGAGCCTCTATGGCATGTTTTTACCTGCAAATCTTCGAGCCAAGGACAATAATTTAACTGGGTCTGATGGAGAACCACAGGTGAATGTCTCCGAATTTCTATTATCTATAGAACGTCAGCAATGCTTACCATCAAGCCTGGTGTCAGCGAAAGAAGCAGAAAATTGTAAATAGGCCAGCTGTTTACCGGGGAAACTCTCGGACATCTCAATGGAGGAAGAAGTCCTCATGGGACAGAGCATCCAGTGGAGCAAAGACAATAGACACATTTTTTGTGAAGGTTCGGATGATAACATAAGTGACTTCTGAGACTTACATCAAGTTAATTAGAGAGATATGACTCTCATGTCTGAAAAGGAGCAGTTTGTTGCCAAGGAAGTGGAGCCTATACAGCAAGATCCAGCACTCGAATATTCCCTGGAAATGGGTTTTGACCTAATGGAATACAGCGTGTCATTACTCCAAGACGAGCTGAACAGTATCATATCAATTCCATGGAATGAAGAATTTGATCCAGATGAATACCTTGAGGTAAGCAATGAAATAATCTCGCTGCTTTAATAGGCTCATTCCACGTACACATAAGGCCATTCACGATGGCGATGAGCTGGAAATGGAAAATTTGGACCTGACATTTGGATCAGAAGACGTGAATGACATACATCATGAGAGTCTGCTGGCGTCCATGGCCCAAGAGTGGCTGAAGGATGATCATGATGATGTCGAAACTGCGCTGGATATGGACATATTTAAGATTGCGGATGCCTGCCTTCGGACAGTCAAAAACCTGCGGACAAAGAAATCATTGAAGATGATTACTCAACTTACCGCAGTGACACAATATGTCAAACTCCGAGAGCAGTATCGCCATCATCCAAAGTGTAAAACTCCATGCTTGAGTGCAAGTCTTGCAATTGCACGACGGATGGGTAAGGGAAAGAAGGGCACTGGAGCACGAGAGGGAGGAAGATTTGCACGTCAAATTCGCAGGAATGAACTCTACCTTCTGCAACATCACTGTCTTCCTTCGTCAAAGCAAAGTAATCACTGTGGACAATACACATTGTTGGATAACGAGGCAGTTGTTCATAATGTGCGGAGGTATCTTGCAATGCAGAAGCTGGGTACCATCACTCCAAGTGCCATGTGTCGCCACGTCAACGAAATTATTGCACCTACACTTGGCTTAACCGGTCCGAACAGCCACATCAGTGAACGTACTGCAGAAAACTGGCTGAAGAAACTTGGATACACTTGCAAGAATGTCCAGAAAGGTGTATACCATGATGGACATGAACGTGATGATGTCGTGGAGGCACGGAAAATATTCCTTGAGAAAATAGCAGGATATGAGAGGTAAGTCGGCATTATCTGACTGTCGAATATGTGTCACTTACCACATCTCATACCAGATTGATGACAAAATACAACAATGAAACTCTCGCACCCATCCCACCATCCCTCACTCCCGATGAGCAAGAGCATGTCCTCGTTACCCAGGATGAGTCAATTTTTCATACGAATGAATACCGACGTCACTCTTGGCTTTGTGGTGATGAACAGCCTTTGAAAAGGAAGGGGAATGGTCGTGCAATTCATGTTTCTGATTTCATTTGCGAAACAACTGGCCGACTCGCTTTGTCAGAAGAACAACTCGCGCAACAAGCTACTCTTCCACCTGACCAACAGCTCAAGGTCACGGATGCTCGAAAAATCATCTATCCAGGAAAAAACCATGATGCAAATTGGGATCTTCCTCAGCTTCAGACCCAAACGATTCATGCTGTCGACATATTCGAGTTCTTGCATCCGAACAAGGTTGCTGTCTTTGTTTTCGACTGCTCTTCCGCTCATGAAGGTCTTGCTTCAAATGCATTGAACGTGAACAACATGAATGTGAAAGGTGGTGGTAAGCAAAGCCACCTACGTGATACCACTATCCCACTCAATAATCCACCTCCGAAACCTGGACAATCTGACATGCGTGGAATGCCACAGCAAATGGTATACTTGGCAACATATCCTGACCCTGAGTTGGCTGGGAGACCAAAAGGAATGAAAGTCGTTCTTCAAGAACGGCAATCAGTTTGGGATGTGCTGATGGAACAGCACAATGGGAAGGTGGTTGGGAAGTGTCAACGTTGTCAGAAGTCACAGGCAAAAAAGGATGCAGAACGGAGACTCGCATTGGCGGAGGCACTCGGACAAGAAGCACCTGAAACAGGTGAGCTACAGGCAGAGGATGAGCCAGAAACAGACTCGGAAGACAATAATTGGTGCTGCATGTACCGCGTACTCTCACTTCAAGATGATTTCGTCAATGAAAAGCCACTTATCCAGCATTACATCGAGAGTCGCGGGCACGTTTGCCTTTTTCTTCCGAAGTTCCATTGTGAACTGAACCCCATCGAGATGCTTTGGGGATATGCCAAGTACCGTCAGTTTTTTCTCGGTTTACTGTCGTGATTTTGACTCATTGATATTCCTACGTGGTACAGGCTATCGAAATGTCACTGATGGGAAATTCTCGACGGCAAAAACACTGGTTCCGCAATGTCTCGACATGTGTGATGTTTTGACTATTCGCCGTTTTTTCCGCAAAGCTTGGCGTTATATGGATGCCTACCGGTACGTTTATCGATGCTTTCGAGTGGTCATGTGGCAGCGCTGAAGTTTGAACAGGAAAGGACTCGATGCTCACCAAGCAGCCTTCGCAGTTAAGAAGTACCGTTCCCACCGTCGTGTTGGGCTCATGACAGAGATTTTGGCCTCACTGGATGCCGAAACTGCAAGCAGAGGGCTTCTGTAGATTGTATTTACCATCTGCTTGCTTGTATACCTGCTCAGTTACCCATAAATACCATTTCTTGCAACATGTTTCAAATTTCGTCGGAAATTTTTTCAACCCTTCGATTTTCAATATTCGAACGAGGTAGCCTTAATCTACAAGTCAAAAGAATGCATTTGCGCTACTCTACGGTACAAAGCAGTCAAATTTCGAGGACTAGATACATTTTTGAGTTCGGGCTAATCCGAGAGGTCGGAAAAGTGCTTCGTACACTGTAGACCTATCATGATAGTCATATGTAACTGCACAATGCACAATTTAATGTCACAAGCTGCTTTACCATCAAGCTGTGTTCTGAAGCTATTACTTACTTACAATTCAATATGTAGTGCGTGGACTTAGCGAAATTTTTGCTGGTCGAGTATGGTACAGTATGGTATAGTATTCGACTCGTTTTCGGGGTCCTGGTCACTCAACTTTTGTGAGTCCGTGTTCAAAACTTTATGTTGCTACCCCCTTGACAACACTCTATATTTATATTTGTCATTTACATTGTTTGGGATTTTGCAGAATTGTTGAGTTGGCTAGGTTTTAACTTTTGACTAGTCAAAAAATCGGACTTCGCCTATGTTGAGTATGCAATTGTGAAGTGCTTAGAAGTGAAAGACGAAGTTTCCTTGTCCGTAACTGTGATATATGTTCCGTTGGGCTGTGTGGGGAAGAATATGCGAGAACTCTTAGGTACGGGACATGCCACCACAGACAACTCTAAAACTAAGGATAGCTGGTCCAGAGGTCCGTCAGAGATATTATCATATACCGATTAAAGTATGCTAGTATTCGAAGGCTGCACAGAAATCAACGACGGATTTTATGTTTCATGTGACGTTGGCGATGCTGTTCCACAGCTCGTTCCGTTACTGGCGAGGCGTCGTCATAGGTAGAACATAACTGCTTCCATGAATCTACAGAAGCCATTAATGAGTTCAGCATATAAGATATCAGTTCTGAGACTCACTTGAGATGTCTAGGGTTGATGCAGTACCATTGGTATCCTCTGCGAAGACCACAGCCATACCCCTGAAAAAGTTGAATCAGACAGATCACATATTGGCAAGGCAACGCCTACTGTTCCAGATGGAAGTCGATGTGGCTAAAAGATGTCGCTTGAATCAACCAGGGACAACAATGATATCGGGATCGTACCAGTGCAAAAACCATGGCCCCGCATTCTCGGTTCTAAAGCGAATTGTCACATTGTCGCCTGATGCACCATTGCTCGTCGTATCCCGTCGTACAGGATTGACGTAGTTGTAGACGTCACTTCCAGCACTTCTTACAACAGAGAAAGGATGCTGCGCGATACATGAGCCAGAGTACCAACAGAATACAACAAACGGTACTCACTCCGTGTAAGTGGAAAGGATGCTAAAACGATGGTACATGAGAGACATGAGATAAAGAGATATCAGAATTGCCTACTGGTCCCTCAGGCTGTCCGGCGGGTATAGACAACTCGATAGTTTTGTTAGCAGGCAAGGTGTAAACTGATCCATAGGGTTTCAGCTGAGAAGCGTCCAAATTTCCATTTAAAATCTGCAGTAAGACCGGAGTGGGAGGTGAAGTATAGGTGTAACCATTGATGAGGAATCTCATGTGGCCATCCCACACAGTTTCTATATTTATCGACATGTCTGCACCACCAGGCTCCGCGACACCAGGGGCTGCGGGGTCTACCAGCGCATGCAAGTTCTGTTCCAACAAAGGGTTGTTCCTGGTCCAATTTCTGTGCACGGGGTCCACTACCGGAGCCCCATCATATTTAAGTATCGCAGAGTGTAGACCTCCTGCAACGGTCGAATCATAATTGGGCACCGCATGTATCCAGTAGGTGTCGATCGGCTGGTCTGCAGTCAGGATGAAAGAGTACCGTTGCCCGGCGTAAATTTGGATCGAGTCGACTTCCAGAGGCGTCGTATATTCACTGTCCGCTTCGATAACTGTAAAGACGTGGTTGTCGATCGTAAACACGAAGTTTGGTCTGCATGCTATATTCATTAATCGAATACGGTAGCGCTTTCCTGGCGTGACGTGCACGACAGAAAGAGGTACTGGTGGTCCACCTGGATAACGCCCCACGCCATTGATGAGAGTCGAAGCGGGATTATCGCTAGGGCCGACGTCGTAGGCGTTCATGTGGTACCTTTGAACAGATAATTCAAACAAAGCAGTGAAAGTGTTGATGACCCTACCAGTCTGCGAGAGAAATGATGGTCGATTCTATATTATCGTCAGTGCATTCAGCTACATATATAATCAAGGTTTAGACCGACCGTCATCAACGTCATACATGCCCAGGTAAGGATCCTGAGGGTCATAGATGACCAAGGCTCCTCTCATACCTTCGCCTGTATCAACGGTGAGATATGTTTACTCCAGCGTAGAACGAAATCACCAACAATACTGGAGCTGGAAATGAGAATGATACCTGATAGACCAGTAAATAAACATATGCGAGGTAAAAACACTATTTCTCACCAAAACGATCCGCTCTGGTTTACTGGCGTGAAGTCGTATACGAACGAATGCCCAGATGTGATGGGGCACTGGGTGACCATGGCTGCTCCATCCATCTCGACCGACCCGTGATGATTGATTCCGTGCCAATGCTGGAACTCGAGTCAGCGGCATCCTGGAATACAAAAAGATACTAACAACGGTCGTACTCTTGTTCATGGATTCGTCTACCAACAAATCCGTGACGTTCACTTGAAAGCGTTCGCCCTTGACAAAGTAAATCCACCTGGTAAGGACAGCCACATATAAAGACCACTACCTTCTGTGCAGAGAGGACTGGTCCAGGGGTCTGACCATTGACTACGATGGCACTGGAAATATTTGTCAGGCATGTGAGATATCAACCAACCGCATGTGAATAAAATACCTCATCTCATAACCGTCGGGCGCGACCACGGCGTTGGAGATGACAAGTTCAGCATTGAGTGCCGCACAAGACGACACCAAGGCCGCCAGAAAACAGGTAGACACAGAGCGAAATTGTGCCATCCCCAATGCTACTGAGAGTCTGAATCTGTCGAGTCTAAGGTCGGGTAAATTTGTTTTATCATCCCATCCCTTACGTATTTCCCGATCGTTGAATATTCAGTCTGCATAAAAGTAGCGAAGTGGCGGCCAGGCGGGGGGAACTGTGTGAAGAGGTTCATATCGTGGCGCGCTGCCTAGGTCCAAGGATCTCCCGACGCGAGTACCAGCCACATCACGATACTGCCAAGTTGCGCAGGATCCACGTCCAAGTTTCCTCCGGACCCAGCGTGTGTGACGATCAATGAAGTATCTCGGAAGAATGAAAGACTAGCCGCCCGAGCAAGGTCCGAATAAGATGGATAGATGAAATGATCGGTCTCCATACCAGTTTTACGTAGCGCTGCGGTGATCTCGTGAACCTTGCGTTGCCAGTCACAATTTTCCAGGGAAGTTCCTTGGAATGAGGCATTGTTGGCACTGTCTCCTGCAAGACGGTCAGTAGATGTTCTGCACGTTGAAATTATCTAGGTATCGTCGACCAACAGTCCTAAATCTTACTAATCATAATTAGCCACATGAAATATGATCATATGCAAACCTATCACGAATCAGTGTGCATGGGAACATATCGATAACAAGGTGGCATTAATCCCGGCATGTCCAGACAAGCCCATACGTCATGAAGTACGTTAACATCACTGCGCAAGAAAACCACAGTCCAAGATAAACATAGGCATACAGAAACTGTTCAAAAATCATAGCCCTGGTCATTTGTCTTGTTTGTCTATCCCACTGCTGCTGCCAGGGTCATGCATCTTGTCCTGTCCTGAAACAGCTCGCGCACTGGGCGATGAGCGTTTCTCATCCGCAGCACTTGATGCAGCACGTGGCCGTTTGCGTGATGAACGCGGAGACATCAACGTTCCTCCATTGGAAGACTTATCCGGATGAAGGTCACCACCGCGTTCAGCGGAGTAATGCTCCGCATCGCGATCTCGCTCCCAAGAGAGACCATCTCGGCCATTAGCGGGGGGCAGTGTCATATGAAGCTGTTGGGCGCCTGATTGAGACGCATTCTGCGACAAGAAATCGAGCCAGCTAGGGTCTCCAGGAGGGCCTATTACACTGTAAGAATATTTCCACTGAAAAATAAATGTGAATCATACCTGATTCTTGCTGTGGAGGTTGTGATGGAGGTGGCAGTGGCGGCTGTGATGGTCCATGGGAGGGCCAATCAAGTGGCGCGTATTGTGGACCTGTGCTTTGCGGCTGCCGATGCTCATCATTGTCTAGAAATGTGGATAACAAGGAGTCTGGAGACTGCTGGGAATGCAAACCGCTTGAGTGGGAATGTTGACCTTGCGGCTGATTGTGCCGCATTAACTGATGATACATTCCCTGTAATTGGGGGTCCTGAGGTTGAGAATAAGATGACCGTTGGCTGCTGTAGCTATTATTACGCGGTAAATTAGAGCCTCGGGATGACGAGGACGGGAAGTCAAAAGTTGAAGGCAGGAAGGACTGCGGGGGACTGTTTGACACTCCCATATATCCATTGTATGGAAGTTGATGAGACGATGGACCGTTCGATCGATATGCAGTAGAATGAGCCGACGTGGGTGAGGGGAGATAACCATTGTACATAGACTCGTCCCCTGAAAGCTTGGAGCCATTGCCTCCATGAACGTTAGGCGCTAGACGGGGCTTCTTTTGAGAGCTAATTTGACCGTTTGGAGGGAGCAACCGACCGGAAGACGAGTGGCGTTCTGTGGAGATAGGAAGTGCAGATCCTCCACCAGCCGATGGAAGCTGTGACGAGTGATGAAGGGGCATGGGTGGGGGAGGGATGGTCATAGGACGGTGATAATCAGCCATCTGTTTCAGAGTGAGTGGATAAGAAGAAATGAAATCGAATGATAATTTTACATCAACGTTTAAACCCATGTCACCTCCTGAGGGAATCAGAAGTTTCGCGTTGTTACTGTATTCCGCTTTGAACTTGGGCTCGTGGCGCCTCTTACTTCCACGTGTGGGAACAGAGTCTGGGTCGTCGTCGTCATCACCCTCGTCGTCGTCGATATCGGCGTCATGATGATTAAGTTTGGCATTGGCGTTGTTCACGAAATCGTGAGGAGTTCTAGTGTCTTTCTCTCCATCATACTGAAGAGAAAAGTCGGTAAAGAACAGACAAAAGATGGAGATTACTTACACGAACGTGACGCTGAATGATATCATGGATGTCTCCAGAACAGTATTGATAAAGTTTCAAGTGATGACCCGCGCGTTCCTCTGAAGATGGTAGAGATGTTAGGAAGGACAGGGATATGAAACATGAATAAACTCGCCGAAGATGACGACGGCGACATCGACCGAGCAAAGGACGCCGAGTTCATAGGCCTTTTTGAAGAGGCCATTCTTACGCTGTAAGGAGGTGGGGATAATTATAAGTTATCAGCTGCCAAGCTATTAATGGCAAAAATAGCCAGAGGCTTACCTTTAAAAAAGTTACTGAACGATTACGCTCGTGCTATGTTTAAGAATTACAGAGAGGGAGGTTAATGATGGATCAAGAGGAGGTCAAGTAAAATTGGAGTAAAGCGCGCTGGCACAACCGCGACCGAGAATAGCAGCAGGCAACTACATAATAAAAATGAAACTTACGGTGATCGGTTGGATCTCAATTTTTCTCCTGCCCATTTTGCTATCGAAAGGGATGAAGAGACGATGAAGGGAGAGATGATGGGAGTACAGAAGAAAGATGGCAATGGGCGAGAGGATGGGAGCCTTGTCTTTGAAGTTTGGATCTTTCACTGGCGGCAAGTAATTCCGCGAACGGGTGCCGAAACCCAAGCAACTGCAAACGGCGCTATGAGCATCAGATTTAAAGATCGGGATTAAAGCCACAGTCCCGGATTTCACCGGATTCCATTATTTTATCTACATTTGGAAGTTAAGATCCAGTCGAAATACCCAATTAGGTTAAACATCTTTTGTTGAAATGTCATCCAATAGCGAGCTTCGAATGAATCATCGTATCTATCCTTTTTCTCACACTAACTCGCCCTCCCGCATCTCCGCAGCCTAACCTCGATTCAACCCAGCGAGAGTCGAGCCCCTCGGAGACGCCCCTTTTCATGTCCGCGTAATACTACAGTTACCATCTCATGTCCACTGCGCAGTAAGTATTCAACACACACTCTCTCTGATCGTACCTTCTACACAGGTCTTCTGACTCCAGGCTCGGATACAAGGACGTCCGTCAACCGACCGTGAACCGAATTTCACCCGGCATTCATACCTCGTACCTGATCGAGTTTGAGTACTGCTCTGCGAAGCGACGTCACAACTACTACAATCCAAAATTATCATATCGCCCAAAATAACAAGCTACCATGTTATCTTTGGAACATTCATATTCATGTGCGTATTTCGGTCCATTAATTTACCCCCTCTTAAAACTTTTCAATCCAAAACACTCGAGCAACAACGACCAGCTCATGAGCTCCAGCTCCTTCAATACCCTCGAGCGTTCAAACGGCGCCCTCTGTGTTCCATGTCGCATAGTGTGTGATAATCACGCAATTCCTAACAGGCCGCCGTGCAATATACTTCCACGCCTACTAAGTACCATATCCTGTGCGCTTGTTTCTGCCTCGCCTCTCCATCATTCCCGGCCTTCCCGTAAACATCCTTCTTGCCGTCCGCAGCTTCATCTATAACCCATCTGATTCCAATTGCTACCGTATGTTCTAATATGGCTATTTCACTCTCACCCAAATCCTCGAAAAGCACCATGTCGACGAATGTGACGCGAACTTTCCCCCCCCCCCCACTCAGATATTTCAGGATCCATCTCCTCGATCACTTCCTTCAAGCTCAGAGTACCTAATGTTTCCATACGGTTAGCGGAAAATTATTTTTGTCGCGACAACTCAGCGAACGATACTTTGTTTGCTATAACCGTTGATTAGGGCACATTGGATAGCCCTTCAAAAGCACCGTTAGGCTGCGAGAGTCTGTTATCGCAACGCATACCCTCGAATTTCTCTCCGTACAAATCCCTATTTCCTATGTCCGACATGAATCATTCAGCAACTCGCCCAATACTCAGCACCTTCCCTCATTTACTCCGTCTTCGTTCCGGCTTGCCGGCGGCATCGCCATGGGGTCAATCAAAGGTGCCAGAGTTCATCGCTTACCCACTCCACAACCCTAATGATCCATTCCAATTTCCTTTCTTCGACATCCTCTGTGTCGATGGCATTTCGCGATCTCCTACTGAACATGTGTCTCATGTCAATGACTGTCCTGTTCGCTCACACACACGAAACCCGAGCTGTCTTACTCCCTCGGACTTCCGTGCAGGCGCCTACCCGTCACACGAACGGCAGACAACGTAACCCTCTTATCTCTCACCACGGAGATATCCCGGTGATTTCCTGTATCCCTTGAGGCTTCCTGCCTCTTGTCGTACTGTCTTTTGTTGTGCTGTCTTCTGTCATATCTCTCCCCGCAAGGCGTGCCGTGACAAACCTATGGAATCCCGCTATATGTCAGATTTCCACCCACTCTCAAGATCTAGGTTATCTAACCAATACGATCTGGTCACATGGTGCGTGCAATGTTTCATGACATTCGGCGATTGCCTGCTCGCAGGATCGTCCTCTGTGACATGCATTCGAAGCTCCTGACTCCACCCTGATCTCCCACCACTTAACTCATGAGACATCTTCTTGCCATATGGTCCACTAGGAACTCCACGATCACATGCGATGTCTGACCGATCAATCTCCATGTCGTAAGGCCGCTCCTCCTATCTCGACAATGTTTCAGGTTTCGCCATGATGGGCGCCACGATCAAGCACACGGCGAGAATGTTCTGATTGATGCTATCAGGATTGGAAAATTGGCAACCATTAGTTTCCCTGCCATGTTCCAGACACCAACATGGAGACTCCTTGGCAAAGGGCTATCACCACTTTCCCGGGCCGTTCTCAGGAAGCGAGACGTGGAAAATCAAACCATGACGGGGGCACGTCTTTGTGATCTATTGTCTGGCCTCACTTCATGGACGCTTCCCTGTCATCAAAAGGTAACCTCATAGTTCGCACAGGTTGCACGCATCGAAGACCTTCGAAAGCTTGACACAATAGAGTTTGACAATGAAGCGGTTCCTGTGGTTGCATGACACTTTGGCTGTAACGAGATTCATTGGGAGATAGAAGGCCGCATGAGAAGAGTCTGGCCGCTTCGATTCACGTGCCTCGTTAGTATGAGCTCTCGGCCACCGATAATTTGTGTTGCTTTGCCTTTGCATCAGCCAAGCGTTCCAGGGGAAAACTCAGGGAAACGCCTTGGAAATGTAAGTCACTCTTGTTCAGTGAGAGCCCGCGGCGGAGGATAATTACTAGGAGATGACTGATCGATGATGACCGTCGGGTGGAATTTTACACACTAATCCGCGAAGCTCATTCGGACTTAGTAGGTGGGATAAATTGTGTGAATGTGAACTAAAGACCGTATGACTGAACTAAAGATGTGATTGAGTTTTCATACGGAAATAGCCTGCTTAGTATTATACACTTAGAAGACTTGATACACAAGGGTTGAGATAAATGCCATTCTTAGTAGGGTGATCATAATATCTGAAATGTACGAAGCAAGAATAGATGCCGCGGAACTATTCCGCAATTCATGAAACGTTCCTGGGCAGTGAGACCTCATACAAAATGATTGTTTTCTCTCTGCGCATGAACGTGTAAGTTTAAAACCTTTTCCCTTTAACATTATTGGCTCACCGTATGTGCAGCCGGTGGGGGACCTGGAGGCTATGGGTGCTGATATGAGCGTGATGCATTGTTTCGTACAGATGTTACTACTTACCGAGGAGTAATTTGTTTCCTGCGGCATGTTGACTCCTCCCTCTCCTTTCACATACGGAGGGGGAGGGGGCTGTGATCCAGGATACTCATATGGATTCATGTTTGCAGTATTGGACATGTGACCAGGCGGAGCTCCATACGTCTGCGACCCTTGCCACATTGGAAACGAGTAAGATGTACCAGGTTGAGCATTCGTCCCTGGTACATCCGGCGGCTTAGTGACGGTAGATGTCAAACGCCGTCGACGTCTACTCGCAGCTCCACAGCATAATGCGAGTAATAATAAAAATATGATGCCTAAAGATCAAATTTATCCCTATCATTCGGTTAATGCTCTCGATAACGGTCAAGAATCTCTCACCGACCACAATCCCAGCGATACGTCCACTCCAATAATAGGAATACGAATCAGAAGACTGAGCATACGCAGAGCATGATAGGCAGAGACCAACAGCAATTATTTTTGTTGGATTGTAATTCATGATGGTATTGATCATGGAGTGTGTTTGAGCAGGACAACTGCGCGGTGCGCAAGCTCAAGCGCAGCTCCGAGTTTGAATTACGTCATCAGGAGGTAATGACGCTAATAAGCCAGAAAAGGAGATTTGCGAGAATTAAGTTCTGGAAATGAAGGGCCGCTTAGTCTGGGGAGCAGCATCTACACAGCTGCTGTCGGCACCACGGACGAAGCAGAAAAATTCAGTGCTATGCCTTCTGGAACCGCAATAAGTTGTTTCTCTTGAGCCTCGAGCTTCAGACTCCATGGCAGGATACCCGAACCAAATCTGAGGCCCTCGGATTTACCCCTTTCCGTCAACCTCAGTGCCCCCTTCCACCCGAGAACACATGTTAAAAGGCTACAATGAGTGTGTTGTGAGTACTCGCGCGGTACAGCGTGCACAGAAACAGACACACTCCTATCATTTGGTAACAATTATGACAATTGGCCAAGCAAATCACCAGTGCACGCCTAAACGGAGCTCACCAGAGAAATCAGCATGCATCGTGTTCGATGTACGAGAGAAACGATCGACAGAAAGAGAAATTGGTCTGGTGGTTTCGATGGCATACAGTTCGACACCATGGTTTAGTCATTAGTTGTTCACACTGCGATACTGAAATGGTACTTCAAGATATTCGAAACCAACGGGTTCAACCATCATCGTTCGGCTACTCATATATTTCCCTCTAGCTGTGCGCTTCAAGTCTTCGGAAGAATCGCTTGTGGCAAAAACGAAAGGGAGGCTTAGGGAGAATGCATCAAAAGTAGTTCCGCTTGATGTATCTTCATTGGACGTAACCGCACGTAGCCGTAAACACCTGTCTGGATCCTCGCATCAATCAATCGAGCGAAGCTCATCAATGTCTCGCCGGAGCAATCATCTGCTTCACAAGATTTCACTGCAAGCTCCGTACTCAAAGGAGAGTATTAGAATACACGCGCTCACCTAGATAATCAAAGTCTGAACTCGAGCAATGTCACAACTTTAAAGCACATCTTTTGTACCCGCTGAAGATTAACTTTCGATACAACAGACAGACTGCATCGTAAGGTGTTTTGTTATTTTGCTGAAATCTGCTCCCGGGTCCCTTCTATCCGAGTCTTCTCCCCAAAAGAGGGAGAATGTCTTCGGGTACATTTAGTGTGCGAATGGATGGCATGTGAGAACGCGAGGAAGAAATGGATGGTTCTGATCGAACGTGCATACACGCTCACGAGGAACAGTTTAGCGGCACGTGGTCAGGTTGCCAGTGGGAGTTGATCGGGACTCGTCCAGGTCGAGATCAGTGGAAATCCGGCTTTAACTCGTTGTATGCTTCGTCAATGGCAACTGGGGGCATCAACTGGAAGAGAATATCAGGAATAGGGAAAGACACTATGTATCAGTAGAACAAAAGGAGATGAATATTATATCTACTTACTGGGCTCCCAGCCTCGGTACGAACGGGTCAAGGTTTTCATGTTTCCATCTGATCAAGGACGGAACAACGTGGGACAGTACTGCTGTCACGTTAACGTTTCATTCTATTTCCAAATCTTTGAACACTCTCACCATCGCTCCAGCACTTACTATATCAGCAAAACCCGGTCCACAGTCGGCTGTTCAATTGCCTGCATATCGTTTGCTTGAAGGACAGACTGGACAGTACTAGTCGTTAGTCGTTGAAGGACTGGGCTGAAACGTTCGAAAATAAGCCACATCGGGATTTTTACTACAAGTTTGGAAAGGAGCCACCTACCTCTTGAGTCATGACACCGAACGGTGACCCAAGGACATGATCAGATTTTGTACCTGCTCCATCATAATTTTAGGTCAGATTGTCCAGACTTCCACGCACTCGACTCTTGCAGCAGCCAACCTCTTCCACAATCGCGCATTGTACCACAAAAGCGTAGCGTTGGGCTCGAATTCACAACAGTCACCGTACATGTCTAAGCCTGACATCATATCCTGGACGCAATCTCACCTCGGCGCCCTCTACGAAGCGCGAGAGGACGAGATGTTTGCCAACGCCTTCGATACTGCATTCTCCCCCTCTTGCGAGGTTCGTGTGAACCATGCACCTTCAACACTTGATGCTTTGAGGGAAAGCGTCTCATCGCGTAAAGCCGCCACCAGAGGAGTTGCACTCTCTTGGGAGAACGTTATCTCCACAGGCAATAATCCGGACGAAGTGAGTCTCCATGCCCAACATTATGGTATCACGATGAAACACCTATTGGCAGCCCTCGGTGGTTGCCGGAACTTTAATCATCACTCGTAGCATGATGTTCCGCATTCGTGCCGCTCCTGCTCAACGCCTGACTCACATCAACTTCAGTGCAAAGTATGATTTAAATTACTTACAAAGCCGCTGTCCCTCACACTTTAACTCTAGGGTAGAACGTCTAGAAGACTCTAACGTTCAGGCAGTTGAAAATGATGACCGTCATCGCATCACTAGCCTCTATCTTACCTCGGTGGACACAGTACCACCGATTCATTCCGCGACACCCCATCCAGTTAGCCAAGAAGAGCAGAAGTAAACTTAACAACAGCATGTGTAGGAGTCCTTTGATATTTGTATAAGTAATGACTGCATGCATCACATCGCGGATGCTCATTCACAGACTTCCGAAACCTGTGATAGATCGGATTGGAGTACAAGTGGCACAGTGGATTGGCTTTCACACAGTCCTGGGCCAGCCGCGTGACGGGCATAACGTTGTGCTGGGTTTGAAATGTGCACTGGTAATTAAAATCCACACCACGTCAACGCCTTGCAGTACGCCCCACACATTCCAAGCAGTGGTGGGGAGGAGCCTGGTGGTAAGTAGTGCAATTTTCTTGTGAGCTAGGTATGCTTGTCATCCATCGTGAAAGTTGCTGTGATGTTTGCCTTGATCCCTATTCCACCTCCTCAGTACCTGCTCGTTCTCCCCATGCAATCGCCTGTGGCCATATATTCTGTCTTACGTACGTTCCCCCTCCAAGCCATGTCACGCCCAGCAATTATGTTTTCTTTCTTATACACGACTCCTCAATCCCAGATGCCTTCGCTCCTTGCCACTAAGTGCATGTCCACTCTGCCGCGAACCTTTCCAGCCAGATCGTATCAGGAAACTTTACCTCGCAAATCCATCCATACAAGACAATGCTGAACAGGATACTATCGACGATCAAGACAGTGCTAAACAGCACGATCAGCATGCTAGTCTCCTTCTTCATCGTGTGTCTCTAGTCTCAGGCGAAGACACACCGGACGCAGAAGTTGACAAAGTAGTCACCGAGGTGCAGGAATGGCTGAGATCTCAATTGGGCAACCCAAATTCTGTGAGTTCTTTTCATTGTGAGGGCCCACGGCCAACGCGACGTATACTGGTGCATACTGTCAATTCAACAATTTCTCACATACGTCATCTTTAGTATATACCACTACGAGCTGCTGTAGCTTCCCTCCAGCGAATTAAAGTTCTTCAAGATCAGAGTGTACGCGAAAAAGCAGAGTGTCGTCGCCTTCATAAGAAGCTTCGTGCCTGCAAACTTTACGCAGATCTGGACTCCAAAACATCTCGCATAGTTGAAGAGGGCCTGCTTTCTAAGATTCAGAGAATAGAGAGTAAACATGCTCTGTGAGTCTCCGCTTGTGAGCAAATGAATATATTCTAAAACGAGTTCTTCCCAGAGAGGTGATCATGTGATTGAGCGCCATTTATATTTGACTTATATCGCGTCCTCGTAGCTGTCGCGGTTGCGTTCTCAGCCGGCCAACATCCAACCTCGATACCCTAATACCAACAATATTCGCATCCCTCAGCCAATTCAGTTACCTCGCGCAGTGGGTTTGGATACTCACATACGAAGGGGACACAATAGTGAGTCTCTGTCCTCTGTACCGTCGCGCTTTACTCAGTTGCTGTATCTTGCATTTTAGTCGCCTTCTCGTTGATTATTTTCTTCGATATCATCGAGGTATATGCACGTTTTATTTCAACGGCGAAATAATGACCTCTTGTGGCAGTTCACGATATCAGCCTGGCTCACGTCACAATTCAACGCTCACCATAACTACTTCAGTCTAGCTGGACGAGACTGCACTCGTTTTCTATTGTTTACTTCCACATGGACACTCATATTTTCTAGTCACCACATGTTTTTCTTCCTGCTTCCTCCAGACAGTGTCTTGTGTAGTATGGCTTCTCATATTTTCTTGTACGTAGTCCTCCTTTGGAGCGAGGCGAACTTGCTAACCAACTTGCTATAGCTTGTATCTAACATGGGTCTTCTGGGCCGTGGGCGCTGCAAGTATAACTGCAGCTCTGGGTGGACAACTGAATCGCAAGTTAGTGCATCTTTCTCTTACTCATCGCTCTCCTTGTATCTTTTTAGTGCCCAAAACCTTTTCGCGTATTGTGGTCACCTCATCGCGCTAGATGTCTTTTCTTGGGTTATTTTGTATGTATCAGCGATACATGTATATCAATATTGCTTCCTTGTTCATATTCTTGTCAGGGTTCTTGTCACTTTCGCAATCTTTGTCGTGCACACTCGCAACATTCTCGCATCAGGCGGAGCACGTGAGCCACAGATTGCTTGACCGGGCAGGTTGTCCCCCCACTGCTGTAGTTGAATCACTACGAGCGCGAAATATCATCCTTGGTTTCATTTCTGTTCTACGTACAACTCACTTCTGTGTACTAACATCTGCTTGCTGTGCTACCTGTATTTCTTCATCTACACCATGCATTGCCGTTCTGGCTATAATCTTTTGATTACCGACATTCATAGCTGACACCTCATTTCTCCCTCTTGCGATCATATGGCAGTAGCCCCATCTAATCACTAGTATATCTCCCGGCCTTTTCTATCCTGGCCATCCGTGTGCCAGGTATACACTGACGCATCCATAATTTTAGTCAAGACCTAAAAACATATCCTACACGATTACGTGCCTGGCACTGTTCTCTCATGTCACCCACCTAGTAAGACTAACGAATAATGTGAACACACGAGTCCAGCCCCGAATCATCACAAGCTTACCTTCAATCGAGCTTTCGCATCAGCGAGGCTACGAGCTGACGACCAAATTTCCACATTTTCCTTCCTATCATCAGACATGGCATATATGTTCTCCATAAGCAGCTGGTCGGCCGTCCGCCCTCTGACGCGCAAGAGGGCATGGAGGTATTTCACCACCAGCGAGGGTTCTCGTGAGGAAACCAGCTCCTCGAGAGTTTCCCTGTATTCGTTGATGAGATCCTGAATCGCGAGACTTTCGAGGGCTGAGCCGATGATGCAGGTTGACATGACCCTGGCGTCGAGAAGCGGGACTACGATACCCCTGAGTAGATTGATGTCAGTCGACCTGATCGTCTGCTTTTGTGATAGACTTACGCCGTTATGCGGGTCAGACCACGGTAAAAATCAAGCGCGTTCTATGTGAGGTTAAATGATTACGTCTACCATGGACCTTGGTATGTTCTTACATGAAAGCGACTCAAGCTTGGTTCGCAAGCGACGAAGTGCTAGAAGATGCATATCAATGATGGGACGCGTCAAGAAAGAGGAACGAAACACATACTAACGTGATCTTCTTCTTGAGCATCTCTCTCGCCAGATCAAGAGGGTCCGCAACTGGAATGTATGCATTCATTTAGAATTACGGAGTTCTCCGCGACGCATGGCAACGAGCTCTCACCACCAGGAACGCCATGAGGCCAGTAATCGCCCTGAGATCCAATACCGTGCGGCGGAGCATCCGATACTAGCACAGCGACCCTGTTGCAGTCATTCCTCCACTTCATCGTCAAAGCCCGAGCTAGAGCTTCCGTTACAGCCTCTGGCCCATCTCCACCACCGAAAGCACCAGGAAGACTGTTCAATATTGCGTGAATTCGAGAGATATTCGACACAAAGTCCCATTGGCGGGTAACGAACGAGTCCTCCTGGGGTGGATGATCGCGGAACCCAATAAATGCGACACGAAGATCGTCTGGGCGGGCTGAATTCACATGATCCGATCCCAGTATTTCTGCGCAGATAGTATTAATGGATGATTTGACTGAGTCTATATATGGTTGTTGGCTGCCAGTGAAATCTAGGATGAACAGCAAGTCGCTGTACAAAAGTCAGACAGTCTCGGACTACGGGAAAATGGGCGAAGTATCACTCACAGCTTCAAGCCGTGTGTACGCGAAGGAGGTACATTTTGCTTTGTCGTAGGATCCATCAGATACGTGTATACCACACGCTTGACCTATGTATGACATCGAACGATACCCAATGACCATGTATTCTTTTCAGCATACCGACGAAGACTTACCAGATCCTCAGATACAGGTGCTTTCCTTGTGTCTATATATGGGAGAGAGGCTCTCTGGACCCTATGGGCCACGGGCATTATCACCCTGTCGCGTGTGTCTTGAACTAGGAGAGCTTGTACGGCCTCTGCCTCTGCTTGAGATACTGTTCTTAAATTTGCAGAGTCATCATGAACTACGGAAGTAGACGGGCCCTCTTCGATATAAAGTTGTGCTAGGAGATTTCCGACTTGTTCAGCCTCAGGAGGAACGCTGATCTGGGGGCAATGGATGACGTTGTCCAAAACATTGAGAAGGATTGATAATACGTACAGAGACGGATCCAAACTCCCTGTCATTGGAGCACTCCCTTCCATCTTCGACAGTCCCCAGCTCTGGCACTGAAAGAATCTCCTCTCTAGGTCCTTCACTGTATATCAGCACCCGCGGCGGATGGCATTCATGAGACATTGTGACATCTGCCTCCACGGGAGCGCTTTTAATCTCTCGTTCTAGAGTTGGAACTGTGATCTCATGTCCCTGCACAACCTCCACTGCGGTAGGCTGCTCTCGCAGAGGAATGCACAGTTCAGAGATCGCCGTTCCAGTCTGGCCCGCGTGAACACCAATCGCTTGATCGGTTTGATCTGTGACTGGGCTCCCATCCAAAATGTGTACCCCAGCGGTCTGTCCTGGTGGTGCTTTGTGCGAATCAGAGGCACTACAAAGACCATCCGCCGGGGCATCGCTGATCGCCGGTTCAAGAGACGATATCGCGAACGGAGGCGCGTCTGCAATTCCCGCCAACGTAAGCTTTCCCCCAGAATCAACAGCATCTGGTGAAGCTAGCTCATGTGGGCTCGGGGGTGGCAAATACACGTCTTTGACCGATTTCTCGGTGAAGTGTGGGCTGTCCGACCGATTAATTTCAGGGGAGGATTTTGCCCTTCTGCGTCTACGACGTGCGACAAGCAGGACACAACCACAGAGCAGAAGCAACAGAAGGACTCCCCCGACGACTCCACCAACAATCGCACCAACCGGGGTTTTATGGGAGCTTGATGATGAAACGCAGGAACCAGCAGCTCCCGTCAAATCGGAGTGTGCTTATTGAAGTCAGTATGCGTCCGTGGGTTCACGAAAGTGGACGTACATATGGCGGTAATATCAGATGCAGCCGCTGCACTAAATGTCCCATTTGGCCAGTTTCGAGCTGTGGGGACAGTCTCGATGAAAGGGTAGCTTAGAGATCAGCGATTCCTGGACATACGATTGGAGCCCGCATAACAAGGTATCGAGATATTGGAAGGCACTGTTTCTCCTGCATACGAAGGGATGTATCTTTCACAGATGATGAGATGATCAAGGGCCTTGTCATACTAGTTGAAACTCACGTTGTTGTCGACGTTATGTTTGTGGGGCAATTGGCCGTCCATTCATCCCAGCTGCACTCTGTTAGCTCATATATATATCCGATGACCTTGGAGGACGTACCTCACTAGTGAAGGTGATGAAGAAGCACAGAACATACAGGCGCTAAACAAGTTGTAACTCGCCCAGGAACTGTTTATCACAACATCATTGTATACCAAGTCATATATGTGTACTGAGAGTTTACCATGTGCATGCAGTCACATTCGGGCCAGTCGGGATAAACGCCTGCTCAGAAGAGGGAGGAGAGATGGTAGCGTCTAGAGTGATCTAAGCGCTGACAAATGAAACCATTGGAAAGGGCTTACATGTACATGAGCACCTCTTGTTCACTTCATGGACCACTTCGCATGGAGTTTGATTTTTCATATTTTCGGTCCATGATGGACAGGAGATAGAAACTGACATCCGATCTAAGACAGACTCGAAGGTAGGCAGGATAAGCTGTACTGTGGCACGGGGAGCAAGCTCGGAAAGAAAGAGTACTATATGAGGGATTTCGCATGCGAAACTGACAAACAAACTTACCATATAACCAGATTATGTTGTCACATCGAAGCCTCGTGAATAACTGAGTTTTATGCGATGTCCGTCATGCATGGAATCGGACCGAAGCATGATCCTGTATGGGCGAATCAACACTTGTAGAATTTGACCTCTAAGGTCAATCAGGCTACGTTAGTGGTCACAAGAGGGTGTGGATGAGCTCACAATCGCAAGAATAGACAACACGGTAGCCAATCTTGGTAAGAGAAGTATTTGAATACCGCGAAAAATAACTCATTGATCAAGGGGTCGCGGAGATAGACACGAAGCTGTGGATAAGAAGGAACATGTGTCCATGGTTTGTATTGGGGACTCGCAGGAACGTGGTGATTATCCCAGTCGTAATTGATCCCGAAATGAGGCGCGAATTCGAAGAGCATGTGACATTCTGCTCAGGTTTTGCTCGTATGAGCCGAGCTAGTTACCCAGCTGCACAAGCGACGTGTAAAGGTATCTTTGAGACGACATCATTGCACGTACTGGCCAGTGACTATGAGATCAAGATCGTCAATATTTTCCAATTTGTGATCTCCTCTGAATGTTTTTGTCTCTTTGGTGCGGGTAGATCAGTGTGTTTTCCGTCTACGATTCGAAAGGAGACTTACATATCGCCGCGGCAATAGGTGCGGTGGACTCAGGAATGAGGACGATAAGCTGCAGGAACTTCGCGAGATCATTTGAACAGACCTTCGTGTACATGCATCTGGTGTTCCGCTAACTAATCGAGAACGAAATGCGTTATTGTATCAACATTCTAGGGGCTCTTTCACTATCGTCTACTAGTACCTCCATCCAGGAGTAGTTGGTGTAAGCCCTGCGTGTAAGCCGAATAAGTAGTTTGCCATATGGGCTGATGTGGGTCTGATTCCTTATATACTTACTTCGAGATAAAAATTGGATGCGTGATAATCTAAATCACACACTGATTTGCTACCATCAGTTTCATTTACCCGCAATAGTAGTCAGAGTAGGTCTGTCTATTCTTATTCAGATGGAGGCGAGCGCCGAAATAGCTTTCCATAATATCAATGCCGAGCCCGCCTCTGCATCCATGGAGTGTGACTCAATATGATTAAGTAAACGATATGTCACAGGAGTGGTCAATATGATCTATACCACTCCAATGACATATCGTTCACCCGACATCCGAAGCAAGATGAAGGGCTGATATGATTCCAGTCTCTGTCATACCGTCATCCTCATGACCGTCGATCATGCCATGGCAGGTCAACGCTCAACTGTGTACCCTGTATCTCATACGAATATGCGGTGCCTGTCGGAGAATTGTAGAATGTCTAATGTTTCTAAAATTTTAAACATGAGCGTATGAATTAATGATGGATACATATGTGACTCACTCGCCTTAGATTTACTGGCAGACCACGTACTCCTGGGATTGCAGTCGAGGGTCGATCGAGAATGGTGGTCAGTAAGGCAATAGGCAGAAGAGGACAATCTTGACGGAGATCCATCCTGGGGCGTGAATCATCCACAGGCTAGGAGGTGGCGTGGCCACTGATAAACCCGATGTTGACGAGAATCGAACCATGTCACTCTGGCCTGTCGCGATCTTGATGATCAGTTCATTCATTCGAGCAGGATATGTAGATAGTCGATGACACTGAGTGTCGGAGAATACTCGTTCGATGTGATCATCTTTGCCCTTGAGGCAAGGTGTGGTAGATCGTGGTCGACATGGACTCGCCTCCCACGTCATTACATAATATTAATATTGTTTGTGACCGGTCACGTCACGGTGTGAATCCGCTGCTTTATTTACTTAGTCCCCTCAAAAGTTTTGGTTCCTTTTTATTTCGCCAAACCCGACGGTGATGAATCATTTAAAAGTCGATCTCTCGCCTCGAATATTAATATTATCAGTGCACACTGTGCAATGCAACTGCCCAAATTTCAAACACTCCACTCCATAAGCTGCAAGGTTATCCATGATTGTACAGGTGGTGCCCTGCTCATGAGACTTGACCGCAATGACTGGGCTTCCCCTATAACTTGTCGCTCAAGCGTTCCGGAGGATGTACTCTGTCGTTGCCACTGTGGTCGCCCAAATTCAACACAGGTGAGCGGACTACGTTAGGACGCCTTCTTCATCCTTACTTCGATCAAATCTCAGTCTCTCTTTCGATTTCTCCGACGGCTCCGACATCGTTGAACTTAGGTTATCCCAGCGCTTGGGAAGCTGTCCATATCCTTGTGCGGAGTTTTCGATATGGACCCTATAACACTCGCACATGATATCATTCAAGCGTCCACTCTTCATGTACAGGGGTTGCGCCTCACGCCCGAGCTCTTATCTTCTTTTAATGCTGTATGGGCCCACCTGACAGCTGTTGTAATCGAAGATGCATGCGAGCTGAATGTTACTCTATACTTTCTCCAGCTAGCCCCAACCTCTCCTCATTAAAGACACATACATTCCAACCTGGCTCAGGCCCAAGAGCTATCCACGCACGGCAAAATGCAGCCCTTACACATGAGTCGCCCATTTATACCGTCTGGGCGGACCTGCTCAGAGCAAGGCCTTCGAGGCATTCCTCGCACGGTAGAAATGTCCACTAGAGAGCCTGACTGTCTGTGGTGCTAGGATGTGGACGACAGACAAGCCGTGAGATAAACGGCGAGTACAATACGTTGCCCTTGCTCCGTCCTTCAAATGTGCAGTGTAAGAACCCTTTCCAATGCTCTTAAATGTTTCAGCATTTTTCATACTCGGTGTATACTCTTGTGCTACTGCTACTGTGTGCTATTGGCTTTGTAATGTGCTCGTCTCCGCACCTTGAAGGTATTCTTTGTCTAGGACGCAAGTCTTTAGAGGACGTGTAGGGTACTAGAGTACGTCCGCTGATTTTCGATGTTAATGCACAAGCTGAACCACCGACAGGGCACGATATCTGCGGGGCAATATCTCCAGAACGCAGTATACTCTAGGATTCTACATTCCGTCAGAATACCGTGACATGCCTGAGCAGAAAGTCTCAAGAAGAAGTGATCGTAATTTGTGGGAGCCCAGATCGATTTTCTGGCGATCAAGCGAAATCTCAATGATGTGACGATCTAGTCTTAGTCGGTCTTTCCATGCGTAATACACAGAGTTTAACCCAAGTGCCTGTTCGTCGACTGGGTGACAAGAGAGTGGCATAACTGAGGGTTTCAAAATGGCCTTCCGGGCAGTAGGCGCAGGGCGTTCACATTAGCCTGATCCAGCACAAAGGTCTACGAGAATGGTGCGTTTCACTGTCTGAGCACAAAGATGATGAGAAAGTGATTGGGACGAGAGAACCCCGGATGGTTGGTAGTTTGTCCGTTCTGAAACGTGGAAGAATGAGTTATCATCCATCTGGGTCAAAGTGAAGAAATGGAGTGACCAGACGTGCGTGAAGGATGTTGATGTCCTAGGCGTCTACTATTTGCATGGGCTAATCGTCATCAGGTGGGTCGGATGGGAGTCACGTTTGATCCCCACAAGAAGGGCGGAGGTCGTGATACATCATGGTGGCTTCGAGTTCGATGGCGATGGAAGGAGCAGGTACACACAAGGATTGAGGAATTGAGAATATGTAGGTGGGTACTTCGGATATCAGTCAGATAGTACAGGCGCGGGCACACAAGTAACGCTCGCAGACATTGTTCCTAGAATAAGAATGCCAGTAGTGGAACGGGGTCAAGATACAGATTATAGCTGGAAAAAAATAAGACGCTCCAAGCGCTAGAAGCCTCCAGCATTACACACGCAAATCAACATGCACCGGTGTATGTATTTGCATAAAGATCGCAATTCAGGATTCAAATTGAGCTTTGATTCAAACACAAAACATCAGGTGGGTCCGGTATTCACTAGCACTATCGTACAGCTACATCACTGTTTCAACATTCAAAATCTCGAACTCCTCTTACACATTCACTGATTATGCAAATTTGAAACAATTGTGGGTGGAACTAGGCAGATACCACCACATCTTCACGCGACCGTAATCCGCTGGGGTTGCTGGTCTGGACCAGCTTTCGGGAAGCACACGGTAAGTAGCCCATGATCCATCTTTGCGTGAACATCCTCAGGCTGGACGATATGATAGCTATAAGCACCAAATTGCTATACGAAATTTAGATTGTCTCACCTTGAGTCCCTGAGGAATCACAAGGGTCCTAGAGAACTTGCCATACGAGCGCTCTTGCACTGCGCAACCTCCCTTGTCATAATCCTCCGAGCGTTTGGACTCCCCGGATATTGTTAGGCGGTTCCCGTGGACTTCGACATTGACATCCTCTTGTTTCATACCAGGAAGTTCGAATGTTGCAGTCACTGTCTTGGTCTCAGGGTTTTCGTGCACGTCCATTCTGTGTTGTTTCGGTTGAACGCTGTAGAATGTTCAATACATTCAAAGCAATATTAAACTTACCTGGGAAGCACCTGTTCACGACGATGAGGCAAGGTAACGATGCCCTGGGTGCCAGAAGAGGGACGGAGACGAGCATTGAAAGCATCGTCGAATAACTTGTCGAATTCAGTAAAGGGATCGTAGAATGTGAATAGAGACATGATTTGGTGGATGTGTTGCTAGAGTCTGACTTGGAGCGACTCCTTATATACACATGTTCATGACAACATCATGACCGTGTATGACATCCATAGTATCGAATACATGACGTTTCCTCTAGAAGTTTCATCAGTCTATGACGTAGTGCCGGTGAAGGAATAGACTTTAAGCGGGGCGTAGCTACAGAGACGCCCATGGGATGGTAGTAGGCTCTGGAACTTGCTATCGATTACTTCCCTCGAACTCCGACACAAATACCGCCAAACACCACTGGCACTAGGATTCGTTGTCCTCTTCGAGGTTACTGTTCCAATTGACTATCATGGTAGGTCTGTGGGAGACTAATATTCTTTTTCGCATTAATAACGTACCGCAGGCCATCGGGGAGATCACAGAAGCAAAATTTTCTCCACTCTTTGGGTTGGACACCGTCAATGCACTGCAAGCCATTGTGAGTGGCCACTTATACAGCAGTCCCGTCAATGTATAATAACATTTGTTCGCTTCAGCTTGAACGTTCTGAACAAGTGACCGTATGTCTATAGCGACACTGATGCTGAACATCGTTACATTCACGATTACCAGATTCCAGACCTGGACACACCATTTTCCAGGTTTCCGAATAACGACCAGTCTGCCACCCACAAGGATCAGAGTATCCACGCCATCATTTCCGAACGCCAACAGCAGCTGTATGCAGTTCTGCATGAGATTTCAGGCCTAGAGTCTGTGATGGATCATATCGAAAATATTCACCGGAAACTGCTCGACAAAAAGGAAAGCATCCAACATTCAATGAATTTGCACAAGGGACTCGTATCGTATCTCTGGCGCTTGCCAACTGAAATCCTGTCCCAGATTTTCCACTACTGTCTCCCAAAATACAACCACTCATCGGCGCTAGAAGCTCCCATGTTGTTAACTAGAGTGTGCCGACGATGGAGGGAGGTTGCTATCGATATACCCAGTTTATGGTGCAGCATATCTATAGGGTTCGGCAGGCCACTCTGCGACGTCGAGGAGTCGCAAATTTCCCGTCATGACGTATGGTTCAAGCGGTCACGGGGATGTCCGCTCTCATTATCGTTCACCTGCAAGGCAAATGATGTAGCCAAGCTGCGAAGCCTTCTTCAGCCCTACTCCAATAAAACCTCGTCTCTATCTATCACATTTCTCGAAGATGTGACCGAACCTATACTTTGGTTAGGCGACCTCCCAGCACTTCAGGAACTGACCATGAAACTCCGGGGTATACCCACTCCAGGCCTCTATCAATCTCTCTCGCAACTACCCGCCACTTTGCGCAGTCTCGAGGTCATGGCGTGGTTTTTGAACACCGCACAAATCTCTATCGGTCCTGCAGGACTGCACCTGACACATCTCGATATCGCCGTGTTGCAGTACCAGAATGAAGTCATCCACCTGCTCAAGCTATGTCCCAATCTCTCTTCGGTAAAAATATGCGGAATATTCAAGACAAGTCTAACTCCGGAGTCGTTCACGCACACCAAAATTCAAACCTTCCACGTCTTGACTCTATTCTCTCACTTTGGCCTGTTGAATGCTCTATCGCTCCCCAATTTGCGGGTGTTTGAACATTATCACCCTGACTCCGTTCGATACCCTGATGAAGAGCTGATGGCATTTTTAGCGCGGTCGAGGTGCCCACTGGAGAGATTGATTTTTAGCGGAAGTAAGAAGCCGACGATGACAGATATAGTGAGAGCAGCATACATTGACATTATTCCTTCCGTCGGAATACTGCTTCTAGAGGCTCAAAGTACATTGCAACACTATGCTCTGTAATTAGTTACACATCACAAATCAAACCGGTCGTGTAACTTTCCCAGTTGTTGCCACGAACGAAGTGCTGTACTCCCACATATTCCAACCCTCTAATGATATTCTGCGGCATGACTGCCAATCCAGGTGATCATCTGGCTAGCACTCACGTCTCTACAACACGACACTTGTATGCAGCAGGGAGTACAAGCGAAAGTCCTAATTTTCAAATAGGTTCTCCTCACCAGCAAGACCTGTTGCGTCTTGGTCCTTGCATGCAGCCGCATCTCGAGCGAGCGAGGTGTAATTTGATGTTGGATTTTTCTTCAGCGTGTATGCTGACGCTCGTGTCCAGGTAACTGCGTTGATCATCACATAGCACAGCAATCGGGGGTCCTTTCCTTCCTTGAGGAGCAAGCGGTTGTTGTCTTGCGTGCACACATTTCTCTCATAAAGTTGCTCAGGCACGTTGAGGACTCCGTTGATGACGTCGCATATATAGTGGCATGAGGATCACCTTTGCTCGATCCTGGAGGAGGCTGTGCTGGGTTCCAGAGAGGCGATGATTGAAGAGAACGGAGCAAGATGGTTAGCTGGTGCGTCAAATTTTATTGCTAGATTCGTCTCGGACTCACGTTGAAGGTATCATGCTCCACCGTAATCGGCCCTCAAACAGATACATTCACGCCTCCATCCTTCTCTTCCGCTTTGAGTCCTGTCAAAGGCATCCCGTGTAGTCAGTTTCTGTCTATTCTCTCAAAGAGAGGACACGCACTATTGAGGTATCCCTTGAAGTTGTCCGAACCAGGTTTGATGGAAAGAATTAACAAATGTAGGGCGCGACAACATCTAGTAGGCTTTGGATCGAGAACCGGGACGCATGAGTTCAGTCAAGAGATCCCGCCATTCGAATTCACAAAGAATCCGCTTCCTCTTTGTATCTTTCGAACGTCCCTTTGCGCAGCGAGTAATCGTATTTTTGAATGTTCTGAAATGCTAGTGTGATCCTCGATATCTGAAGCTCTGAAGGTCTGCTTCCGAAATCCGCAGGCATAAGGTTTCAAAATTTCAAATGCATTAGTACGCGCCACGCACGTGCAACAAAATACACCTTGTTAACGATATCCTACGATCTCCAGATTCTTCACGCGGGTATTCAGCAAGTACTGTCTTCTCATAGAGTCCCCAGCTTCCACGTAGGAAAACAATTCATCGACGTGCATGGGTAGATGTACGTCGGCCCGTCGGGACTCGGATGAGTCGGAAGAAGAACCGCACCACCAGCGGCGCATCGACATGGCCACGTCTAGTACTTCCAGGACGTGTTAACTTGAATAGCATTGGCCCGTCTGAATGCCCGCCGGTATCACTCGTCTGCATCATTATCCGTAATCAGTTTCTGGAACACCTCGAACGTCTTCCAATTTGCCAGCAGGTCCCCTGCTCGTTGGCGGTCAGTCAGTGACCATGGTTAGCGACTCCGTGATGAGCAACCTGCAACCCCTTGTGCTATATGGTGAGGTAGATTTGGACTTGATCTGGATACCCTGAGCGCGCTGCGATAGTCATCGGATCGTCTGTCCTCTGGCTTGAATTGTGCTAACCAATGAATTACTATTCAGAACAGATATCGTAGCTTCAAACTGTGGTCGTTTCTACCGTGATGTAGTTGAAGGTACGAGTCTGTCGCATTCAAAGTAGAACGAGCACAATAATTCCAATAGCAAAGATATCTGCATACGCGCCTTACTCCAAATTCCGTGTGTGAGCTACTTCTCACTGGGGATGGCGAAATCATCAAAGGTGTTTAATATCGAGAGCGTCTCGTACGGTGAATGAGGTATTTCAAGACTTTTATTTAGCTCTTACTACTCATCAATCTTATTACCATGCATAGGTATATTATTTGTGCATAGCGCACTGCATCGTGACGGCAGTGGTGCATCCACCTTGATCTGTAACTAAGTATCCCGATATCGGGGTAAAGTGATGCGTAAGTTTCCGGTGCTCGCTGTCACAAAGTATGTCATTATGATTTCTCCGAACCTTACACGACTTACCAGCAACGTTGCCCCACCAATTACGCCTTGTAGGATCTGTCGCCAAGCAATTCGAGAACTTTGTTCTCTCGGCATGCCTACCATATTGGCTGCGTCTTCCTACATGGCGCAGGAAGATGGAGTATAAGAATATACTATTGAGGAATTTATTTTCGGGCCTGAAGAGATCGTAGTCAAGCAGGTTGAGCTCTCTTCCGATACCTGTTTAATACATCTTACGAGAATGGCATCATATCTTATAGGAATGAAGTGTCTGCTTCTATACACAATATGCACAACATTTCTTTCATCCGCATCGTCCTGCATGGTTCCCCGGCACGGGATAGTCGCTTTCGTATGGTCAACGTTCGAATTTTCTTTATGTTGATCACCCGCAACGTATGTCGTTGCTCCAAACCTTACACGAATCACCTACTAGCAACGTTGCCTTGCTAATTACGCCTTGATCTGTCGCCAAGCAATTCGCGGTTTTTGTCCCCTCGGCATGTCCCTCATATTGGCTGCATCTTTCCACATGGTGCAGGAAGTTGGAGTATGAGAATATACTCTTGGGGAATTACTTCCATTTTATTTCGGGCCTGAAGAGATCGTAGTTAAGCAGGTCGAGCTCCATTTCGATTACCAGTTTGAACTAATCTTACGATATCCTATAGGAATGAAGTGTCTGTTTCTAATATGAGGTTCGAACTCACCTGTCGCGCGAAGTGATAGAACCGGTTGGATGACAGCCGTCGCTGTGGCGCGTGATGCGGGAGCAATGGAACTGATGGAGCTGTCCATATACATGTACAACATTTCTTTTATTTGCATCGTCCTGCATGGCTCACTGGCACATGACGACCGCATTCGTATGGTCAACGCTCATTTTTGTCGCGCGTCCGGTGCTGATCCAGAACATACCATAAACTCCGTCAATGTTGGAATATTAATGAGCGCATGTTATTCTTTGTCGATGACTGTTATCTCTATCTCGAGTTAAATATAACGCTCGGTGCTTATGGATATTCCGAGTCAAAGTTTGAGTTTTATATAGGTATGATTTGGAAATTGATTTCAAGTCCGTCTAGGAGATTTCTGTAGGAGGCTATATAAGTCTTGATGAGGTCAACTCCAATTATTAGGCCTGATCGGATCAGACTGTCAGAGCTGGGCACTCGAATTAGCACGGGCTTGGCATGGGCTGACAAGTACTCGACAGTTAAGCGGAAGTAAGACGAGGGCTATGTCCAACATAGCCCAAGACAGATGAAAAAACCCACTTGACCAACTCTGGGGTAAGCGCCAACGGTTGTTAATTTCAACTCAGCGAGACATCGTCGGTTCGGAGGCGATGGATAGTATTTACATTTGTGAAACCTGCAATGGAGGCCACCAAGTACCATGTAACTACTAGTTTGTGGCAAATCACTTGCTGAGCTGGAATGGACTCGCATGTGGAGCTGAACTCGTGGGGCACTCTCGATCTTTTTTTTCTTCTTCTCGCCCGCGGATTCAGTGTTTGTCAATGCTGTATACCATCAATATGATTAGGATGAATGGTACGAGCTTTCGACTGCGAATCATCTTGCATGCACCCGATACCGTTCTGACCCAGTAACATGGCTTATCGACGGTATATGGCGCGGTCAAGCATATGACCAGTCGAACTAGAGTCACATTTGCTACTAGTAGCCTCCGAGTCATGATTCTATCAGCCCATATTAATTACCTATAAGCGGAGTTCAGGACGGATATAGGGCCCGGGTTGGCGCTAAGCGTCAGCCTTGGATAGATTGTGTTGAGTGGAACGTTGCTGCCAGTGAGGATCGGATCAACGATCATCAATCAAGGCTTTAACACGGATAATAAGGCCTTAAAGGGTAGGCCCGGGTATCCTGTTACCCTTCCGAACTCGTACTTTGACTCCTAAGTGCGTTACCTCACTCACCCATCGCATATCTGCTATAGCCTCCCCCACCCTGTAGTCTCTCCGCCTACCTTCCCGGGCTAGCCCTCCCTTGTCACGCCACAAACTTAGGAAGAAGCCTGGCACTGCCTCCAACTTCACGCCGACCCCGCGCCAAGCGTGTGAGCTTGGTTCTACTTAGAATGGTTCGAGGCATATGGTCGCTCCCTAAGTACACAAGATAAGGAGAGCACCAGAAAAGATGATATGATACCGATAGATACGCACACCGATACAAAGCCGTCGTCGCATCAGGTTTTGCAACATATAGCCGGCCTTAATCGCATCCCACCCTGCGGCGTTATCGGGATGATGTATATCGAGTTTGGGACGGAGAAGGATGATGAGCGATGAGGGCGTGCGCGGCATCTTAATTACCGGATAACGACGCCGAGGGCAGCGAAAGTAACGGATGGTCGAAGTTTAGCGCGGTGGTGGGCGTATACAGTTGATAAAAATTTAATATGGGAGTTAGATGAGCGCGAGGCTGGAGCCGCCCCTCGCCTAGGCTCCAACGGACGAGCGAAGTCTGGTGCGGTGGCGTACGTACTGATGAAATTTGACTTGGGAGTTAGATGGGCGCGGACGGGAGGTTAAGGTTTAAGGTTAAGGTGGCGACTTTTTGTGTAGACGAATCGTTTTGCCGTCCACATTGGCGTTGGCGAGCACCAGTAAGTTGTCTTGCTCATGGTCATGAAGTTTTGGTCGCCACTGTTATACCGGACTCGTGACCAGTCTGTCTAACGGTTGATCACACAGATTGGTCACGAATCCAACTACTATGGTCGAAGGCAAAGGAGGTGTTCGACTCGGAGGCCTCGTCATCACGATTACACTTGAAGTACCTGATTCTTGTCAGCATTTGGAAGACGACGTACTTCGAGAGGGTAATTGTTACAGGGCAGATTTCATTTAGAAAGAGCTGTGTGTGCCCTGTTACTACCGTTCCGAAGTAGCTCGGCTCCTAACAAGGTCCCTATTACATCACTCGCAAAGACCTCAACCACCGTTCGGTAATTCCCATTACAACGTCTGTGCTAACGTTCCGTCGACGTTGGCGTCACTCGAGCTACAAGTGGTTTCTCCTGCCCCTCTTTCGCTTCCTACAGCATACGGACTCATCAGCCGCATTAACGCTCAGCACCGATGGACGGACGTCACCGTATCGACCAGCTTGCGGTCAAGCGCATCATACCTCGGGGACCGGCGACAACGCTTTCCCATACACCACTTTTTGGCTTCTCCTGAATCATCCTCGTGTCCTCATCTCCCTCGTGTTTTGCCACCGTGACAGAATCTGGCTGTGCAGGGCAGCCATCTCCTCAGACTTAGCAGCATTTATGCTTTACATCTGATGGAATTTAGATCATGAACCAACGTAATGATTAATTGCTTAGGCTGGGTCGACTCGGAGATCTGAGGATGCAATATAAGATATTCACTGCCGGTGTGGCGGGGACACAGCGTTGATAATCTAGTAATGGGTGCAGGAGAGGAACAGACAGTCCAGGATGATGTAAAAATCACGGATCGGCGCTGTTCCAGGAAACTGGGCGACGGCATAATAGTTAAGGCTGTAGGAAGTAACGGGAGCAGGACAAGGATTACGGACACCAGGGTTGAAAAAAAACAAGGCCAAGGATGCAGCTGAAGATGACTAAGCTTCGTAAGTAGTACTGTGCCTTTCTGTAACAGTTTACGGGGTCCAACCTAACGTCAACATGTTGATCTACTATCTCAAAACAGCCATTCGGATCGGACAATTAGCGGCACCTAAGCTCTCCTGAGTACACATGCAAGTGACGGAAATTCCATAAGGAGACTAGATGTCTTTGTTCGCTCCTACTGTTCCAGACCAGCTGCCTACCTGACGTGGCGCCAGGACAGTCGAAATACAATACCACCGATCTTCTTAATGCAACGGACGATGATGCCGCATCATCATGACATACGAGCAAGGCACCAGTCGAGGCAGGGATGAAAGAAAGATAACAGGGTTGCATGAGGAGGCTGAAATCCATTTGCAAATTCATTGGCGCGCGTCACGTTCTCCCTAATGCGGCAATATTTATTATATGATAATCTTTTCAAGCCTGTGCGGAGAGTCATGTTAATGCATCGCATGGGTGCAGGTATTACCCAAACAGAAACGATAAACCTTTTCTGATAAATACCCCGGTACGCATTGCTTGTCGTGATTCTTCATTCCGCCATGCTCCCTCCTTCTCCCCCTTCTTACGACGTACTCATCGTTGGTGCCGGTGTAGCAGGGCCGGCCCTTGCCCATGCCCTTGCCACAAAAACAATTCAAAAACGCAAGACTCCTTTGCGGATAGCTCTACTCGAGCGGTCCTTGTCCAAACCAGACCGTATCGTCGCTGAATTGCTCCAACCAGGTGGCGTTACCGCCCTCAAGGAACTTGGTCTAGAGTCATGCCTTGCCGAAGTCGGCTCTGTTTCTTTATCAGGTTATTACGTGCTGCGAGGGGAGAATGGCATCTGCGCCTCATTCCCTCAAGGCCATGATGCCAGAGCTTTCGATCACGGGTCATTTATCATGTCCTTGCGCGACCGCGCACGCAGAGCGCCCAATGTCGACATCATTGAAACCACAGTAAACAGCCTCATCGAGCACCAGGACACACATCGTGTAATAGGTGTTCGCGCCACCAAAGCGGGTAGTCAGCCAGAGTCATATTTTGCTGATCTCGTCATTCTCGCGGATGGCTCCTCATCCAAATTCAGAACCGCCGTCCTCGGGAACATGCCGTATGAACCTTCGCAAAGGGGTTACTTGGCAGGTCTGATCGTGAAAGACCTAAAGCTGCCGGTGCCAAAGTACGCAACTATGATTGTACTGAAAGGCGCTGGACCAGTCATCCTTTTTGAGCTCCCCAACAATGAGTATCGGATGCTGATCGAAATGAAGGAGTCGCCGCCAGATCTCAAGGTTTGTAATTCCATATTGATCATGATCTCCCCCACTTACTATTAATATTGCAGGAGCATGTATTGCGCGACGTCATTCCTCAGCTTCCATCATCGATACGCCCATACATTCTCAATGCTCTGGAAACGTCGCGTCTGCGAAAAGTTCCGCATTTTTATCTTCCAGCCATAAAGCAGGGAGAAAGTAGCAAGCCAGGGGCGTTCCTTTTGGGAGATTCATTAAATATGCGCCACCCGCTAACTGCGGGTGGAATGACGGTCGCATTGAATGATGCGGTCATCCTCTCTGATCTTCTGGCCAACGTCGAGAGCTTTGCCAACTGGAATGAAATATCGCCCATCCTTCGGAAGTGGCATCAACTGAGAAAACCGCTCGCGGGCACTATCAATACCATGAGCATGAGTTGGGCTGGTCTATTTGCTGCCGACGGTACGTCAATATCAATATCACCTATCGAATGTTTGAAGGCTTATGATTGTCCATGTACGCAGGCGAGGCATTTGATATTATGCAGGAAGGAGCATTCAAATTTTTCGGGAAAGGTCCCGAGTATTCCGAGGGACCTATGTCGTTAGCAGCCGGGTCAGTAATATATCGACAGTTTGTGATTATCGCGCTTATCTGTTCCGGAATCCCTAGGATCACAAAGTCTCCCTTACTACTGGCACAAAGTTCTCTCGCCATTGCGATTTACTCCATTTGGGTGTTGTTCACCCACCCTAGACCTGGAAATAAACATGCTCCGCAATTTTACGAATACCCAATGCTTTTTGTTAAAGCACTGAACGTCGTAAGCTCATTTAATGCGCATTTTGGAACATGTTGACCGATTTTATGGTATAGATATGGACTATGGGCATGGTGATGGGGCCGGTGTTATGGGCGGAGATGTGATACCCTTGAGACCTATATCAGATCAATAGAGACTTCTAATATTATGCCTCATGTACACGTACGATTAATATATTCTTCCGACTCGCACAAACTTTGCAACTGGCATAAAGCCGTCAATTAACAACCGACATAGGGCCTTGATATAGGTGGTGTGGGGCGCCACAACCCGTGACATTGACAATTCATGTCATCATTTCAACACCGTCATTGATGGTGCTTGCTATGTACTGTCAGCGGGCGCCGTTAAGTGATGTCCAGGGTAATTCCAAAAAAGTGCGGATGCCAGATTCGGTCCTTGAGTCAGAAGCGACACTTGGTGTCGACATAGAGAAGGTTAACGAGGCATAGCCAAGAGATAGTCCGACTGAGAAGACATACGAGCTCGATGAGGGGGACCTATGGCAGATTTTCCGGAGCAATTATATCAGCTAGTGAGTAAGGGTAGACGCAAAACAAGTTTCTGTAAACGTCACGTGGTGTGACCGGTGTGTGACTTGCCGTGTTCGTAAGGCTTTAGAATTCAACAGGACCATACAACGTCACGCCACCAAGTATTCATCCACGTTTGATCGACGTCTCACAAACAACATGCAGACAGTCAGTTGGAACGCAAATCTATCCATGGTCTCGGACATTATTTCTGCGATGCAGAACATGGTAAGTCCTTGAAAAAAAGTTTAAATACGTCACTCTGCGAATAATAACCAAGCGTTTCAGCTACATTCGCAAGCAACTGTATGCCACCGTCTACATGTATGCATCCGATGTGTTATTGAAAAATGACAGATGCTGGACCTCGAGACCCCATACTCCAGAGCCGCACTTCTCAACCCTAATCACTGCGCAATCGAGCTCGAAGACCAGAGTATCGATGCTATCATCACCGAACGCCGGCAGCAGTTAGACACAGTTTTGTGCGAAATTTCAGACCTGGAAACGATCATGGATGGTATACAAACTCTTCACAGACAAGTCCTCGAAAAGAAGAACAAGTTAATCGAGTCCATTAATTCGCACGAGAGACTTAGATTGGCTCTGTGGCGCTTGCCAACTGAAATTCTATCCCACATTTTCGTTTCCTGTCTCCCAGAAGACAAGTACTTGTTGCCCGCATCAAGGCTGCCTCCCATCCTGTTGACTAGAATATGCCGACGATGGAGGGAGGTTGCTGTGGGCACACCTGGTTTATGGTGCAGACTGCGTTTAGCAGTCGAGCATAATGACTGGCAGAAACGAGCCTTTTGCTACGACGCGTGGCTCAAGCGAACTCAAGACCATCCGCTCTCGCTGGCACTCCGCTGCTACGATAACTGGACACCACTAGTCCAAAGCCTTCTCCGGCCTTACATCCATCGAATCTCTTCTCTCGACATCGATTTTCAACGAGTGGAGCAACCTGAATGCGTATTCAAAGACTTCTCAGCGCTTCAAGAGCTGATCATTCCCAATCCTATCACATTCAAGCTGCTATCTTCGTTCGCGCCCTGTATGGGCCCACCTAACAAAAGTCGAGATTTCGATAGATAGACAAGATGCATTCCTGCATCTGCTCCGGCTATGTCCTAACCTCTCCTCATTAACGAATCACGTGGCATTCTTCCAAAATAAGTCCTTGAAGCCGTTCACGCACCCCAAGCTTGAATCCTTGCGTCTCTATGGCAATCCTTGGATATGCAGAGAACCATTGTGGGGCATGTTTAGTGCTCTCTCGCTCCCCAATTTGCGCGTACTTCATGTTTGGAACACATCGACGTGGCCTCATGAGGAGTTCAAAATGTTTTTGGAAAGGTCAGCGTGTCCCCTTGAGAGCCTGGTTTTTGGCGGTATAGTGATTACGACTGTGGAGCAACGAGTGGAATACGTTGCCCTTGTTCCTTTGCTTCAGGTAGTAGTTCGAAATACCGGTCGTACTTCTATATGTGACAAGTAATCCACAGCTCTTTCATTGTGACGAGGAGTGTTGTTAATTGATACAGCAGTAGATGGTCGGATACATGTGTAATGGTAGAAATTCATGCAATGCACGTTCGGAAGAGCCATCAGTTTCGGTGAGCACAGAATTTAGAAATAGGAATGGTACTTCAACGTTGCTGGTTGTCTGAGATGCTTCCCGCTGACGAAAGGTCAGAATATCATGCTTTCGATGGACTGACCTTCTGATGGCGCAGGTTGGACGCAGGACGATATGGTGGCTCATCGCACTGTTTTTTTAGTGTGATTTGCTAACACTTTTACGACTCGAGCCACTGTAGAGCTAGACAGGGTCGACTATCAAGACTGTTGATATATCTCAAGCATTTTAGGGAGCGTAGTGACCATGAATTCAACATAAGTGTAGGGAGGACAACGAGCAATGATAACAGTGACGAGAATTCTGGTCAAACTCAATTAGAAGCAGAAACAGAACCGGCCGCGACCATGTTGTCCAGAGTTGGCATTCCCTGGACGTGAGCCAAGCGTGAAAGAAGGAGGAGGAGAAACATAATCCTCGTCGCGTATCACGCTATTATCAGGTCCGGGAGCACCTGCTGTAGCGTACCGCTATGCATGAATGCATGAGATTTGTAGTACGATGAGAAGAAATGAGATGAGCATACCAGTTTACCTGGGGCGAGAGAAACAGCAATGACAATTGGCGATGCAGGACCTGCATGAATGGGCCACCACGTTGATAGTCGATGTAAGCGGGATGTGAGGCTCTGGGAGGTATTGATGACGGAGGATTGAGTGGTGTGTGGTGCTGGTATGGATCGAGACTAAAAGAATGTAGGTCGAATACATAATGATGGAAGTTGGCACTCACGTTATCGCCTGGTGTTATACTTAAGTGGATGAGGTAGGGGGGATGTAGCAGGAAACTGCAAGGAAAGCGTTAGGTCGACTGGGAAGCAAACAGGTAAAAGAAACATACGTCTAAGGGGTTAAGACGCCGATCGGTGTGAGTTGTGTCCATGCGAAAGAGCTTGCACAGAAAGCGGAGGCGAGGATGTGGGTCCCTGGTATGCAAAGGTCGAGGGATGTGAGACACGACAGGCATTATCATTGGTTTACGGTGCACGGGACGACGTGTTGCATTGGACTGCAAGGAAGGACAGTGTGATGTAGACGAAGAAAAGAACATAACCACATACGTCAAGTAAATCAGCATGGGATGGGTGTTTAGACTTGCTGTTCTGTAAGAATATTAGCGTATCAATGATGTATTTATGGGGAAATACATACACTAGGTTGCGGTTCTTCTGCAAGCCCGATGGTAGCAAGAATATCGGTTGGAATGTTGCATATGTAGATTTCGGCAGCATTGAACGTCGCATAAGCTAGTTGGCGTGAATCAGGCGAAAGGATGAGGGTCATGGGAAATCTGACGTCGAACAAAGCGAGGAGCTGGCGGGACTCGAAGGCCCACAGCTCGATACTGTTGAAGGTAGAGCAGGCGAGAAGAACACAATCGGATGAGAGTGCTAGACAATGGATGTCCTCAGCGTGTCGGAGGGGAGCCCCGAGAGTCTTGAGTGTCGACGCGTCAAGCTCATCGATCGTAGTGAAGCGGTCGTTCTTGGAGTAGAATGCAGTTACGATGGATTTGTCTTTTGTTGTCCAGAAGACCGGGAACTCTGACCACCTATAGATAGGAATAGATTTTTGTACAAGCAATTTCTTTGCTTGGACATCCCACACGGTCCACACCTGAAGCCATTGCGCCTGGACCTGATCTCGTAAAACTGATAGGACCGCCAACTTCCGAGAGTCTTGCAAGAATCGAAGTCTTGAGTTATCATCGCCAGTTTCGAATGGACCAGCCAGCTGCAGTAGTTCGCCTGTGTCCAACCTCCATATCCGCACTGTTCCATTGTACAGCCTACCCGCTAATAGCAACGTGCTATCCGCTGAGATTTGGATGTGAGTGGGCCCAAACTTTGCGCCAGTGTCTTCATGAAATGTTCTCACGATCCCCGTCTCAACTTCACTGACTTTGAGTTCCTTAGTACCAGCAGTGACAACCCATCGACCATCCCTCGATACCCTCACTGCGCTCAAACCATACTCGCAAACCTCCCGAGCCTTCTCGATCTCCTTACCCTCCCGCAGGTCCCATCGCCGAATGGTCTTATCGTCTGATGCGCTGATCATCCGCTTGCCGTCGGGAAAATAGGAAATGCATGAAATGTGTTTGCGCTCGTAACTCGAATCTGGCCCTCCAACTTTTCATGGTTTATGTCCCTTCAATGTCATGACTGGTTTCAGAATCGATTTGTTTTCTGCTGCACTGGGCTGCGTCGAGCTGGAAGCCATCCCAACTGTATTCGCCAAACAAGCTGGGAAGTATGTCGGTTAAGTGTTCACCGGTAAGTTTTCTTTGTGGTTAGGCTTGATGTCGAGTAATTTTCAACTCTTACTCGTTCGAGAGCTGTTGCGATTTGCCTGTTCGTCAGTTTATTCGCGTGTGATGCTCACATGAGTTTTAGTCTTACCAGGATGCTAGCAAGGACGAAGAGCAATGATGGGCATATAGGTGCGCTCCATCTCTATATTATATCTTCCATATGGCTGTGCATCGTACAGCATGTCTTTTTTTAACTTCATACTATTTCCAGATTCAGTCAAACGTAGACTGCCCCGCCACGTCCTTTGTGAATAAAAGGAAAAAATCCTCTTTACTCTTTAGCTCGATAGTCTATACCCACTCAAAATTGCCCGCGGGCTCCTCATTTCTTGCGAGTCTTCAATATTCAGCTCTCACCTCTGGAGCACCTGTCCAACGTCACACGCAAATTCCAGACTGCTCACTACGATCTATTGAAACATACACGGCTGAATTCGAGCCATTGCCATGGATCCAAGGCGAACACTGAGTCATGAAGTACGTCAGTCAAATACCGTGTCTCTGCGTTCATCCGCCCCTCGAAGAGGATCAAGCTAAATATATTTTAGACATCCTCGGACCGATACTTCGAGTTTTGCAAGTGAACCGATTAACATATAGGTGCAAAGCATCTCGCGACAGTTCACTCTGCGTGCATTCTCCATACCCCATGGCTATGGTTCGACGTCAAGCTCTTTCTCGTTTCAATCTTGTATATGTGCCCACTTGAAAAACGTCACAATGAACACAGACGATCGGGCACAGTTCTCCAGTTACTCCAGTTGGCTCCCAAGCGCACATACTTGTCTTCATAACTGAAATCATGAACTTGGAGCCATTTACACACACCAAACTTTAATCCTTACACGTCGCCCGTGAAAGTGATTATACGTCGTATAGGTCCGCGTGGCGATTATCCAAGCTGTTCGATGCATATATGTATATACCCTAACATGTCCCTCTGCGGCTCAATCTTTATATGCACGCCGAATCATCCGATCCGTCACATTAAGTTCTCGAATCATAATCGTGGCTAAGGCCGTGCCATTACTGGGACGACAACTCCAGTGTACTTGTTCTTCTCAGGGAGCACCTTGTCAACCGTTCAACGCTCCAGATACACCCGTCAAGTTGCTTTGTTTTAATTTCACCTTTTGATATTTCGTCGGTGTTCTAGCTTCAATAAATATTGAAGCAGGAAACTGAGGATAACATATCGTTTGCAACTTGAGAGAAAAAGTGACTCTGTTGAAATTCAGGTGTGTTATCACTAAAAATTCAAGAATCAATAGTGGAAGAGACGTGATTGATGCAACGAGAATCGGCCCTTCAATGCGTATGGTAGGAATGTGGGGAGTCTCAAAGCCTAATTTTTGTGAGTACCTTCACACCTATCAAACAAAAAATTCAAATACTCAATACTACAGTAGGGCGAAATAAAGGTTACAAGTCGACAAATTCTATATTCTTCAGTTATCGTTCACATGAGAAGAACAGATCTCGGATGGTTTAGTAGTACCGACCAAGCGTGTTGAAGCCACTGGCAAGTGACATCACCCTTCCACAAATTCCACAGGCGATCACGCGGATTTCCTTTGCAACACAATGCAGGGTCTCTCGGTGTGGACGGCTGCTTTTTCATTTAAGATCCACTAAAAAACCACAATCATAAGGTATGTTCGTTGTGGACTGTGGTTTGCGAAGTGTTGTATTTAAATAAGGACGCGATGGTTGACAGAACTTCCTTCTTCCAATCTCCATATCCACAGCCCAGCTTCCCTCGCGTTAATATGCAAACATTTAATGCAAACGCCTACTCATTTGGAGGCTCGGATACCCTGCATAACATTGTAAGTGCTCTGTTTTGGAGGTGTTCGTGTCTGAATGATAAACATCCACTCCAGCATGTGGATGTAGCCAGGCAAGAAGTCTCAAACCAAAACGGTGTCAGCTATCGTCACCGGCAAGGCATTGAAGAGAAGGCCAATTCTCACAAGGCGTTTCCATCGGCTATTTCGCGCTTGCCCACAGAAATCCTCACCCAAATCTTCTTGTACTGCATCCCAGAAGACGGAGACTTGACGCCTACACGAGATCTAGCCCCCATGTTGTTGACCACAGTATGTCGACGATGGCGGGAGGTCGCTGTGGACATACCGAGCCTATGGCGCAGGCTGCGTTTGGAAGTCGGGCACGGTGACTGGAAACAGAGAGCTTTCTGCTATGACACCTACCTCAAGCGATCGCGAGGACGTCAGTTGTCATTGACACTTGAGTGTCATGCTGATGACTCGACGGAGCTACGAAGCCTGCTCCATCCATACGTCGATCAAATATCATCGCTGTCTGTCGGGTTATTTTACGGTACTGGCTCTTGTCCAGTGGTGGTAGCAGATTTTGGGGGACTCGAAGAGTTGGTTATGTACACGAAGGGTTCTGATCCCGTGCTAGCTCTCGCGCACTCCATCACCCACTCTATCACGCAACTGCCGCCCAGCATGCACACTCTCAAGATAACGGACCTGTGGCTTGACCTTAAAATATTATCTGGCTTCAATCCTCTCGCATGGGCCAGTCTCACGAGTCTCGAGATCGTGGTAGAGGCACTCGATTGCTTCCCCCACTTACTCCGCATGTGTCCCAACCTCACATCCTTGACGATCATTGGCATTTTCATGTCGGCGATCGAAACCTCGGACACAACGTCGCACCCCAAGCTTCAATCCTTGCGCATATCCGGGGATTTGAGTTTGGATTGGATCGGAGATTTCGGGCTATTCGATATCATCACGCTTCCTAGTCTGCGCGCGGTCGAGGTTCGCAATGTAGGGACATGGCCTCATGAAGGGTTCAAGGCGTTTTTGACGCGGTCTGGGTGTCCCATCGAGAGCTTAATCTTTGGCGGTGGAGTGATGATAACGGATCGGCAGCTAGAAGAATATGTTACTATTTTTCCTTCTCTCGCGGTAGTGACAGATCCTATGCGTTCCTCGTTTTACTTTTGACTTGAATGAACTCGGACAATAGTTTATACTTATCCTACACAATTGTTTGGTGCTACGTAGTTCACGATATGATGATACGGAGATTGTGCCATAGCCTATACTTATCCTACGATACGAATATGATCGCGACTCAGTCAGGAGACGGGCAGGCATCTGACCAAAACCAGCCTGACTTATTCAGCCAGCACACCGGCCATGATTCTGAATAGTAGCACCACTGCCTTGGGAGTACTGTTTTTCTCTAGTATACCTTCTAATTGTATGAATGAAGGCTTGGGCGAATGACCATAAGCTGCACTCGCAGGGCCACTCTTATCGCGCATTATTTCTTTACTTTGTTTTATGATTATTGTGACTAAAGTACATTAACTGCGTCCCACCCCAACCATCATCTAGTAGTCCAAATCTCATTCCTCTGACGACTATGCCATATGATAAGACGTTACAATATAAGATCTGCAGGTGACATGTCCGACATAGAAATGTATACCAAGGCATCAGAGTTATGCATGTGCTGGTCGAAATGCCAGAGATGGAGGTGCATACGCGTTCCAAGGATCGCAAGGATGTATACCTGAAAACTGTCAAGTATTTAGGTATCATCAGTAGCAGGAGTCAGCGACAGAAGTTGGAATTGCATACTTTTCGAGGGCGGTATAGTATGGGGACTGCATGTGTGGAACGTCAACGGCTTAATTATATTGAAAGGTACCGGGAAGTTTACGCACATTTGGAAATAGCGCTGGCACGAGGACATTTGTGGCCGAGAGAACTTTGGAAACAATGATTATCACCGATGAGTACGGAGATATGTGTAAGTCCAGACTCACAGAGACCGCATGCATAGTAGTACATGTTATGTTTCACCAGGACGGCTTGCAGAGGACCGTTGGCCGACCGCCAGCTCTGTACGGCACGTATCAGTGTGAGAGAAAATAGTCCTGGGGTGAGCGTCGGTAAGCAATATATCTGCAATCTATCCTCCTGGTCCCTAGCAACATACCCAATTGAAACACAAACAAGAAAATAAACGACATGTAGTAAAGGACACCGCTCGAGCTTCCAGAACAGCCTGGGATGCCTGGGATCCCGCTAGTCGTAACTGCGAATGCGGGGTGAATATGTGTGAATGGTAGTGGGGGAAGGTGAGGGCACAAACCGTATGAGGTGGAAATAATGATAAAACGAATGCTAATGGATGTTACGACCATAGCCTGACTAATTCATCAACCATGAGATTAAATGCGTTGAGGGCATGGGACTCACAAAAGCGGTGGACAGCATGATTACAAGTACGATCTTATTGTTGTTCCAAAGCGCGTATGTTCTGAGCATAAAAAAACCTATATGAATCGGGTGAGGAATACGCATGTTATGCAAGAAGAAGAAATACATTCAGAGCAGGTGAGTGATATCTGGCTGAGAGCTGTGAGAGGAAAGGTAGCACTTAACAGGGACGTGTATGGAGCATGTACCATGCACGTACATGAGTAAATATCGATCAATATCTGGCATTTCTGGCGAAATCATATAGTGAGCATCAATGTAAGTCCGTTATAGGTCCACATACATTGGAGGTTCTGTTCGGGGTAAAGTTTACTGAAAATAGAACACGTCGATATGTTATCGAGAATATTGTTCTAGAGCTCATCAACGTACGACATAGGTACATGGTGATGAGAAAAAAGGGGAGATATCGTGTGACGATGTAGAGGGCTTTGACTTTGGTTAAGCGCGACCGACGCAGAAATGTCCACTTTGAACAACGTATTGTCAATATCGCCACTCAAGGAACAAAAGTCATTACCTCTTCATGAAGCGAACAAGCATAATCATAAGTCTGTGTAAACAAATTTAGTGGCTGACGGGAAGAGATCAGGATAGGCTTACCCACAATGTCGTCATCGACACTGAGATGTTAAGTTAGAATGAATACGAAGCAATCCACACAATGATACTACATACTGTATAGGTACTGCAATGGAACATGATATGTTATATTTTCCTCGGCGTTAAGAAAGCGACGCACCACTAATCGCTGCAGACTCGTGGCCAGTGAGATATCGACAGCCGAATACTCCATCTGCGTGTAAGTGAAGAATCCACACGCGTCACGCACCTTCTTATCTTTGAATGATCCGGACGAGGCGCAACAGCTCAATCGGCCAATATCATCCACCGCTGCCAAGCCTAGCTATACAGTGACTAGGGTGACTCGTATTCCCGTATCTCTCGGGGCTACCTGTATAGTCATCTGAACACGGAAATCATCAGTGCTAAAGAGCCTTGCACTCTTTTCTGCGAATATTATGTAAGCATTCGTTTCAGATATAATTGGATGTGGCCGCTCTATTCCGTAGCGAGGCACGAGTGAAGGATTAGAGTAAGGTCTTCGGGAGAGCGGAAGACGCCGGTAACGTCTCTTGTTTCCGCTCCTCCATCTAGTAGCTCGCAGTATCTAATCCTAGCGAGTTTTCTTTTCTATTTCTTCCCGTTAATCATCCGTCTTTCCCATCATATCTTAAGAGCTCTCATAAAATTCACAAAACCTAAACTCTCACTTACACAACATGGCTAGAATCGCAACGAACCCAGCACTTGACATTCAACCCGACTTTGCCTCCCCTACCTTCGAACTCCTCAGAAATCGAATCATCGGCGGCACGCAAATGACGCACCAGGAAGTAGCTGCTGATCTGATCGCAGCGTGGCAGCAAGACCGAAACCTCAGGAGCATCGCCTGGGTCGAGCAAGAGACTGAAGATGCGCGCTTAGCAGCTGAAGCCGCACAGGCAGAGCACGAGCATCTGGAGCAAGAACGCCTACGCATAGAACAAGAGACTGAAGCAGAGCTACACGAGGTCGAAAAGAAGAAACCCAAAATCAACGACTTCAAGAGCGGAATGGCCGTAGGTGACACCCTTACCCCGCGCCCATCTCAGTATGCGATCCACAAGCTCAAAACCTTTGAGTACGTCGAATTGTGGTATTTCAGCCCAGACGGTTGCAAGGAAACCTCAGACGAAGCGAAGTCAACTGCGGACGACACATTCGGCTTCGCCAAAGTCGATGATTTCGTCGCTCTCAAACCAGTGGCCTCCTTCAAAGCATCACGCAAGGCCATCCAGGATCACAGCCTCGAATGGCATCAGTTTGACCTGGCCAAGAACAACTTCCTCCTCTACATCAACAAACTGAATTGGCCGGAGAAACATCAGCGTGCTCTGACCATGTTCTTCATGAACATCGTGGCGCACCCATCTCGTTCCGAACCCTTTGGCGAACGAGCCCTACTCCTATACGCAGCTCGTGTACAACGAGACTGGCACGATCTTCTCGTTCTAGACAACGCGTTTGACATCAGTGTATTCAATCTGCTGTTACTGAAGAACATGACTGAGGAAATTTGGAATAAAACACGGTTCGAGAGCCTCACTGAGGTCAGTATGCTTCAAACATTGTGCAAGCGGCTGTCAATACTGACTCGTCATCCGCTCCCTCTCATACTTATGTCAAAAAATGTGACAACTGCTGCCATCTCCCGCTTCCGCTACATGCTACCTCTCTGCTCCCGCTACATGCTACCTCTCTGCTTCCGCTACATGCTTCCTCTCTGCTGCCGCTACACGCTTCCTCTCTGCTTCCGCTACACGCTTCCTCTCCAGCTTCCACTACATGCTTCCTCTCTGCTTCTGTTTTTCGCTCCCATCACCATCGGCCCCTTTCCCCCGCTTCCCATACCTCCAGTTTCAGCTTGGCCACCAAACGCAGCGAAACCCAAACCAGGACCAGCCTGCCTCGCACCGAAATCAGAATCGCAATGGGTTGCGGCATGCTAGATCTCGTTCTTGCTCTCCACCACGCAATTCCTCTGGTCGTCTTCCCCCCCGCCCTTCTTCTCCGAACCGGCAGCGTGCGCGAACAAGATGAAAGAAAACCTGCCCAAGACAGGCAGTCTTTTCAGGTCGGCGCAGCATCCAACGGCCACTATGCTTGCGCCCTCTGCCTTGGCCGCTTCGCGCACAATGTGCACAAATGCAAGAGCGAGTTCTTATGGGACAGCAAAACTCCCACTTCCTGTCGTCGAAATGCCGAGGGTCGTCTCAGTCAATGCCCGAGGCCTACAGCTGTGTTACGATTGGCAACACCCCAACAGTTGTTCAAGCACCAGCAAAGACCATGTGCACGAATGTTCTGGATGCGGGAACGCAGATCACGGAGCTCAAAATTGTCCTCGAGGACAGGAGGCTTAAGGCCCTCACCCCGTATATTCCCGATGCTTGGCTTCAGGTCCTTACAAAATCTCGTCTTATACTTAAATATCCGCATACACCACACTCATTACAATACGGCTTCTTTGGTAGTATTCCCATCATTACAAATACATACACACCACCTAATAACCCTTCCATCATCCAACACGCTGATGCCTTTGCCACGATCCTTGCCCGAGAATTTAAGACTGGCCGCTACCTGGGTCCGCTCTCCAAAGCAAACCTGGAGTCACTCATTGGCCCTTTCCAAACCTCCCCGCTTTCTCTTATCCCCAAACCTGGGAAACCGGGAAAATTCCGCCTCATCCAGAACCTATCACACGAAGCAAATTCTCCTTCACAACACATTCAATCCATTAATTCACGCATCGACTCTAACATCTACCCTTGTACATATGGTACATTCGCTACTATTTCGTTATTGGTCTGGAGACTCCCTCCTGGCTCTGAAGGAGCAATGCAAGATGTCGCAGAAGCTTATAGAACCATTCCCCTCCATCCTTCCCAATACCCAGGCCTCGCGGTACGTACAGGAGAAGATGAGTTTGCAATCGACACTAGTTTTTGTTTCGGGTGCTCGTCGGCAGCAGGGTCTTACGGTGGACTTGCAGATGCAGGGGCGGATGTTCTGCGCAGTGAAGGAATTGGCCCGCTTTCAAAGTGGGTCGATGACCACCTTTTCTTTCGAATTCTCCTCAAGTACCTGGACAGGTACAACGAGCAGAGAACATCTTGGGCTCAGGGCATACAGGCCTCTGGTGGACTTCGCATCGATGGCGGGAGAAAATGGTATCGAGGAATCTCATTCCCAGACGAGCGAGTGGAAGAATTCGACGAGGATTGCTCATTCCCCATCCGCGATTTCTCCCAACGAGCACCACGTTCTCCCCAAGATGCCCTATTTTCATGTTGCTTCGACGACATTGATTTCTTCTCCGCGCAGACAGGAACACCATGGGAACCATCGAAAGATGTACCTTCCAGCTCCGAGCCACCATTCACAGGTTTCATATGGCACCTGGACTCCCACACGGTTGAACTTGCGGCCGGGAAAAAGGAGAAGTACTTGGCGGCAATCTCAACCTGGGAGGCCCAACCACGCCACACCCTTGCCGAAGTCCAAAAACTCTATGGCAAGCTCTTGCATGCCGCACTCATTGTTCCCGCTGGAAGAGCCTACCTCACCGAGTTGGAAGCCATGCTTCCTATCTTCGGTAATCGTCCGCTCGTACCTCATTCCCCTCCCAAGGACTGTCCCGCAGATCTCAGATGGTGGACTGCAACCCTCCGCAAACCTACCATCTGCAGAGCCGTCCCAGGGCCATGCGAAGTCGTTGATCCCAACGCCTTCTCAGATGCTAGCTCAGGCGTGGGTGTCGCAATTTGGATTGACGGCTGGTGGAGGGCATGGAGACTCGTTCCTGGCTGGAAAAATGACAACCGTGACATTGGATGGGCTGAAGCCATCGGTTTTGAGTTCCTCGTCCTTGCCATCACACGCGCTCCCAAACCCAAACCAATACCTTATTTCAAGGTTTACGGAGACAACCGAGGAGTTGTTGAAGGCTGGTGGAAAGGGCGCAGCCGCAACCGCGCAACCAATAGCGTCTTCAAACGCATCCACAGCATCACGGAATCCGCATCAGCATCAGTCCTCACCCGCTATGTGCCTAGCGCCCTTAACCCCGCTGACGGAGCCTCCTGTGGAAAGTACCCTCCACGCTCCTTACTTTTGCCCCCCATTCCTATCCATTCCTCTCTCCGGAACTTCCTCGTTGACTTCGACGCTCCTCTACACCCAAACGAGATCTGCAAACCCCACACCCAGGTCTCGGTTCACGACCATGCCAAAGCCCGTATCCAACCAGAGCTCGCCAAGCGTGCCTTCGCTAACTGGCAGCTCGAGCGCCAAGGGGAGCAACTCGTCAAAACGGCGGAAGCATACCTATCCTGTTGACCTTACCCCAATCCCATGAGCATTACGTCCACACTGTGCAGCAAAAGATCGGCTTCGACTATGGCTACCAGCCACATCCAGGCTTCCCCCCAGCTCCCTCGCATCCAGTGACATGAACAGGATCCAAGATGTCATGATACATGCCTGGGCTGAAAGCACCCGCGACTCATACGGTTCTGGTCTTCTCGTGTTTCATGTATACTGCGACTCACGTTCAATTCCCGATCAAGATCGTGCTCCCGCCGATTCCACTCTCATTGCCGCCTTCATCGCATTTGCGGCAGGATCATACTCGGGCAAAACAATAGCAAATTATGTCTTCGGTGTCCGTGCGTGGCATATCCTACATGGTCACCAGTGGGTTCTCAATGACGAGCAAATCGACTCTCTCCTCAAAGCGGCAGACAACATAACACCCGGCTCCTCAAGGCGCAAGAAGAGGCGCCCTTACACCATTGACTTCATATGTTCACTCCGCGACCAGCTCAAACTCGAATCCCCACTCGACGCATCAGTATATAGCTGTTTGACAGCAGCCTTTTATTGCACAGCTAGAGTTGGAGAGTTCACGGTGCCCACCCTGCTATCCTTCGACCCTAACATTCACGCCAAACCGTCAGACGTACGCATCAAGCGTGACCGCAACAATCTCGAGATGAGGGTAATTCACATTCCCCGAACAAAAACTTCGAGGAACGGCGAAGACGTCTCGTTCACCAAGCAGAACGGACCCTCAGACCCAGAGGAAGCATTTCTCAACCACTTGGCAGTCAATGCACCCCCTCCTGGTTCCGCGCTATTTGCCTACCGTCACAAGAAGGGCCACAGACCTCTCACGAAGCAAAAATTCATATCCCGCTTAGCAGAAGCAGCTAGAGCAGCGGGAATGGATCCGCTTCAGGGACATGGTATCCGCATTGGTTCCACTCTCGAATACCTACTCCGAAATGTCCCATTCGAAGTCGTCAAGACGAAGGGCCGCTGGGCTAGTGACGCCTTCCAGTCTTACCTGCGGAAGCATGCCCAAATCATGGCACCATACATGCAAGCCATCCCCGCCATTCACGAAGAATTCGTTCGAGTCTCCATGCCCAGAACTCGCTGAAGTCCACTGCCCGTGAGTACCCCTTCCTCCTACCTTGTTGGGTTTCTGCGGCTTCGCTGCGACGCGTCGTAACGGACTCCTAACCTGTTGGGGGATTCGCAGCTCACCTGTTTTCTCCTAGGCAGATCTTCAATCGGGGCCGGAAGCGCTGCGCGCGTTCGCCCATTCACTTAGTATCCACTCGTCACTCTTCGTAGTCTCCCCAGAACAAATATATTGACCTATGAAATATTTTCTCTCCCATCTCGCACGTCAGAGCGTCAACCCTAAGATGTTATTGAGTCTTGACCACGTCGAGACACCATACTTCTGAACTACTTCCCCCAATTCCAACCACTAGCTTAAAGACTAGAGCATCAGTGCCATTATCGCCGACCGCAAGCAGCAGCTAGATGAAACTTTGCACAACATCTCAAGTCTTAACACAGTCATCGACAAAACCAATCATCTTCAATGACACCTGACATAACAGAAGGAAAAGCTCTTCTCATCCATCACGCTGCACAAGTGAATCTTATCACCTCTTTGGCGTTTGCCAACTGAAGTTTTATCCTACATTTTCGTTCACTGTCTCCCAGAAGCTTGTCGCCCCGATCGAAGTCGGTCCCCGTCCTGTTGACCAAAATAAGTCGACAATGGAGGGAGGTTGTCGTGGGCACGCCTAGTTTGTGGTGCAGGACAAATGTGTCTAACAAGCTCATAAAACATTAAGAGCTTCCCTTCTGTTTTGACGTATGGCTCAAGCGATCACGAGGACGTCAGTCTCATTGATACTCACTTGCTGTTCTTTTACTTCGAATGCGACTCAACTATGAAGCCTCTTTCAGCCTTACATAAGTTCAATATCATCATTATCTGTCCATTTTATCATGCATCCTGACGAACCTGAGCCCTTGTTGAAAGACCTTCAGGAGCTAATCATTCACACGTCGCTCACTGAACAATGCTTCTCGCGACTACTAACCACTCTGCGTATTTCCAAGGTCACAAATTCATATGGCTACCTCGGGCTGTTTTCTTGCGAGCTCGCATGGACTAACCTGACAAATGTCGAGATCCCCATACATTGCCCGGGCACAGTCCTCCGCTTGCTGCAGCTATGTCACAACCTCTGCTCGTTAGCGATCCGCTTAAAATTAAATGAAATTAAAACCTTTCAGCCACTTGTGCACATTATTTTTAAACTCCAATCCTTACACATCGGCATCAAGGATTCTATCCCAGACCAGGCTTTATCTGGCCTATTCAATACTCTCTTATTCCCAAATTTACGCACACTTGAAGTTCCCTGTGTGTCATGGCCTCGTAAAAAGTTCAAGTCATTCCTGACACGGTCAAATTGTCCCCTGGAGATCATAATTTTGGGCACTGAAGTGAAAATGAAACTTGAGCAGCGAGCGGAGTGCGTCGCCCTTACACCTTCTCTCGAAGTTGTAGTATCACTATCTGAAGCATCTTGATTGCAATCCTTCACGCAATGTTTGTGACGTCCCGCTGGTTCAATCAAGCTTCAATATGACACCAAATATCTTTTCCAGTAGTTTCATATATCAGGCTATGGTTCACATCACGACAAGACCATTTTCTATAGCAGCTGTTTGACACTTGCGTTCAGCCTCGCGCTTGAACAGTATCAACATTACCTTTGGAGTAGCGGACATGCCAATATACCTTCTAATTGCATGCATGAAAACCTAGGTGAATGACCAGAATCCGCACCTGTCCTTTGGACCGTCGGCTCGGAACTGAGGATCATTGAAGAGCGAAACTCGGTAAAGTTGATAGGGCAAAGCGCAAGATCAAAGTAGTTGTAATGACATTGATGCAGAAGAAGGAAAAACACACAATAGCTTTTACGTGGTTGAATTTCTTAGCATCATGATATCGTATGTGACAAAAATGCCTTCTTAAAGGTCAAATCCCTCCCAGTCCGACCAGTCATCTAGTAATCCGTACTTCGCTCCTCTAGCGACGGATACTCCACACGATAAGACATTACACCGTATGATCTGTAGGTGATGTCTCCGACATAGATATGTATATCAAGGCGTCAGAGCTGTGCATCTGCTGGTCAAGATGCCAGAGATGGAGGTGCATGCGCGTGGCAAGGATCGCAAGGATGCATACCTTGAAAACTGTAGATGGTTGCATGATATTAGAAACAGGAATCAGCGATAAAAGTTGGAGGTGCATACTCTTCGAGGGCGGTGTAGTATGGGGACTGCATGTGCAGAACATTAACGACTCAGTCATATTGACGGGCTACGGAGGTTTACGCACATTAGGAAATAGCACTGGCATGAGGACGTTCGCGGCAGAGAAAACTTTGGGAGAATCATTATTACTGATGAGTACGGAGATATGCATAAGTCCTGACTCACAGAGACCGCATGCATAGTAAAATATGTTATGTTTCGCCAGGATGGCTTGCAGAGGACTCTTGGCCGACCGCCAGCTCTGTATGGCACGTGTGAGTGTGAGGGAGACTAGTCCTGGTGCGAGCGTCAGTCAGCGAGCGTCTGTAATTTATCCTCCTAGTCCCCCGCAACATACCCAGTTGAAACACAAGTAGGAAAACAAACGACGTATAGTATAGGACACCGCTCGAGCTCCAGGAGCAGCCTGGGATCCCGCTAATCGTAACTGTGAATGCAGAGTGAATATATGGGAATAGTATTGGGGGAAGGTGAGGGCACAACCGTATGAGGTGGAAATAATGATAAAACGAATGCTAATGGATGTCACAACCATAGCCTGGCTGATTCATCAACCATGGGACCGGGTGTTGTTGAGAGCATGGGACTCACGAAAGCAGTGGTCAGCATGCCTACGAGTACGATCCTATTGTTGTTCCAAAGCGCATATGTTCTGAGCATAAAAAAACCTCGATGGATCGGATGAGGAATACATATATGTTGTGTAAAAAGAAGAAATACATTCAGAGCAAATGAGTGATATCTGGCTGAGAGCTGTGAGAAGAAGAGCAGCACTCGACAGAGACCTGCATAGAACATGTACCGTGCACGTACATGAGTAAATGTTGATCAATATCCGGCATTTCTGGCGAAATCATGCAGTGAGCATCAGTGTAAGCGCGCTGTATGTCCACATACATTGGGGTTTTCGTTCGGGGTGAAGTTTACTGAAATAGAACACATCGATATGTTATCGGGAAGATTGTTCTGGAGCTCATCAACATACGACATAAGTATATTGTGATGAGAAAAAAGGGGAGATATCGTGTGACGATATAGAGAGCTTTTACTTTGGTCCAGCGAGCCTGACGCAGAAATTTCCACTTTGAACGACATATTGTCAATATCGCCACCAAGGTGCATCATGGAACGAGTCATTACTTCTTCATGAGATAAATAAGCATAATCATAGGCCTGAATAGACGAGTTTAACGGCAAACGGGAAGAGATCAGGATCAGCTTACCCAGAGTGTCGTCATTGACACTAAGCTTTCAAGTTAGAACAAGGAAACAGCAGTTGAGTCAGGCAATACGTACTGTATATGAACTGATGAAACATGCTATGTCATCTTGCCCTCGTATTAAGAAAGCGACGCACCCCTAATCGCTGCAGACTTGTGGCTGCTGAGATATCGACTCCCGAATACTCCATCTGCATTTGTTGGATAAGTGAAGAAACTAGGTTCTTGCACACACTGTCACGCAGCTTCTTATATATCTCTGATGAACCCAACACGATCGGGGCGTAAATATTGGGGACAGCATTCGAGCGGCAGGCTAAGCTTGATCATCATAGTTGTTGCTGACATACTGCACTAGTAGCAGACAATTTGAAATACACAGTCGCCTGGCGGCCTTAGAGGGATACAAGGTTGATACAAGGAACGCTTAACCTCCTCTGACCAACTGCCACCGTTTTAAAATTAGATGCATGCTTCTTCGAGGATGAGATGGATGTAATACGCACGCGATCGTGATACATAAAACAGACTGGAGGGAGCTGACACGTTCTCGTCCACACGAAGTAGATGGATAGGCTACAGGAATCTAAAATAAAGGAGATGTGGTATGTCGGCGAGGTGAATCTTAGTCTTCATTTGAATGATGCTTTAACGATCTGATGGATACCAAGTAGGCGATGGTAGAGGCTGAGAAAGTATTGATAAAGCCTAGGATGGTTAAACATGTTCGAGGGACCTTATTCACATTTCGCTGCGGGCATATATCAGTTCAAACACTTGACTGGAAGGGATACCTCACCAATCACTTTTAATCGTTTCACAGCCTTGCTGTACCTGTGGCACATGTGTACTCATAAATGATGGCGTCGGAGTCGTCTCTTCCTATTAGTATTGATGGAGCCAAATATAGATGAACGATGGCGTCGAAATCAATGAGAATATGGGAGGCGGTAAAGACGTCTCCTCCGAGAACGTATTGGACTGTCTACAATACTGCATGGGTTAAACGCGGACTCGGAACTGTGTTACGCACTTATCATCGACTCTGGTACTATGCACTAGCAACACATAGTACTCACAATGCGACATTCTAAAATTTACGGCCCTCATTCATTCCATCCAAGTAGTGGATGATCTGCATCAGATTGAGTAGCAAAATTCGGTCGAGAAGGTTGTATTTCTGTCACCATGAAAAATTCTAGGGACATGACCTGGAGTCCTGGGCCGGGAGGAATGAACTCAGTAGCATTGCCGCGGGCTGTACAGCTGATCCTGCCAGATGTCACGGGCATACTAGGCCATTTTTTTTGCCACGACTACCATGTGTTCTTGTCCGATTGCTCACAAAAATCTCTCACAAATCCACTTTGTGGCCAGGCCCCAGGCTTTCTTTTCACGATTATACGGATGGGCTAGATACACGTTGAATTGGGATCTGGGATCTGGAGAATACCGCTGAAAGTACACGATTGCATTTCTGTCGTCGATGGAAACAAGGGTCAGCCTCATTAACAGATTTTGTAGAGGATGAGGGCTTATTAGCGTCTTTGATGCATGCAAGCAGCCGCATCATTCGTCACGAACCCCGTATAATCAAGTTGGTCGCTGCCAGAGGACTTTTCCGCACGAATTATCTCCACCAAAAGCTAACGGGCCACGTTTGAAGCCACGGTGGACACCCCGGGGGCCCGGACCATTGTCATCAAAGCCTTCGGCCGAATCCACCCCCCTTTTATCGTTGTTAGGACTTCGATGTCGACAGGCGCTTCTTGTTACCACTGGCGTAATAGCCTCAGGTTTTTTCGACATGGAGGAATGGTGGCCATAAATTTGACACGGGGTGCGCAAAAAATACCGGAAGTCTGGAGGTTCTATGTTACATAATAATACGGTAAACAATATACATACAGGCGCTTGTGCTTTCTCATGTATCCAGTTCTAGCCCATTATATTCTTGCTTCTCGCCTTGGTCAACAAAATGCAAACAGCACACTCGAAATCCAATGTAGCTGAGTCTGTTTTAGACCTCATTGGTGCAGTACAAAACATCGTAAGTACCCACTTTCTTGAATCTGAAATATTCGTGTCAGCTGAGAATAACGATCACCCGTTCCAGCTCGCACGCTCGCAAGTGATTGTGCGTCGACTCCTTGGTCAATTCCGACATGTCACATGTCATGTACTGACTATGACTAGATTCCAGACCTTGAAACTCCATACTCCAGATTCCCTAATACTGATCGTTCTACCATCGATCTTGGGGGCCAGAGTGTTATCAACATAATTGCCACGCGCCAGCAGCAATTGGACTCAGTTCTGCACAAGATCTCGAGCCTGGAGGCTGTGATGAATAGCGTCAAAATGCTTCATCGACAAGTTGTCGAAAAGAGGGAGAAGATTACGCAGTCGATGAATCTGCACAAAGGACTCGTATCGACTCTCTGGCGCTTGCCAGCAGAAATCCTTAGCCAAATATTTAAGCACTGTCTCCCCGAAACCAATTTGTTATTGTCCCCATCGACCCTAAAAGCCCCCTTGCTGTTAACAGGGATATGTCGACGATGGAGAGAGGTTGCTGTGGGTATGCCCGAGTTATGGTGCAGGTTGTATGTGGAAGTCGACGACAGACACTGGGAACAGGCGGCTTTCTGTTATGATTCATGGCTCAAGCGTTCACGAGGACGTCCGCTCTCATTAGCACTCGGGCGCCACCAGTCGACCAGACTACGAAGCTTTCTCCAGCCTTACACAAGTCAAATCACATCTCTCCGAATCTTTGCCCATTCCTTCCGGGGCGAATGGCCTGAGATTTCTGTAACGGACTTCTCAGCACTTCAGGAGCTGGCCATACTAGGGATGACAAATGCTAACAGTCCAACTTTCGCACAATCTGTCTTACGACTGCCGTCCACCATGCGCAGTCTCAAGTTCGTTGACATGAGGCCGTTTTTTGACATCGACCACTTGTCTTCCCTCAGTCCTGTATGGGCCCACTTGACAGATGTCCAGATCGCTGTATGTCACGCGAACGCAGTGCTCCATTTGCTTCGTCTATGTCCCAACCTCTCCTCTTTAACCCTCCGCGTAGCATTTGAACAAAAAGATCCCTTGACATCATTCACGCACACCAAATTACAATATTTACGCATCCTTCATGACGCTTTGCTCACACGCCATTTGTCTGAGCTCTTCAATGCCCTGTCGCTCCCCAATTTGCGCGCACTTGAAGCTCGCCGCAATGCATCTTGGCCTCATGAGGATACGAAAGCATTGTTGGTACGGTCAAACTGTCCCCTGGAGACCCTTACTATTGGTGGTCGAGTGACGATAACAGATGCGCAGAGGGCAGAATACATTTCCCTTATTCCTTCCCTGAAAGTAATAGTGGATCACAGTAGTACATACTTCTGATGATACTGGTGGTCACTTAGTTCGAGAAATGACACATTCGGACTAGCAGTAGAATAATACAATGAGACTAGTAGGATAGCATGATTTTCGAAGCCAAAAGTGATCAATGCGAAAGCATCAGAAGTATCCATGCTTCAATTGCTTCAAGCTAATACCTATGAAAAGAGCGGGCCGGAACTAGCGGACTTTCAACTTGGGTTTTCTCGCATTCCTCAGTAGTTATGTCCCTTGTTTTCGACCTCAAGTGTTTATTCTACCATCGCAGTCTTGTAACCAGCAATCTATCTTGTTCCCTTCTACGGGATCGTTATCAGACTTAGGGTGTTGCTGACAATACCAACCACCAGCATATATATATGCGCTGCTACACGATAATATTGCTCATACCGAGTCACGACAAGCTGAGAGTCATCTAGCTAAGAATAATTCGACTGGTGACTCACTGGCCATTGAAATATCCATGGATCATCGCAAATTTTTGATGTCTCAAACTTCTCGCTTTACCCAACGCCATGCAGACAGCCTACCCAAGATTCAATGTCTCCGATTCTGTTTCAGATATCTTCGGTGAACTACAAAACCTCGTAAGTGCGCAGTTACTTCAATCATAATCAGAATTCGTGTCAAGAACTTAACAATCACCCATTCCAGCTCGCACGCTCGCAAGTGATTGTGCGTCTACTCCTTGGTCAATTCCGACATATCACAGGTCATGTTACTGACGATGACTAGATTCCAGACCTTGAAACTCCATACTCCAGATTCCCCAATACCTACTGCTCTACTATTGAGGTTGAAGGCCAGAGCGTTATCAACATCATCTCTGAGCGTCAGCAGCAATTGGATGCAGTTCTACGTGAGATCTCGGGCCTGAACGCCATAACGAACAGCATCGAAAAAAATTATCAGCAAGCCGTCGAAAAAAAGGAGAAGATTACACAGTCCATAAATCTACACAAGGGAGTCACATCGACTCTTTGGCGCGTGCCAGCGGAAGTCCTATCTCAAATATTTCACCACTGTCTCCCTAAAACCACATCATCGTCCCCATCGTCCCTAAAAGCCCCTATTCTGTTAACAAGAATATGCCGAAGATGGAGGGAGGTTGCTGTGAATACGCCCGATTTATGGTGCAGGTTATATTTGGAAGCCAACAACACAGACATGAGGCGGGCGGCTTTCTGCTACGACTTGTGGCTCAAGCGTTCACGAGGATGTCCGACCTCGTTAAGACTCGGGCACAACCACTCAACCGATGTACACCGCCTTCTTCATCCTTATATGACTCGTATCACATCTCTCCGAACCTATGTTGACTGCTTTCGGGGCAAACGTCCTCACCTGCGTGCTACAGACCTCCCAGCACTTCAGGAGCTGGTCATAGCAGAGATGACAAATCGTGATATTCAAACCATTCCACGATTCATCTCGCGACTTCCTTCGACTATGCGCACTTTCAAGGTCATTGACACGAGGCTGTTTTTTGACATCGATCTCTTGTCCTCTTTCAGTCCCATATGGGCCCATTTGACGGATGTCCAGATCCCCGTATGTCACCCAAACGCATTCCTCCATTTGCTTCAGCTATGTCCCAACCTCTCCTCCTTAAATGTTCGCCTATCAGTTCTCCAAAGCGTACCCTTGAAAACATTCACACACACCAAATTAGAATCCTTATGCGTCCCTAATCACGCTTAGCTCATGTACCCTTACGAATCATCTAGGCTGTTCAATACTCTATCTTTCCCCAATTTGCACGCGCTTGATTTTCGCTGCAATGTGCCTTGGCCTCACGAGGATATGAAGGCATTTTTTGCACGGTCAAAGTGTCCCCTGAAGATCCTGATTGTTGGTGGTCGAGGGAGGATAACAGATGCGCAACAAGCGGAATACATTTCCCTCATTCCTTCTCTCAAAGTAGTACGTAATTTAGGGTAGCACATACTTCTGGTAATACTGGGTGGTCACGTATTTCGAGAAATGACGTTTTTGAACTCGTAGTAGAATGATACAATGAGACTGGTAGGGGAACGGCATAATTTGCGAAGCCAAAAGTGAGCGCTCAGTGCGTAAGCATCAGAAATTGAAATATCCATTGAACACTCTCCAGTTTCTTGCCGCGAACCACTGTACCCAAACAAGTACCTTGCAGTCAACCTTGTGACCGTCCACCCAGGCTTTCTTCTGACAAGCCTAAGAACAGAGTCGAGTCAGACACATGACTTGAATCGAAGCATATTACCGCCAATGCTCACCTCTCCACAATATGACATTTGTTTGCAGCGGGAGCACAAGCGCAAGTGCGTCTTGTCAGATGTATCCTCCTTTTGACCACAAGACCCACAGCATCTTGATTGGCGGTCCGAGTTGCGTGCAGCCACATCATCGCTGACCTTCAGCAGCTGCTCGAGCGAGCATGGTATGATTCTGATAACGGAGGCTTCTTCGACGCGTATACCAACGCTCATGTCTAAGAACCCATGCTGTTCGCCATATAGCACAGCAACTGTGTGTCCTTGCTTGATTTGCGGAGCGAGCGCTTGTCCGCGGTCATCTGTGTACAGCCCGATGGTAACGACCTGATCTTCCTTGTCCTTTACGCGTAATAGGATTCGTCCGAGACCGTAAGAGTCAACAATCTCGCCAAGAAAGCACCAGTGCTGGCTGGGTGCAAATCCGTATGGGCCCTCGTCGTAGTAGGTGAGATCAACATCATTCTCATCTGGAAGGTCGCTGAATGTCGGGAAGTTGACGTCATTGCGCAGGAGGCTTTTGGAAGTCTTGGTTTTCGGCATCGTGATGCAGCAAGTTGAGCTTGTCCGAACAGACATTGAGGAGGAACAAACAAACCTGGATGTTTAATGTTGCTTCAATTTCAATCTGAGTTGGACGAGGTGACGACGCGGAGAAGACAAGAGGCAACAAACACTCTGGAGACCACTCTGTCGCGGCCTCTGTCAGAAGGTGTGTTTGCAGCGTGTTAATTTGTGGCGTATCAGGGTTCCAGTATAGGTCTAGGATCCTGGCCTCTTATATGAGGACTCGAATAGACGCACTGGCCACGAGTCTAGTCATCGTTATCCGAAGCACAGTTGATGTTCTCAGGTATACCTGATTTGATCATGTAGAGGGGCGGGTTACCGTCAATGCTGAAGCTTTACGACAAATAATTGATTTGAGAAGCTTTCTTTGAGGTCTCATTCTGCGATTGAGAGAGAATTATTGTAGAAACAAAGATATTCAACTGGAATATTTGCGGAGCAAACACGGAGCAAGATGTCTGGAAAATGTGAGAAGGCGCAAAGCGTTTCCAGTCCAGATCGATGGTATGCCGGTGATCAAGTGAAAGGGTGGCTGAGCGGCCAGCCTCGCATCTAGGTGATGGTGCTAATCAGGGTCCACAAGAGCAAATTTGCATGATGCGAGACGCACTGTCCTATGCTGGATAGCTTGAATCATGCAATAGCGCAGACACTAGAGGGGGTGGGAGGTAGGCAAAGGACAGCTCGGCGATGTTTTGTGTTCAAGTTGAGGAGACGCTATAACGTCTTCCGGAATCCGCACGCCCAAAAGTCTAAATGAATAACCCTGGGCTTGTGCCTCGCAACGTAATAGAGCGGCGACCTTGTGAATATTGGACAGAGACTTGACAATGACGTTCGACTATTCACGAACTTGAGCACTGCGCCAGAGCGAGGGAAGTGAAAAACGCATTTGCTACTGAGTGCTCTGTAGCACTTCTGATGATGCACCACAAGAAATTTGCAAGATTTACTCTCCCGCGTCATCCATAATAGCACAATTGGTTGTGTATCGTCCATGTACCTTCATGCCTCACAGAAAATTCTAATGTTTGATTTATGTCCTGGACTAGGATAGTACGGCACAATAAAGTGAAATTTGGAGGATAATATGATAATTCGCAAATCCAACAATTTACCAGGGTGAAGCCATCAGAAACTGAACCAGTCGTGGAACGTTTCCCAGTTCTTTGCCGTGAACCACTGTACCTCGACAAGTGCCTTGCAGTCAGCCTTGTGACCGTCCATCCAGGCTTTCTTCTGACAATCCTAAAACGTGCTTGAATCAGACACCGTATTGAATTGGGACATAACAACGTCTACGCTTACCTCTCCACAATATGATGCGTATCTGCAGCGGGAGCACAAGCGCAAGTGCGTATTGTAAGAAGCGTTCTCTCCATTGCCACAAGATCCACAGTGTCTTGGCTGGCCTTTGCGCAGTACAACCAGATCATCGCTAGCCTTCAGCAGCTGCTCGAGTGAGCATGGTATGATTTTAATGTTGGAGGCGTCTTCGACGCGTATATTGACAGTCATGTCTAGGAAGCCATGTTGCTCGCCATACAGTATAGCAACTGTGTGACCTTTCTTGATTTGTGGAGCGAGCACTTTTCCACGGTCGTCTGTGTACAGCCCGACGGTAACGACTCGACCGTCCTTGTCCTTTACGCGTAACAGGACTCGTACAAGACCAATAGAATCGACAATCTCGCCGAGAAAGCACCAGTGCTGGCTGGGTTCGAATCCGCACAGGTTAAGGTTGTAGTATTTGAGGTCAATTTCATCCTCAGGTTCGGACGGAAGGCCACTGAAAGCTGGGAAATTAAAGCTATTGCGCAGGAGGCCTTGGGGTTTCTTGGATTCCGGCATGGTTTGCTGCAATCTGATTTAAGTTGAGCTTGTCATAGACTGCAAGGAAGAAAGACCGAACCTATCAAATTCTGTGTATTGAATATCTTTCACTTCAAGTGTAATTGTACGACGTCCGTCACGAAATGAGAAGAGGAGGTAGAGGATGACAACCGACCAACATTGGAAGAATTTGCAGGATCTTAAATGGTGCCGCAACAATGTGATTAAGAAACGAGGAACAAAGAACAAAGAGATCTGCATGCAGCACGCAGCGCTTCAATGTCGTGGTGGAGACCTTTGTGCATTGAACTGGCTCTCCTGGCAATTTAAACCGATAATTCAGAAATTTAGACGCACCATTCCTGCGCACTTCCATCTAAAAAGGCAGCTTTTATAATAATATGGGCCTGCACTCCTATTTTCAGGCCCGGGCATTCAAGCTAAAGCTTTAAGCCTCTAGGAATGATAGTCGGACATCTTGAACTTGAGTGAGTGGCAATGTCAGCTGAACACACACGCCTCACAAACAACGACAAACAATTCACTTGACTTCGACAATCGGTTAGTAATTACTTGCTGCCAACTTGAAGAGTCTCAGCTACAGAACAGTTCCGTACAGGAGAAGATCTTCTATCGAAAATGGCCACCCTTTCGCTGGACGAAGAAGTCCGACTTTTCACAAACAATGCTGAGCGAGAGAAGTACAATCTCCTTGGTACCTTGTACGGAATCATCGTCGCACTTGATTACCTCGAGCGCGCCTATGTTCGTGATGCAATTACCGCAGCACAGTATGTTGCCATCTTAAATTTGCTTTACGTCAGACTTAGGAATACATACGCTGCAAGAGATACTCTCCTGCGTGCACGCGTCTTCTCTCGCAGTACATGACCATGCTCAAGCTTGTCAAGGATTCCGTTCCTTCCGTTGAGCAGTTCATGACACGGTATCGGATGGATAGCCCCGCGGCGTTACATCGCATACGAGTTGGCGTACCAGCAACTGTTGAACATTCTAGTGAGGCGGGACCTGAGACTGGAAAGTGGATCGCTGAGACGACACAGGTTGGAGTTTCGTGTTAGAATCTTTCATTCTCTAACCAACGACACAGAATTTTATCACATTCATGGATGCGCTGAAGCTTAGGCTACGCGCTAAGGATCAGCTTCACCCGATCTTGCAAGAACTTGTTACAGGATATGCTAGGTTCAAGGGGAGCAAGGACTGGGAGGGACGGAGCAAAATGGTCAGCTGGTGCGTACCATTCTGTCTCCCGCATGCTTTCGATATGTCGGACTCACATTATCAGGCTTATTACATTAAACAGCATGAAGGCATCCGAAGAAATCACAGAAGAACAGTCCCGGCAGGTAAGTCTACAACCCTTCTGACATACGTGCAGTTCGCGCTAATATCTTCGTAGCTTTCATTCGATGTCGAACATGCATATGCCGAATTTTTCAGAAGTCTGAGCGGCAGTAAGGAAAGGTCGTAACAAAGATGCCCTCGATCATTTCATATCCAGGCGGCCCCACTTTGTTTTAAAAATATGGGCAATCAAAGATGTGCAGTCGGAGAGTCTTTGAGGACTAGTCATCCTGTGTCTTATCATGGTTGCCTAGCCTGATGCGTGTGGCTTCAGTGATTGACGCAGCAAATGCTGTCCATCAGGATGTACTCGTATATGGACAAACAAGACAATTACCAATACGCTGCTGCGCGATGACCTGCCCTGCGCGTTCTGCCGTACATAGATATCCGTAATCCTTTGAAACACGATAAACCGATACTAATTCTAGACTTTCAGCGTGATGTCAAATCCAACTGAGTTCAACGATTTCTTCACACAGGTATAACGATACGATCCAGTTTCTGGTACAGGTCACCTCTAGGGTCAGCGCTCCGAGCGCTCTAGTGGCATGGCACACATGCTGAACAGGACGTGCGCGTTCATAAATTTCATATGTCGAGTTTTAGGAGTTCCTCTCTTCTCATGCACTCGTCGTCGCGTTGCTTGTTACTGGTGTAGAGGCATGATGAATTTGTATTTTCGCTACTGACCCTCTGTTTTTCTCAACTCTTAGCGTTCTGCCATTGCACCTAAGTTTTAGGTTAACACGTATTCACGCTCGGTTTGACCCTTCTCATCTTTCCGCTACTAGGTCACAGCTTTAGGTCCAATTTCACCAGAGTCGCGCTGGAAAATCTTTTCTTTGATGAAACTCACACTGCCTGGGCCTCCGCGCGTTGGCAAGTGCTCCGGATTCAGACAAGTTGACGATCACTCGCACAGCAATTACGTTCGATGCAATGTATCGACACTTGAGTGATGTGATCTTATCACTCGTTGCGCTTCTTTTGATGGTGAATTTTCCCAATGGAATTTTGATTGACCTAGCCATCGGTGTGAATAGTGGTCTGAGTGGTGAGTGTCTTGTTTTTTGTGAGTCGTTGTTCTGGGGAGTAATGGATATCACAGGTGAAGACAACATATTTTCGGAAACCTATAATTGTTTATTTAGCTTTTATGCGATTCTGCTGGGTTATTTCTAGGAGATCTTTGAATTCGGTTTCTTGTTTCGTAGTGTACTTGACTGTGGTCCGCAATCGGAGTGATGCGGCGACTGACTCCATTTGCACCGAAGATATTGACCACCTCCTCGACATCCAGTAATTCGTGGTCATGGGCGTCAAGGCTGTTTATGAAAGTAGGATGATAGATGTAGAGACTGTTGTTTTTACTGAGATGGACTTGAGATGTCCATAGCGTTTTCTTGCAAACGAGGCTTATCTTATCATGAGTCTGAGTGGCTGTGCATGCATACTACTCTGTGCTAATTATTGACGAGACCCTGCGCAGTTGGCTGTGCCTCCCGTTCTTGCACAAAAATTTGGAACGGCCATCCGATATATAACTTCCTCCTTAAGCTTCTACGTTCAAACTTTTCGTTTTCAGAACCGATGTCGCCAACAAATCACCCCCCAGCGCATTCCAGTCAACTAGCAGCTGAGTCTCCGAGCGCTTTTCAGTATGGGTCTCCTCCACCACACACGACAGATTCAATGGGACTTGACGAGGAAATGCCTCCAGCCTACACTCCATCTGCAGACACTTACCATGGAGAGACCACAGTAGAAGTCGGTCCTCGCAGACCCTTCCAACAACAACCACGACCTAGTCATAGCACACACAGATCCTCGCATTCACACTCCTCTTCTCATTCCCATTCATCGAACACCACTTCTTCATCATCAAATTCTCAGCTGTTTTCCCCGTCCCAACAGCGTCCGCAGCAGTCACAGTGGAGAGTTCCGAGTTCGTTATCAGCGCCCGCTTCTCAGCAATACCAGTCTCGCCGAGGGGGCGGCCTGGTTGGAGCACTCGTCGGTACGGTGCTCAATGCAGTGGACACTGTTTCGAGTATGCATGATGAGCATATGCGGTCCATGCAACAATCCCAAGCGGGTGGCTATGCAGCTCCGTATCCGATGTCTTCCTCTCGTATGACCCAGAGCACTCATTCGCCGTCATATCAGGGGGGTCAAGGCCCAGTTCTTGGGGTATCTTCTGTGCAGCAGATTCCTCGGCGGGACATTCCGGATGATGGTAGTCCCACTAGAACCCCCGCGCCTGGACACCCATTACTAAATAACGGACACATCCTCGTATACCCCAATGAGGCCTACATGTGTGTCAAATGTAAGTGCAATCAGATCCTCTCATATAGCTAACTTACGTCGCTTCCTTAAGGCAACAATACGGGATACAAGAATTATGATCCCTCCCACCCCTGTAGAAAATGCTGGGAGAAATACGGAAAACCGTTTACTGGCGCATTGATGTATACATCCTGGAACACTGATTCTTCATCCCGTCCCTCAAAGTTTCAGCGTGCTCTACCCAGGTTTACCCCACCGCAGGCATCGCAGCTTTCAATTCAGTCCTCGAGTTACATTGGCCCATCATCGCATGCCGTTCCCCCACAAGCGCCTGCACTATACGTGTTTAATCCTATAATAGGCATGGGCCAAACCCCACCCGTTCCGCATGCCGTTCCTGTGCGCCCAGGTGATCCGCGCCTTGGGGGTCAAATGTGCCTCAAGTGTGGTGGCACAGGAACGCTGCCGCTCTTTATTATTGACGTGAAACCTTGCTCTGTGTGTGGCGGAATTGGGCGCAACTTGCGGTAGGTGCGTGTATGAGATGCTCATATAAAGAGAGTTTGGTATGGTACAATATACTATTCATTCATGACCGTTAATGTTTTCTTGGGTTACACACTTTCATTTGTACCAGTATGCGCATTCATCATTGTGTACTCTCGATCAAATTTCATATTCTGGCTGTATTCCCGCTCTCTGGAACGAGGGGACTTGCTACTGCCGTCATCAAGGACTATCTTCCATCACAAACTGGAGCTCAATACGTATTACGAATGCGTCGTCGTCGCATACCTTGCCACCACATCATGATGCAATGTCCTGATCCCTCATGATTTGCATACATGATAAATTTGGTATAGTATCAGGCTCTATCTACTCGCCTCGGAACCGCCTCGGATGGAGTCAGACGCAGTGCGCGATAATCAAAATCTATTGGCCTGATCAAGCTCCAACTTGGAACGAGAATGATCTACCAGTTCAATTGGTCAGATCTATAGAGGAGATCATTAAACATATTTGGTACGGGCGCGTCCACGCGGCACAGACAACTTGGAATGCATTGACATTTGATCTTCTATCATACGGCAAGGATGGATGCTCTTTGAAATTCCTGACACAGCTCTATAACAGAGCGTGACAAACATGATCACTATCACTGATAACAATATATACTGAGGCCTGATGGGATAATCGTTGAAAGACATCAGGAACACCAAAAAAATTAGGACCATTGGCATCCGGATCGCCAATTGGCCGCAGGCAAGTTATGGCGCTCATTAATCATCCCAGTGAAAGTTAAGGTCTCACCTTTCGTCGTTCGGATGAACGCTTTGCGACTATTCATCATCTGGGTGCAGCATCAACTCCGGGCGTACTTTCTCATCAAACTCCTCGGGTGTCAGAAATTGGAGCGCAACCGTCGCTTCCTTCAGCGTCGTTCCTTCCTTGTGTGCTTTCTTTGCGCACTTGGCTACATCTGTGAAGTATGATTGGCTTTGAACGGATTTGCACACTTATAATTAGCACGCACTATCATATCCAAGGTGGCTGTTTAGGATCGTTGCCAGCATCAAACTCTCGTTTAGGAGATGGTTAATTCGCTTCTCGTTGGCTCGGATGCCAACCACGCAATTCTTTGTGAACGAACGGGAAGCTAACAAGACGGCATAAGCGGGCCAATGAGCATAGTTTGAGTTATGGACGCCCACCATCAGAAAGAAGCCGAATGCTCTGCAACACGTTCATGATTATAACAGGTTTGAAGACGTTGAGCTAATTCAAGCAGTTGTCATCATTAAACGGTCGTTGTATCGCATGAAGTATCGATACCTCAAATTGTCCGCTGGCACTAGCAATGGTGACAGTAGTCTGATTGCCCATCACTTGAGCAGCGACCATAGTCACGGCCTCGCACTGCGTGGGATTGACTTTACCAGGCATGATACTACTGCCAGGTTCGTTCTCGGGGAGAATCAGTTCACCGAATCCACAACGAGGACCAGAGCCAAGGAATCGAATATCATTAGCAATCTTCATCAGAGAACAAGCGATGACATTCAAAGCACCATGCGCCTCGGCAAGGGCGTCGTGGCAAGCTAAAGCTTCAAACTGCAGGTCTCGATCAGAGTCCAACGAGCCAGAAGCTGTGAGATGTCTTACCTTGTTTGGTGCGGTCTGGAATTTCAAGCCTGTGATCTTGGAGATTTCGGCTGCGATCTTCACGTCAAAACCCGCTCTCGTGTTGAGACCCTGCACGACGTCTGAGCACCCATATTCGTTGGATGTTATATAAGCTCACCGTGCCAACGGCAGTTCCACCTTGAGCCAGTAAAGATAAGCGAGGAAGAATGTCCTTAGCATGAGCGATGCCATTATCGATTTGTTGGACATATCCGCTGAACTCTTGACCAAGGGTCAGGGGAGTAGCGTCCTGATAACGATAAGGCGGCGTTCAAATTTTAAGGCCAAACTTTCCATAGAATCATACCTGCAAGTGCGTGCGTCCTATTTTGATAATGTGACCAAATGACTGAACCTTTTCGTTAAGTGCATCCTTAAGTTCTGTTAATGCCGGAAGCAGCGAGTGGCTAATTTCAGTCACGGCGGCAACATGCATAGCTGTTGGGAAGCTATAGCTACCAGTAAATCCCTTGAATTAAACATTCCTCGCGCGGAAACTCACGTATCATTACTACTCTGGCTCATGTTAACATGGTCATTGGGATGGACGGGATTCTTGGAACCAAGTTTGCCACCAAGAAGTTCTATCGCACGATTCGAAATCACCTGTTAACCATTGAGGTAAAGCTAATGAGCACTCAAGAGTTTGATATGCTCACCTCGTTTACGTTCATGTTGGTTTGAGTTCCACTTCCAGTCTGGAAGACAACCAAGGGGAAGTGATCCATGAGCTTCCCGGAAATGACCTGAAGAAAAGTTCAATTTGAAACGTACATCCGAAGCTTAGGACGCAACTCTCACATCATCAGCTGCTTTCTGGATTGCTTCGCCTATTTCAGGATCTAGGCCATAGCTAATGTTAACGATGGATGCCGCTTTCTTCACCACGCCAAAGGCATTGATTAGGGGAGGCGGTAGTCGTTGTGAGGGACCACCGATGTCGAAGTTTTGTAGTGACCTGGTAGAAAGACTCAGTGATTAAGCATGGACATCAGATCAAATATGCGCACCTCTGTGTCTGTGCCCCCCAATAGCAATCAGTGGGGACCTGGAGCTCACCGAATGTGTCACGCTCAGTGCGGAAGGACTGATTTGACTGATATAGTGATCACATTTGTTAACTGGAATAAGTTGACTTACCATGACGATAAGACGTAGTTGGAGGAGAAGCTGTTACATAAGTAATAGGCGGAAGAAACCGGCTACGACCGGGAATCTTGCCATTGCCGGTGCCCCTATCACGTGCGAGTAAACTTTAGAAAGTTCTTGCCCAGGGCACTCATTTTGATGTTTCTATGGATGGCATCGAAATGTAAGTACGTGCGATAAGAGATGCTGCATTCTATGTATGCATGGGTGGTATTACTTAACATAACCGGTCTATTTGTAAGTTCTCTGCGGCTGACAGATCATCTCGGACTTAAACTTTACAGTCACTGGCACCACTGCCGTACTGCTATGTCACAAACGCAAACTTCCTCAATCTCTTCATCCTCCCGTAGGTCCCATCACCGAATGATCTTATCGCGTGATCTTCCGATTATTTTTTTGCCGTCAGGCATATAGGAATGCAGGAATATTTTTTGTCACGATGCAAAACGTATTTCCGTGGTTCATGTCCCTCCAAGGTCACGACTGAAATTGACTTGTTTCCTGCTAAGTCGAGCTTGAAGTTATCACAGCTGTACTCGCTAGACAGACTGGCAAGTATGTCGGTTAATGGTCATGTTTTCCAGTAAGTTCTCCTTGTGCTCTGAAAGGCTATGCTTGACATTGAGCAATTTTCAGTTTTCACTCTTATGAGAGCTGCCGCACTTTTTCTGCTCGAATGAATCGTCAGTTCATCCGTGCGTGATGGCATATTGGTTTCAGTCTTACGGTAAGATTGAAACCCACATGCACCAGAATGCTAGCAAGGACGGCGAGCGATGATGGGCATATAGGCACGTTCCATCTCTTATATCTATATCATCCAGATGGCCGTGAATCGTACAGCGTGTGATTTTTAACATCTCAGTGGAATAAAATCAATATTTTCACCCAGTCTACTTTTAGCGCATCGTTCCGTATTTAAGCCTCATTGTTCAACCATACACAAAACCTTGATCGACTCAGCAACGAACTACATCACATGTGCTATCAACTATGAACAATGGTATCATGAATGCGAAGGCAGGGATGTAATTCATTGTTGCGATGTGCCAGTGACCCAAGCTACAACTTCCCTTTAGTGGAGTATTCGCACATTCCCTATGAGTATTACAAAAGGTGAGCTATGGTGTTGAATCAAACAAACGATCCATACTCACGGGAGGCACACAAGTATAAAAATCACCGCAGCAATCCGCAGTGGTTTGGCAGCCCTCGTTCAGTCTAGCGCATGCACTGACAGACACAGATGCTGTTAAAGCAATAATAACGGCAAGGATGGAGAAGCGCATTTTCTGTACAGGATGATAAAGGATCTGATCTCGAATGATGACTCTTAGGTGGGTGGTCACAGCAAGAAGCAGGCTTGCTTTTATACCTATGGATAGCAGCGTCCGGACCTTTGCAGTCTGTAGATCGGATTGGCAAAATGGTGATGCCTGGCAAATGGCAGGGAGCCACGGCACGAGCTTATGGGGTCACCGGATAGATGATCCAGAATCTATTAACCTCTCGCATTGTATCACACACTTCTCTCTATCATTTTTTTAGCATCATGATAACGTGTATGTGACAAAAATGCATTGCTAAAAGTTAAGTGCGTCCCACCCACCAGTCATCTAATAGTTCAGACCTTATTCCTCCAACGACGAATATGCCACACAACTTGGCATTACATCGTATTGTCTGCAGGTGAAAAGTCGGACATAGAAGGGCGTCAGAGTCGTGTATGTACTGGTCGATATGCCAGAGATGGAGGTGCATGCGCGTTGCGAAGATACGAAGATGCGAAGGATACATACGGATATACTGTCATCATCATAGGGTAGCTCAACATATGACCAAACAATTCCGCGCGATGTCATCAGCACCTCGACACGACATATGAATAAGAGCAAGTATCTCAGAATGACGCCTCCCCCCTCACCATACTATCACCACGACATTAAGTAGACGCTTCTTGTATCTACATGACACATCATAGACACTACAATATATAGATACTGTAATAAAAAGTTTCGGCCAACGGAAAGTGAAAATGAAAAATTGATATGCACCGCGCGATCGATCAAGAACACGTTTAGTGCGCCATAGCCTTCCTCTGCAAACACGTCGTCAGAGTCATCGAGCTCCTCTCCGTCTAAATCGTCCTCGATATCTTCTCATTTCTCAGCTGCTTCTGGCGTGTCGTCTGCAATTTCTTCCTCGTGTTGGAGAATGTCGTCCCAGTCTCTGGTAGTTTTGTGACCAATTCCACCACCGCGGTACCTCATGAACATGTCTCGATCAACAAAACTATGTATTGTATAAATATGTCAGCCTTAGTAGCAAAAATAAATGCGCACATGTTAACACACTGAAAACGGTAGTCAGACTTGGGATCTTGAGGATCTATGTGATGTTCAAAACTGGGAATCAAGTGAACCCCGTGAACAACAGGTCTGGATCCAAAAATTCGTATGCATCAGAGCTGTCTTCATCGAAAAACTCAAGGTGTTAGAGTCGTTTTGCGGCCCAACTTACAGGCGAACTATCCCGTCTGAACCATCGGACAAATAAGAAGTCCATCCGAGTTGGGTGTGAGTACATTCCGGCGTCATTCTCGTGGTATTCCAAATTGATATGAAAGATCCCGATCACACGGGCATACCAGTATGGGTGAGTCTTCTCGTCTTCATGGGAGAGAACCATGATGTCGGCACGAGTACGGGATTTGATGGTGTTCTGTTCACATCGTAAATCGTAGGTAGTATAGTTGACGCACAAAATACTATGGTGGTATATTTTGTTGTCTGTAAATAGGACTGAGGTGCGATCAGGGTCGGAGAAGTCGCGATCATCTTCGTCGCATGCAAGATTGCGAAGTCGAGCAAGTAGATAATCCTTGAGTCGTGGAATAAGCTCCTAAGAAAATACAATGAAAATGCAAACATATATATCCAAAAATAGCTGTAATTTCGACGCGTACCGGTTGAACCAATATCTTACATCACAAACGTTGTCTATATTCGACCGTGTCGAAGCATACGTCCAGACTCCATGATATCTCGAGTTCATCGCAACATGACATGTATCGCAGACTTGGCATCGTTGAGCATCCTGATCAAGATCGTTGTGAATTAGCACAAAATGATTTGTTGAGCCTTCGTTGAGCGGTCAGGTATTGAAATAGCGTGTCTGTCTCATACTAGGGCGTCTATGTATACGCGAGAGTACCACTGATCTCGAGAGCACCCGGTAGGAGGTTACAACTTCGTCGGGCTTGGAGAGCGGCAGCACCGTGACTAGAGCCGATCAGTTTGTGTTTTGTATGGTCCATTGTGTATCCACATTAACACTGAATTCAGAAGAAAGAAAAATGGGGTAATGCGAATATAGAATCGGAATAACTGTGTTCCTCAATAGCAGATGTCGACTTGAGATGGCCAAGAAAATTCACTGGCGGCCAGGGTAGCTATATGCCAAGCGATAAGGTTGAGGTGATTTTCGTCAAATAATTTAAATTATTGGGTAAGCCAGGCAGTGATCAGCAGATTCACGTGACCATGTCACGCTAAATAATGAAAACACACAGACCCGACCATTTTATCAGACCAACATTAAAGACATCAAGACTAAGTACTCATTCTTCTCTTCGCCTCTCTCATATTCAACTTCATAAATGTCGTCACTTACTCCGCTCAAGGCATCTATACTCAGTCTCAAGCCACATAAAAATGAAGCTGCACTCCGGATCCGCAACAGTTCTGCTGCCCTCGTCGCTGTACTTCTTTTCACCCATCTTACTCCAGCACCGTCGCTGTGGACAGCTGTGGATGTCGTGTTCAGTGACTCAGGAGAAGGAAAATCTGCGTTTTGGATGATGTGTGCTGCTGGTGAGTGATCTTGTTCCACGTTGTTAATGAAGTCGCTGATGCGGCAGTTCGTAGAGTTGGCCATACTAAGTCTCTTCACACTGAACGCCCTTCAGGCAGCTATAGGGCTCATGTATCCACCAAAACTTTCTCCACCCGCGCCATCACCTTCGAAGAGCATCAAGACACCGCAATCACACTTACAAAAACGCCGTAATGTGTTGTCAACCCATGTAAAGTCCTGGTGTCTCTGAGCAAGTGTCCTTAACTGATAATAAATAGACGAGTCCACAGCCGCAACGCACTTCCTCCCCATATGTCTCCTCTCCAGTGTCAACGCCTTCTCGTACCCTTCAATACTCCATTCCAGGACCCACACCTCCACCTTTTTCCTCGCTGAACTCCTCGACTGGTATGCCACAGACACCCTCCCCTTTATCTGCGTACAGAGGGAAGCATTCAACGAGCATAGGACGTAAGCCATCACCATTCCTCCATCCGTGTCTGGTTCTGATCGTTTTACTAGACGCATTCAATGGTTCGATCCTTAGTAGACTCACAAAGGACGAATGATGAAGATGAGGAGTAGATATAGATTTGTAATGCGGTATTTTTGTTCAAGATCATGTCTATTGCTATCAGTGTTTCTGCGTTCTTCCAGCGCGCAATTGATAGTCACTCGCAAATGTTGGAATATTTGTAGTGTGCAGTTTGCGTGCGCATCGCTCACGCTCGTCACTCCAGTGCTGTCTCCATTGAATGGGTTCCTCGTGATGTATGGTGCGTACTAGTAGGGCCAGCATATGTCACTCACTAATAAATCGACTAATTTAGGCCAGTGATTGCCCCCCTGCCTTCATGTGTATCAGACCGTCACTTCGAGCAGCCCTTCTGGGTATGCCGTGAGACTACTGGCCGCTATGAACCGACACGTGTGATCTAAATATCCTTGAGATCATATAATGGCACACGAGATCACAGCATTTCCTGGTACAAGTACAGAGAGTGCCAATTTAAGAGAATAAATGAAAGGCATGTTTTGCAGGAAGGTCACTGATTATCTATCTGCAGATGATTCTGATCCATCTTTGAAAAAAAAACTCAAATAAGGTTAGTTGCGCCTCGGGGTAAGGGCCAAAGGGAACGAAGTATAGGCACGAGCGTTCACGTTGCATCCTACAGATCTTATCAGCAAGTCAAATTCAGTGAGCACACGAGATAAATTATATTTCTCTCTTTTTAAATCAACCACTTCTGATTTTTTTCCCTGTTCCTTTCGACAGACATGATGAGTGCACCAGCTACTCGGGCTTTCTCAATTCCAAGACCATCTGAGGCCGACTTTCGCCGACTTCACCATGCAAAGCATGACGAAATTGCCAGAGCTTTGAACATGGATGATGATGATTTCATGGAGTTCAAGGTACGCCTGTTCCCTTGCGTCATTTTCCCGCTGAACCCAGCATCCGGAATACAGAAACAAGTGCGTGATAAGATGTATGCATCGCTCGATCTCTCCAAGAGATTGGATGAACAAGATCCTTCAGTGTGGCGAAGATTTGTCCAATGGGTAGGTCAATCTCTTCACTATTGCGGCGCTTTCGTAATTCTAACATCTGCTCTTAAGGCTTATGAAGCCATGCCTTCCCTGATTTCGAAATATGAAGATGCTTGGCCAGTGGAGCTATATGTAAAAATCAACCTCAAGAAGCGTATTGCGTACGAGCGCTTCCGATTCAGAAAGGCAGTGGCGAAGTATAAACGGACAACGACCTTGAGCTCTCCTTCTTCTGTAGTGCGTTGATTCTTCGTCTTCCCTTCTTCTGTCCACACTCATCATGTACAACAGGGAGAAGCGGACATGTCACAGGCCGACCTGCCGCCACCCTACGATGAGGAAGATCGAGTGACACCCAGCAACACTCCTGGCGCGCGCGTGCATCCGGACGCTGCTCCAGACAACATCGAGAAATTTTTGAGGTCCTGTGACTTTGACCTCGGGCATCTCACAAGTACCTTCATCACGCAAAGAACAGGTCTTTTCAATTTGGAAAGACTGGAACTTCTCTCATCATGGCCTGCGGCCTTGAGACGCGACCACTTAGAGAGACACTTTGGAACTATGCTCGATGATGTCGAGATAGAGGTTTTGAACAAGCGGTTTGTCGAGATGAGCCATGTGCAAATTTAATGTTGGGTTAAAGTTGCTAGAATTGTATACATAATCGAGATGCAAATTAGGCTATCTACTTTGACGGATCATCTTGCAATTGAGGTGCAATGATCGTTCGTTGATTCAGTGTAAGCGTTCGCTTCCTCGTTTGTGACTCCCCTGGATGTATGTCCGACAGTCACTCAGTGCGTATCAGGAGTCAATGAGCAAGGACATGAACCTCGACCGTTGGTATGACCATATCGTATTAATATTCAGATAATTTCAAAACAAAGTCCGGAAAAGTTGTCCTAGCGAAGCCTCGATTGAAACGGCGCAAAAACGGCGACTGATAATATTTAGAGCTGAAGGCCTCACTGGGGGTAATTAGGAATTTAGGATATACGTAAACTAAGCAGTAGCTTATGTCAGCGGATGGCGAAGGATCTTGCTTCTGGCGAGTCGTCTGGCGTCCTGACCGAGTTGCAAACTCATGTTACGCCTGCTGCAGAAGGAGTACTTCAGTTCTCCATAGGAATAGGATCGCCTAAGGTTCTTTCAGCAGTCTTTTTTCAAAAGAGAAGACTCGGCGTCACAACCAAATCATCATAGGGATACTTCGCAAAACTTGATGGCACTGCACCTTCAAAGCTTCAAAAATCAAGATGTGTCCATAACCCACACACGGTAAAACAATTTCAATGTTTAGTCATGCGTCGCGCTGAAACGTACCTTGAGAAGCCTATTGATTTTGAAGGTCGTAATGCTGGCGAATGATCGCATTCTCATTGCAGAATTCCGAACCCGGGTGCTTCCAGTTGCGTTCCACCACAGTTGGTCACTACACAGTTTGTAGCTGTCAAATACACTTCCGATGACAACAAGTTGCGACGGGAATGCAATATGACTCAGAGAAAGCCTGCAAAATCTTGGTTCAGAAGTTTCCCATTCGTCGTGACTTCACCTGCTCCAACGTTTCAAATTGTGTGGTAGCCTAGGAAGGACCCTTGAATACCGCCACGTTCTCCGAATATACTGTGAGAATGGACAAATAGAGTCACCATGAGTGACTTATGCTACCGATGGATCAACATAGTTGAGTTTTTCCTTCTTTTTAGAGCCGATGGCCGCAGACCATGCTCGAAGTGGAGAACGGATATATGATATGCAAGGCATGTGACGCCTATAAAGACTAAGAGACCTCGTTGTTTTTTGACAGCAAACTACACCATGGCCCATGCAGAGCTTGACCGTCTGCAAGCATGTTTGAACTTCGCACTCGACACACTCCGTAAGGAGATTGACAACTCTCAGCTTCCCCCCCTGAGTCAACAAAGCTCAGTAGAACACCCATTGGATGACCCAACAACATACCTACCTAGTACGGGGTTGTTTGAAGCTCGCCGCCTCTCTTTAGGTACGTTACATTTGCCCCACATGAACCAATGCATAACTCAAATCATCCATCAGCATGCCTGGTTCGTTACTAACTGAGTTCTACATCTTATTCGTCTCAGTACCTCTTTTAGGGAGAGCTAAAGAACCTTATCCAGTCGCCTTTGGATAAGTGCATGGATGAGAGGTACACGATATATGGTGTTGCCTGCACAGACACCCTTATCAAGACCGGTATTATCGACTACCTATCTGATGTGGCAAACCCCTCCCAAGGTGTTCCGGCCACTGAATTGGCCTCAAAATTTGAACTTGATTCTCAAAAAATTGTTCCCATTCTCCGTTGCTGTGCAGCCAATGGTTGGGTCAGGGAAACTCGTGATTCTTCATTTGCTTTGAACAGATGCGCCCGCACTTTCATCGAAGGTAAAGCTGGTCGGAGACTGAACTTTTCGTACGTTTTCACTGTATCAGCGCTTACCAAGGCTAAATATTGGGCAGTATGCCTGGGTTTATGTCGATCATAGAAACTATACCACACTGGGTGGCAGAATCGGATTGGAAATTGTCGCGATCTCCAGAGCAGACTGCATTTCAAATCGCGTTCAAAACACCCTTGTTGGCATTCTCTTGGATTGTGGAAAATCCAGATGTTCTCGTTCCAATTGCAGATCATCTTCAAGTCTGTTCTCTCGGTTTGAGAGAATCACAGAGCGCTTATTGAGCCTTTGCTGTTCTAGGTCTTTGGTGACATGTCTACGCCGAGTATCGTGGCAGACTATCCGTGGGAACAGTTGCAAACCCCCGTCATCGTTGATTGTGGAGGAGGCGAGGGCGGTCTAATTTCGTCCATCCTAGATGCGTAAGTTGGCGTGCAAATTCATTCCCCGGAGGTGTCTCAATAAGGACAGGCATCCTTCCTTCCGAGGCATCGTGCAGGACATGGAGAATGTAGTCGCATTGACAAGTTCGATGATGGAGGAACGACGTCCTCGCGACATTGCAAGTGGTATACTCAAGGTGGAAGCCCACGACTTTTTCCAGCCTCAGCCTCGGATCGGAAATCAGTACAGCTTTATCTTGCGTCATATAATGTGAGTACTCGTTTCCCTTACCCTGAATTTTCTCATACCAGTCTTGTGTCAAAGGCATGATTGGCCAGACAAAGAAGCGGTCAGTGTGGCACATTCTACTTCAGTGACATAGCTGACTTGACTCAGGCAACGATACTGGGACATGTAGCCCGTGCACTTGGTCCTAAGGTCAACAGCTAAATTTACAGATCAATGTGCTATGTCTGATGAATCTTACAGTCCAGGATACTCATCATCGACATGGTAGCTGTTCCAAATGTAAATTCGACTGCGACAAGCGTACAACCGTTGATGCTTGATAACCGAGCCAAAGCTCCCGACTACAGGATTCCATCACACTTTGGTTCAGCGTCAAAAATCGTAAGCGGTTCTTCTGTGCACATGATGACCTTGATAAACGGTTGCGAGAGGTCTTTGGTGCGTGTAGAACAAATTTTGACGATTTCTACTGAATATCAAACAGCGTGAGTGGAAGAAATTGGTGAAGGGCTGCGGACTCCGTATCACGAACGTTTACCCGCTGCGAGCTCACACTTCCATCATTGAATGTGCACTTGATACACGAGCGTTGCTGTAAAAGAATTCCGGAGTAATGATACATCAAGATTTCCCATGCAGGATTTTGTTATTCTTAGGTACAGGCAAATATCATAAATTACTTCCTTTCCCCCGAGGTCGATTGCCACATAAATTTTACCAGATTTTATGAAAGCCTTCGACATAGCCTGGCAAGATTTCTGTGCTGATCACAAGTTACCCACAGCTCACCTCTATGCGCGCTCACCTGACGAATTTAGAATCTAGACTTCGCCTGGTTCCTCTTTCCAAATCGAGTCATACAGTAAGGTACGAGCAACGTGTGCGCGCTTCCACAGACCTGATCTCCAGGGAACCTCGAGACCTTCTGCAGGTGCAAGCATACGAAGACCTGATCAGCATCATGCATGTTTTAGATGATCGTTCACTTACGTGTGGAATTGTGTCTCCCAGAACATCGATTATATGTTGACATCTGGACCGACGTACGTTGACGACATACTTCACCTGTATATTCATCCAGCGGGTTCACTAAATACAACTATAATCCTGTCCGTCTCCACGTCCAGTGGACCAGAAGCGTGACGATTGAAGTTGCGGCAAGCGCGATCTTGTATTTTTCCTCTTCGCACCCGTGACACTATATACAGAGATGATCCGTTCGTGTTATGAAAGCGGACGTCAAGTATAAATGCTTATAAGCGACGATCGAGCATATAACGATCTGCAGTGTTGATCAAGTGGGCTTGCAAATGAATGATATGATGACTTTTTGTGCAGATAAGTCGCCATTTCGGGAGGCAGTAGTCCAGAAAACACTTTCAATAATTAACAACACGACTTGAGTCTATCATCACATCTATCAAAATATATAGGAGGTCAATACCTTCAGTTGAATTTGCTGGGAATTAGAGATATTACGAGGGCTGGTACAACTAATACATATTATGGAGTACCAGTACTCGTAGGGTAGCCAATATTATGCAGTCACTATACAAGGTTGGGATCTACTACTACTTTGAGGAAAGGAACGACTGAAACATATTCTGCTCGTTGTTCCTCTGTGGTAATCGCTAGAGCGCCAAAATTCAAGTTCTCCAGGGGACGTTCTGACTGTGCCAGAAATGCTTTAAACTCCTCATGGGGCCACATTAATGTATTCCAAACATCAAGTACGCGTAAATTGGGAAGTGAGAGAGCACTGAATACGCCTGATAATGGATTTCCAAATATCCGACCCCCGCCACAGAGATGCAAGGATTCAAGTGTGGCGTGCGTGAATGGCTCCAAGGCCTGTATCTGGGATACTACTATGCCAGTCTTTAACGAGGAGAGGTTGGGACATAGCTGGAGCAGATGGATGAATGCGTCTTGTTTATCTACGTAGATCTCGACTTCTGTTAGGTTGGCCCATACGGGAGCAAAAGAAGATAGAAGCTCGATGTCAAACCACCACATCCCTGGAAACTTGAGATTGGTCAACGTGGACGACAGTCGCGAGATGGGTTGTGCAACAGCTGCGGTATGACCAACAACGCTTAGTTCCTGAAGTGCTGGGCAAAAATTGAATGAAAATGCAGAGTCGTCCACTCCGTGAAAATCGATATAGAGAGAATGAATTTGATGACTATAAGGCTGAAGAAGGCGTTGCACTCGTCGGGTCCCGTTACTGTACTTGAAGTGAAGTGCCAGCGAGAGCGGTCGACCTAGGGTTCGCTTGAGCCATGCATCGTAGCAAGAAGCTCTTTGATGCCAATCATCGTGCTCGGCTTCCAACCGCAGGCTGCACCATAACCTGGGCATGCCCACAACAACCTCCCTCCATCGTCTGCATATTCTGGTCAATAGGACGGGAGCCAGCCTTGATGCAGGCGCCAAATACTCGTCTTCTGGGAGACAGTAAACGAAAATGTGGGATAGGATTTCTGGCGGCAAGCGCCACAGAGCTGGCGATCCGAGTCTCCCGTGCAAATTGATGGACTCGATGATTTCGTCCTTCTTTTCGACAAGTTGCCCGTAAAGATTTTGGATCTTATTCATGACTGTCTGCAAGTCTGAGATCTCGTGCAAAATTGTATCCAACTGCTGCTGGCGTTCGATTGCATGATTAGGATTTGGGACAGTGGCTCTGGAATACGGATTTTCGAGGTTTGTGATCTGTTCGCAGTCAATAACGTATCGGGTTGCGAATAGCTACCAGACATACAGTTGTTTGTGAACGTGGCTAGTGAAGCAATTGGTCAATATTTGGTGTGTTTATGTAAGAATTCAGCGCTCAGCACTACTCACTATATTCTGCAATGTGTCGATTATGTCTGAGACCGCCTTGGAGAAATTTATGTCTGAATCGGCTGTCTGCATGTTGTCGTTCGAGGAACTTGGAGACCATGAAATTTGAAACTTCATGGTATTTAATAAAGTACAACTGGTAGCGTGCCTGAAGCTCCCCCATATGTATGGCTGTCCTCTGACGTCTTGGACCCCAACCGCCCCACCTGGCCCCTACTAGCATGTGCGCTGCCAAATCTTATCTTTACGACGACAAGTCAACAACTCGATGGATGAAAATTCCACCATAGGTCATATTACTAACGGGCATGTATACGGAAGCCCTACGGTCACTCGAGTACCGGACAACGGCTATATGTACCCATCATACAGGACATGCGGTTCTGTACCTAGATTTGTCAGGCGGTCTGTTTGTTTTCTTACATAATAAATCAATAACCGTAAATATTGCGCTTCGTCTGCATTCATTTCAATTTCAACGCTTTTGGGCATTTGATTTTGTCCACATTGCTCCAGAACTAGCTGGGGGCCTTGAACGTTCTAAAAGACACTGCAGCTCCGCGGAGTCAAATACAAGATTATGCGCCGGCCGTCTCATTGAAAGCTGGCAGGTTCCTAGTGTCTTGCAGCTCATTTGACTGACATTTGACTTTGACAGTCGATTCATTCCAGACTCAACCTCGGCGGGCCGACGATAGCAAAAATATATTACGAGATGAAGCCAAGTCATTGCAACCCTCGTGAGATGTTCCTCAAGTTTGTATCTTGGTCTTCCATGGAGTTTCTGCTCAGTTTGGTTCGAGCACCAATGAATACCACGAACACCAACCCAGAACAACAGGCGAGTGTAATGCCCTGTTTTGTCTTTCAACAGCTCGAACACTTTCCTTCAGAAACTCTGCAGCCATTGCTGGTGAAGAGTCCAATGTATTGGGACTCGCTCGAACCGATACATCAAACGATATCGCTTTCATTCTCCTTATCTTGTATTATTCTCTCATTGTAATACTTACAAAACTATGACATCGAGGCTCCGAATCTGTTACCGACTGCGCGGAGACCGAATACGGTCGAATCCCTTATGACGTTCTCCAGCGGCACGTTACATTAGCCAGGTACTGATAAAATATTTCGTGAGAATCGGTGAGATACGTATACACTTTTTCTGTTATTTTTTAAAATCCGATTTTTATCCAATAGGATGCACTACTAGGGAAGGAATAAGGGCAACGTATTCTGTTCGTGGCACATCTGTCACCGCCAAACCACAGAAAATCAGGCGCTCCAAAGGACACTTTGACCACGCAAGAAGATTCATCAGCTGCTGATGAGGCCATGCAGTGTTGGGAGCGCAGTAAGCATCAAACACGCGCAAACCGAGCGACAAAGCCTCGAACAGCCAAGTTAGCAACATCCCAGGTTCAAAATAACTCATGTGCAAGGATTGGATGTTAGTGTGTGTCAATTGTTCCAAGGTCCGTGGCGTAAAGAATACTGCACGAACTGTCAACGAGGAGAGGTTGGGACATAGACGGAGCAAGTGAAGGTGAAGTAGGGTGATCCTGACATGTGTCAGCTCAACTTTGCGATATAATTTACACTGTTGTACCTTCTTACACAGGTCAAATACCAGCTTCTATGATTGTACGAGACAGGGCCTCCAATACTCACAGACGCCATTCTGCGCTGGCCGTCTCTGCGTACTTTGTCCAGTCCTATCAGACAGAGAACACGGGAACAAATAGACATCGATGGCTGTGCGTTCCTCTTGCTTGATACACATCCTCACATGTCTGTATATGGGCAGCTGCGCTCTTCTTGAGGTGCATTTCCCTGACACGCGGATATTCGATGGAGGGTTCGTTGGCAACGACAACTATGCGACATTGCTCAATGCTCACGTCACCAGACACTTTTGAACTTGATTTCCACAGCGCATACTACAAGACCAAAAACCCGGGTAGAATTCTAGACTTGTCAGCGAAACTGGATGTCTGGATGTCCACTCCAAGTCACTGAGCAGTGGTCATTGGGCGCGATGATATCAATGGTGTACTACTAGGTTATAGCTGGTGATTATCTCATGTGTTTAGTGGTGTGTTGTGAGTGCGATGTCCTAAAAGAATCAATCATGCGTTTTGTTGATATCATTGGGTGTTGGAATTGGTACCCCCCTGTGTTCAAGTTTCCTTTCTGGTAATAAACAAAACACATGTAAACAAGACTTCAAGACTTTGTGTCCAAATAAAGAACTCAACGCCTTGCGAACAACGGAACCTCGGCGAATGTTACAGAATGTTATCGATCGCTATTCAATCAAGCACTGGGTAACTTCTAGAATACGCTCGTGTCGCCATGACCGTTACAGGCATTCGTCACGGTTGTGTATATAAGTGCTGGTCAGAGTCGCTCAGGCTTCAGCAAACTCCTCCAACTTCAATCAATAACAACCACCAAAGCACCGTCTCTCGACATCAATTATATACTATTCCTGTGCCCAATCATGTCTCTAGTGCGCACGTTCTACGACCCATTCACTGAGTTCGACAAGCTATTTGACGATGCTTTCAATGCTCGTTTCCGTCCCTCCTCTACCACCGAGGGTAATACTACCTTGACTCATCGCCGTGACCGGGTATTTCCCAGGTAAGTATTATATATCTTTCAATATATTTGTGGTACTCAATTACCAACTCAGAATGGATCTGCATGAGAACGCCGAGACCAAGACGGTCACGGCGACATTTGAACTTCCTGGCATTAAACGACAGGATGTCAATGTCGAGGTCCACGGAAACCGCCTGACCATATCTGGGGAGTCGAAGGGTTCGGATAAATACAACAAGGGCAACTATTTGGTTCAGGAGCGATCGCATGGCAAATTCTCCAGGACCCTTCAAATTCCTCAGGGAATCAAGGTAAGTACACTAACAATGAATTCCGTGTGGCGATCTGGTGCTCACAGTTATCGTACCATCCAGGCTGAGGATGTTCACGCAAAGATGGAGAATGGAGTGCTTACTGTGTCCTTCCCGAAGGCTGGACCAGACCAACAACCCCAGCAGATTGCGATCGCGTGAAGACGCGGTGGATCTGTTTAGCCCAATTCATTATCGTTTCAAACCTGTACCATTGACATAGGACTAGGGTGGAAAAGTAATAGTGTATATGTACAATAGTGGATCACCTGATCTATTTTTGAATCGAAGTACTGCAGCTGAAAGCGGACGCATAGAAACATCAAGCGGAGTCGAGAACTCGATATTCAAACCCAACGCATGATTGTTGTAGCCTGGCGCGGGGATCAGCTTGGGCGAGCTGAGTTTCATGTGAAAGTCAATCCAGCCACTTTGGCGCTATTCTGTTCTTTGTACCAAGCCTGAGTGTGACTTAAGCAGAAGACTTTATTGATATGGTGAAACTGTACCACCAGCGGCACCACGACGAGCACGCGCCATTTTGGGATCTCGCTAGCGTTTAGACTCCGCCCGAAGGCCTCAGAGTGGCCGCCAATTCCAATTTCCCGGACATTATCCGTAATTGCAAACTGACGAATTTTACCATGACGTCGATATCTAGACCTCCAGCAAAACGACACGAGCTACATTACATCGTACTGCAGGGAGAAACTCGCCTATAATCTCGTCATCAGTGTTGCTCCAAATCGCTTTGCCAGAACTGTTTTCAAGTTAGCACGCTTCTCTTTTGAGATACTAGAACAGGGATCGGACCCGAGTTTCCGTTCTTTTGCGACTGTGTCTTGTCACTCGGGTGCCGAAGACAGTGCGCCAGAAGGTGAGTTGAGACTGCCCGGCATGGAGGCACTAATAACGAGAGAGGGCGGCAACTAGCCGTGCCTCAGCGCGCTGCACACATCGATATAAATATCCTGGAATAGTTGCATCAGTTGGTGGCACTGGTGTTTACAACATGAAGACTAGACTGTTGTCACACAGCCGCACTGCTCAGTACCCGTTCAAAATGTTCATACCTCATCCGAGTCGAGCATCGGATTAACTAGGGAGTCTGGTTCGGAGCTGTCGACCGTCAATCACCCTAGCCTTTGAGGTACTAGACCACCCGGGGCCCAGGATACCGTGTATACCAAGCTCTGCTACGTAGGTGCGGAGCTATTCATGGTACGCCCTATCACACTCAATAAGTTTAGCCGGCCGCTCAAATGCTGTCCTCAACATTCACGCCCCGATCATGTTGGGTTCTCTCAGAGATAAGAGGGTGTGTGACGTATGTGCAAGAGAACACTGTTTCTTCGATTATCGAACAAACGCAGATGGATTCGGCAGTCGATATCGCAGCGGTCATGAGGCTGCAGCAATTAACCGTGCGTCGTTTTCTTGACACGAAAGTAAGATAACACTCCATGTTCCACCAGTACCTATACAGTACGTGCTTGTTAAAATGCTTCTTCCTCGTTCTAATGTGACAGCTCAGTGTCGATTACAATGTTCTGGGTAGGCTTATCCCAACTCTTCCGAATCCCGTCCGCTGTTAAGCTCGTTTATCCAGATTTATGAATATGCTTGTTCCTTTGACGAAGAGGTACCAACTTGTGTCATTACACACCTCGGGTTGAAAATTAAACACTGTTCAATTCAAAGTGGGAATTTCTACGTCGGTCGCGCTGGACAAAAGTAAAAGCCCTTTACATCATCACATGATATCTTCCCTTTTGTCTCGTCGCTATGTACCTATGTCGTGCGTTGATGGATTTCAACATAAATTTCCTAACAATAAACTGACATGTTATATTTCAGTGAACCTCATCCCGAGCGAAAACCCCAACGTACGTGGATATACAACAGACTTCAAGTAATGCTCACTGCATGATTTTGTTAGAGATGTCGGATATTGATCAACATTTACTCATGTACGTGCATAATACACTTCCCTGTCGAGCGCTACTCTTCCCTCCCATAGTTTTTAGCCAGATATCACTCACTTGCTCTGAAAGTATTTCTTCTTCTTAACCATCCCGCGCGTATTACTGATGCGATTCAAGGTTTTTTTGCGCTCCGAACATACGCGCTCTGGAATAACAATAAGATCGTACTTGTGGGCCTGTTGTCCACCGCTTTTGTGAGTCCCATACCTTCAACGCACCCAATTTCATGGTTGATGAATCAGTCAGGCTATGGTCGTAACATCCGTTGGAATTCGTTTTGCCATTATTGCCACCTCATATAGTTTGTTGTCTCACCTTAACGCACTATCGTTTGCACATATTCACACCACTTTCACAGTTACAACTAGCAGCGATACCAGACGTCCCAGGCTGCTCCTGGAGTACGAAAGGTGTCTCATACTTGATGTTGTTTATTTTTTTGTTTGTGTTTCAACTAGGTGTGTGGCTAGGAGCTGGAACGATAAATTGCACACACGCTGACTGACGCTTGCCCCAGGACTGGTATCCCTCACACTCATACGTGTCATACAAAGCTGGAGGTCGGCCAAGGGCGATCTGTACGCCATCTTTGTGAAGCATAACTTATTCTACTATGCATGTGGTTTCAGTGAGTCTGGACTTTAGGCGTGTTTCCGTAATCATCGGTGATGTTTACTATTCCGAAAGTTTTCTCTGTCGTGAATGTCATCATGCCAGTGCTATTCCCCAATGTGCGTAAACCTCCTGTTACCCTTCAATACGATCGAGTCGTTGATGTTCCGCACACAAAGTCCGCATACTACATCGTCCTGGAAGAGTATGCACCTCTTACATCTGCTGCGGATTCCTATACTGATAACACTCCAAAACATCTACAGCCTTCAGGTGTGTATCCTTCGCATCCTTGCCACGCGCATGCACCTCCATCTCTGGCATACCGACCAGCACATGCACGACTCTGACGCCCTTATATGTACTTCTATGTTCGACTTGTCACCTACAGACAGTACGGTGTAATGTCAGGTTGTGTGGCTTATTCGTTATTGGAGGAGTAAGGTCTAAATTACTAGATAACTGGGTCGGACGCACAACGCATTTTTGTCACATACACGATAATCATGATGATAAACGAAATGATAGAGAGAAATGTGATAAGGGTGGCCCTGCAGACGCAATGCGAGACAGTCACCTGGGCCAGAAGCCTGCAGATAATGCATTACGGTGTTCGTAATTGTTTATGCAATACTTATAGCTACCCTACATTGATAAATTTATCCGGCGACCCAGGCATACTCTGGTCATTCATAAACTCGTGCCATGGTCCCTGACATAATACATTCGCCAGGCATCACCATTTTGCCAGGCTCATCTACAGACCACAAAGGTCCAGACGCTGCTATGCATAGGTATAAAAGCCAGCCCACTTCTTACAGTGGCCACCCACCTAAGAGTTATCATTCGAAATCAAATCCTTTATCATCCTGTACAGAAAATGCGTTTCTCCATCCTTGCCGTTATTGTTGCTTTAACAGCATCTGTGTCTGTCACTGCATGCAGTTACCTAAACGAGAAATGCACCACCACCAAGGATTGCTGCGGTGACTTTTTTACCTGTAAAAATAAGGTGAGTATGATCATTTGTTTGATTCGACACCATAGCTCACCCTTTGTGATACTCATAGATCTGCCATTACATCAGTGATGAGTAGTTGCAACCGGGTTCACTGGCACATCGCAACAGTGAGTTATATCCCTTGCATTCACGATACCATGGTTCATAACGTTCATAGTTGATAGCACAACATGTAGTTCGTTGCTGAGTCGATCAAGGTTCTATGTACTAGGCTTAGATACTTAACCCCTAGTTTCTTGCCTCGTTATGTAAGCAACCAAAGTTCACAATCTCCTACTCAGACATAAGCACGGGACTTTCCTTGCCGCCGGCATCTATCAATAGACCAGTATCATGTTGTCGCCAGACTAAGCTCCAAAGGCCCTGAGATATTCATATTTATTCGTAGGAATTACTCAAAGCCCCTCGACTTAGACCGGAGACACCGATACAGTGGAATGTCTAACAGGCTTGACAACGTGGGAGCCTCAGGTGTGGTGACCCGGGAGCACCCCTGCGTCATCCATAAACTCGTGCTGGCATGGCGCCCTGCCATTCGTCAGGCATCACCATTTTGCCAATCCCATCTACAGATCACAAAAGTTTGGACGCTGCTATGCATAGGTATAAAAGCCAGCCTGTTTCTGACCGTGGCCACTCACCTAAGAGTTATCATTCGAGATCAGATCCTTTATCATCCTGTACAGAAAATGCGCTTCTCCATCCTTGCCGCTATTGTTGCTTTAACAGCATCTGTGTCTGTCAGCGCATGCAGTCACCCAATGCAGCCGTGCACAACCTTTATGGATTGCTGCGGTAATGCTCTGAATTGTGTGGATGTGAGCATGGATCATTTGTTTGATTCAACGCCATATCTCACCATTTGTAATACTTATAGGGATACTGCTCATACGACCTTGAAGAGTAGCTGCAACCTGGGTCACTGGCTCATCGCAACAGTGAGTTATATCCCTACCTTCGCATTCATCATACCATGGTTTGTAGTTGATAACACAACATGTAGTTCGTTGCTGAGTCGACCAAGGTTCTATGCAGGGTTGAATGAGGCTTAAATATGGAATGATGCGTTAAAAGTAGACTGGGTGAAAGATGTTGGTTTGATTCCACTGATTCAGATGCTAAAAAGAACACATTGTGCGATTCACGGCCATCTGGATGATATAGATATAAGAGAGAGAACGCCCATCGCTCTTCGTCCTTGCTAGCATACTGGTAAGACTGAAACCCATACATCAGTGGACCGGGGGACAGAATAAAGGGAAATATAAAGTACTTTAGGGACATTTTTGGAAGAATGTTATTGATGAAGAGACGTTAAGACATAACCGGAGCATGCGGTGAGTTGTTTTATTTATCACATCCTCCAGCCACACATGACCGCGGTGCTGAACGAATATCCACCGTTCGGAGGCGAACCAAGCGGAGACGGCAGCCAGGCCGAAGGAAGTGACAACCTGGTAACTTGAGTAAGGACGCAATTCAGAAGCACAGAACTATTAGTAGACTTGACTTACTGTAAAAACGGTGGTGATCATGGATGTGACAAATCCCTGATCAAAATATGACGTCTTAGACATGCGTCCATAAGTAGAATAAGACCCCATACGTGATCCGTAGCGTATGTGAAAAGCATCAGGCCCGCGGAAAAGCATGCTACAGACATGACGAGAAAGACTAAAGGCGATCGCTTAATCCATATCAAGACCCACCGAGGTACCCTATGTCCCGGAGAGCGACTGAATGACTGTTATTACACACGGGAACAAGCAGGACGATGATAGACTTACTACATAGCTTGCTTCCAGGTGAGACCAAGGAGACTGTTCACTGCGGCTGCTATACTGAAAACCAACAAGGAGAATCAAAACGCATTGACAGACTTTTCCAGCACTCCATCTGTCAACTGGTATGAGAATTGTAAGGTCGTTGCTGTCACAGCTGAGAAGAACGTCGCGACTGTCGACAAGTTTAGCAGGTTTGCTGCTGCATGTTGCTGAGCGAACCTAATTGTTGGTACGCCTGGAAGAGAACGTAAGTTTGAAAGTGCCAAGGGTAGATTGGATGTATACCGATTTCAATAAACATCAATAGATTGACCGTGATGTTGTCAATGTGCTCCCCAATTTCTGACGTCAAATCATGGATATAGCGCTGCACCGCTGGACACCGAAATTGACCTGAAAGTAGTTAAGAAGAATGCCCAATGCAAGCCCATGTAGACACACAACCTTTGTACTCCTGAAGACACGAAGCCCGATACTAGGAAAATACTGTTAACGGCGAGCAACGTAGCCAGTCATAGAGTTCACCTTCAGATCAACTTCAAACGCACGCATTGACGTATTGACCACCTCGTCTGTAAACTCCGGAAACTCGTTCAGGCAGTTCAGGAACGTTACAACATCTTCTGCGAAACTAGCGAATTGACCAGGGAAACTTTCGGGATCAAGACCGTCATGGTGAAAGAGTGGTTGATATGACCTAAGTCCGTGTAATGAATAACGCGAGATAGCGATCGATGACAGTAAGTATGACGCGGCTTGGAATCTTGGATCACCAACTAGATAAACCGTTTTGCAGAAAAGCACTATTAAGTTGGCGTTAGTATCTCACAAGCGGGTGTTATTACGCAGGAGTATGCGATGCCTGCCACGGGTGCAACTTTGTCTAGTAGTAGGCAAGCGCATTGTAGGGGTGTTCGCCGTTACTGCTCAGTGCTGGTATGTGGTAAGGAACAATTTCCAGTACCCCGGAAGTAACTCTATGGAGTTTCCGTCGGGGTCTTGTTCGAGTCACGTCTTGATCATATTCATATTTTTATCTTTTCTATGTTATCTGGTCGTGCATTTTGTAGATCATATCGATTGACCGCCAACTGTCGTACTCTGATACCCAAATCCATTGGGACGCGTGCAATGGCCACCGAAACCTCAGATTCACTCGCTGCTGAAATTGCACAGGCAACAGGTGCACTGAACGATCTCCGATTGCAAAATTCCGATGCGTCAAGTATAGACGCTGCCAAGAAGAGACTTGGTGAGTTGAAGAAAACAATGGCCGCGATGAAAATTGCAGGCGGGAGCAAGGACGCTGGGAAGAAGAAGGAGCGGCTCCTGCTCAAAACTGCAAAGGTGTGTTCGAGTGTGCACCGCGATCATACACCTCTGAAGGGTGCTCAAGTAGGCTGTATAGGGAACGCGTGATTATGGCGCTGCGGAAATGTTTTGCCGGGAACATGTCGAGCGCATCGTTAAGGATGTGTTCACGTCATACGGTGGGAGCGCCCTTGACACGCCTGTGTTCGAGCGTAAGGACGTGCTTGCCGGAAAGTACGGCGAGGACCAAAAGCTCATTTTTGACTTGATGGACCAGGGGGGTGAACAGCTCGCACTTCGGTACGATCACACCGTTCCTTTGGCACGGTATCTAGCTATGGCTGGTGCTACGGTCCAAGCGAAGATCTGGCAAGTCGGCAAGGTCTACCGGAGAGACAATCCTGTGATGTCGAAAGGCCGAATGCGCGAGTTCTCACAAGCAGTACGCACCTTCTCACTTATTCCCGGGGTATTTTGCATAACTTGTCACAGGATTTGGATATTACAGGTGTATGGGACCCAATGATCCCAGATGCCGAGATTATCAGTCTACTATGCACTATCTTAACGAGATTGGATGTTGGAGAATTTACCATCAAGGTAACGTTGTTCAAACAAGGTCTGGATCCACCCTGATGCCTTTCAACCTAGCTAAATCATCGCAAAATTCTTGATGGGATCTTCGAGGTTTGTGGTGTGCCACAGGCCAAGATTCGATCGATATCCTCGGCTGTGGACAAATTGGATAAGGTTGGTTGATAGAGATACATTCCCGATGTTTGTTCTAATTGCGTTCAGCTCCCCTGGATAGAAGTGAAGAAAGAAATGACAGAAGAGAAAGGACTTTCCTCAGATGTCGCTGATAAGATCGGAGAGTATGTCAAGCACAAAGGTATGCAGCCTTGATTTTATGCAGAGTTGAATATCTCATCTCTTTCGTTACACAGGTGGCCCGTCACTGCTCGATCTTTGGAAGGCAGATGCCACTCTTATGGCAAACCCGAGCGCCAAGCAGGGCATTTCAGATATGGATATTCTATTTACTCTCCTGCAAGCCTACAAAGTACTCGACAAAGTAAGGTCGATTTTTGTGAATCGGACCGTGATACTCACGTATGCATAGATCTCATTCGACATGTCTCTCGCACGTGGTCTAGACTATTACACAGGCATCATCTATGAAGCCATCGTCGAAGCATCAGCGCCACCAGCTTTTGCCGCAAACGCAACAGAGTCCCCAGCCCCAGCCCCTTTGAAACCCAAGTCTTCGAAAAAAGCCAAAGCTGACGACGACGAAGAAGATGAACTGGACGAATCGCAGGTGGGCGTCGGCTCCATCGCTGCTGGTGGCCGGTATGATAACCTGGTTGGTATGTTTACTGCCGCCGCCGCCGCTGAAGGGAAGAAGGCACCAGGACTCCCATGTATCGGGGTCAGCATTGGTCTTGACCGAATCTTTGCGATTGTGTGGCCAAAGTGGGTGGAGAAGGGGATGCGGAGCAAGGAGACGATGGTGTATGTGATGGCTGCTGGTGATGGCTTGTTGGAAGAGCGGATTGCACTCGTTCAGGAACTCAGAGACGCCGGCATAAAGGTTAGTTAGGCTGTCATTTTCAAAAGCATACGTTGACTTGTCTTTTCAGACTGACTTCCTCGCAAAGAAGAAGCCGAAGCTCACTGCGCAGTTCATGGCTGGTGAAAAGGATGAAGTTCCTTTTGCTGTGATTTTGGGCGGTGATGAGCTCAAGGAAGGTTTGGTGACTATTAAAGAACAAAAGTGGGGATTCGTGGATGGGAAGAAGACAAAGATCCAGTCGGAAGATCAAGGCATGAAGGTGCGGCGGGACGAACTGATTACTTGGATCAAGCAAACGCCGGCATATCAAGGCTGGTCGAGTGGTCGACTTATCTAGGAGAAATATATCAACATACCCTGTACTGCATAGATTATATATAGGTTTTGCTCCTGGCAAGTTATGAGACGACATACAGGGAGTCAGTTTCTTGTCCGCTGCTATCACACTGGCTGACTCTTCGTCGGCAATCAATCTTTCGGTAAGTTTACTACAGGATTACTTCCAGACATGCTATTTGTATATAAGGCGGTTATATGAGTTTGAAGGGAATTGTGAGCGAGATAAGAGTTAAATAGAAATAACGGAAAATGCAGAAAAAGGTTCGAGACGTTTGAGACAAGTGTGATCTAGAGGGCTTCTGGAGTATCTTGGAGCGGAGGTCTGAGTATATGATTCGCTATTAGATGAGAGTGTACATGGACAGTATATAAGCACGAAACGGTAAGGGTCCTCAGGTACGAATAGGCCGTACGATTAGGTGAAAACGGAGGCAGAAGGGAGTGGCGTTGATCCTGAGGGGTAGCTAGTGCAGGCAAGAGAGGGAGTACGAAAGAACTGAATGAGTGGCGGTATAAACAAGTTCGATTTGAATAGGATGACGAGAATTTCGTAGCAGTATTGACAGATTCCGGTACGGCGAAGTGAAAATGTAGACTCTAACGAGAGAAAGGGTTTTGAGGGTCGATATCGGCGAAAGGTATCATGTAAGGGAGGCCAAAAGACTGTGCTCGTCGTTGACGACGGTGAGATAATGAAATCTTCGCAACAGTAGGTCACCCTGACGTCCAAACCAGGCTCAGAGACGACTTTGGACGTTACTCACTGAGGCCCTGGTGAAGAGCTTCACATTTGAGATGCGGGAGGCCTGGATATTCTAGTTGAAATTGCAAGGAGACTTTACCTCGTCTACGGGTTGTTGGAGAAAATGATATTGGAATACCTTTGTCTTGAGGCTTGGAGCTCGAGAGTTCGTCGATACGATAAGAATGAGTAAACCGGCTGTCACTGGCTGTCCGGGGAAATATCCACGTATTATTACCAATTATATCTGGTCATATTAATTTCGGGTGATTAGCTAATGCCGTCTTCTCCGTCTTCTTCTTTCCCCACTATGGTGATATCAGGTATGTCTTTGTATCGTATGCACGTATAAGACGCTACATGCCAGTGTGTGCAACACGGATGTGCCAGCAGTACCTGAAATGGTCAAGGCCTCGCTGTCATTTAGAAGTTACGTACTTGACAATCGCCATGTATAATACTAGCTGCTTGAGGATCATAGTCGCGCGCAATCGTTTCTTCTTTCTCGAACCACCGTGTTGCAACATGCAAACATTCGACAGATTTTCCCCCGTTCCAGATATCATCAGTGCTCTGCAGACTATTGTAAGTGTTCACTTTTATTACAATTACTTCGTCTGGAAGTAATATCATTTGCTTTAGCTTGCAAATTCACGAGTAATCGTATGTCTGTGATGATATATCATGTGCCACATTATTGACGAAGACCAGATTTCTGCAGACCTTGACACCCCGTATTCCAGACTCTCCAATACCGACCGTTCTGCTATCGAGCTTAAAGACCGCAGCATAAGCGCCATCATCACCGAACGCCAGCAACAGTTGGATGCAACTTTGCACGAGACCTCAGCCCTGGAAACCGTGATGGATTGTCTAAAAAATCTTCAGAAACAACTTGTCGAAAAGGTGGACAAGATCATCCAGTCTATGAATTTGCACAAGGGACTCCTGTCGCCTCTCTGGCGCTTGCCAAACGAGGTCTTATCCCTGATTTTTGTTCACTGTCTCCCGACACATCATCACCTGATGCCCGCCGCAAGGTTAGCTCCCATGTTATTGACGGCAATATGTCGGCGATGGAGGGAAGTTGCTGTGAACATGCCCAAATTGTGGTGCAGGCTGCACATACAGGAAGCTGAAGGCAGGGACTGGCAGCGGATAGCTTTCTGCTATAGTTCATGGCTGGAACGGTCACGAGGATTTCGGCTCTCCTTAACACTTGGGAGTCTCCGAAGTCGCTCAACCAACACACAAAACCTTCTTCAGCCTTACATCAATCAAATCTCATCTCTCTCTATCCTTGTTCATCGCCAGGTCCCTGAATTTATTATGACAGATTCACTAGCACTTGAGGATCTGACCGTCAGCATCGCCTATCTTAATGCTATGCCAGCTATCGCGCAATTCATCTCACGACAGCGTTTGTCCCTTCGCAGTCTCAAGCTAAAGGGGCTGGTGTTCAACCTCCATTACTTATCGTGTCTCAACTCCGTATGGGCACACCTGACAAACGTCGAACTTGCGATAGATCAACCGAATACAGTCATTCATCTACTCCGTCTGTGTTCCAACCTCTCCGCGTTCACAATTCACGCAGTTTTCATGCACACTGGCATACAGGCTATAGAGCCATTTACGCATACCAAAATTCAGTCTCTACGCATCGATAACAGTAACTCTGGACTCACAGACAGTCTATCTCGTCTGATCGATGCTCTATCACTCCCCAAGTTACGCGTGTTTGAAGCTCGGTATGTACGGACATGGCCTCATGAGGAGTTGAAGGCATTCCTAGTACGGTCGAATTGTCCTCTGATGAGCCTGGACCTCGGCTTTGGAGTGACAACGACAGACGAGCAGAGAGCGGAATACATTGCTATCATTCCTTCCCTCGAAGTCGTAGTGGATCCCATGGGTCGTGATCACTTTATATAGTATAGTAAACAAACCTATCGTTACATGATGGTATTGGACTTCAGACTCATACTATACACTTACTCTGCACTGCGTAGCAATGAACTGCGTCAAACTCCGATCTCCCTCGCAGATCCCAATAACACAATTTTCAATCGTGCAAGGCCTAATTATGTTCATGTTGTCGAGTAAGATCAATCATCCACATGCGCTCGCCGCTGAGTTGCCTTGTAAACTCAGTATGATGATAACAGGTGCCATGAGACCGTCCTAGCGCTTGGTTCGACGCTGTGTGGAATAATATACTTGTGATTGACTCATAATGTGACAGTCTCCTTAGGTAGTGAGCTGAATGTTGTATACATAATTCACCAATTCATCCGAAATGTTGGCCATGACGGTCACCAAATCCATTACCGAAACCAGGACGATCTAGCAAAGACTGCGAATGAGCACTGATACAAATTATGTAAGTTCCTAAAACAAGATGAAAAAGATGGAGAAATCGACGAGGATGTACATCTGTAGAAATAAATGCGCAGCGAGCATCAATAGTGCCTGTGTGTGATGTAATCATCTCCAGGATGCCATCGGAAGGAGGTTGGGAGACTGCGGGGGAGAAACAGTTTGCTGCTGGAAATATGGCGAGTTATTGGGTGATCCAGGTGCACCGGGTGCACCGGGTGGATAGACCGGTATCGTAGGTGTCAGCTCAAATACGTGCTGAGCCACTGAGCGGGGGCGCCCGACCGCGCCATGTTGAACAGGCTCCGGCGCAGCCATGACACAGTGAATCCGGGGGTCAAGGTTCATCTGTTGGAAGCTTTCCGATCCAGTCGATGGAGGGACACAGGTACCACGACCATCCCAAATACAGCGTATCTCATTTCCGGGAATTATCTGTGTGAGCAGACCTGTTGATACGTGCCTGACTTCAATGAAGCGAGAGTCGAAGAGAAGTATATAAGGCCAGTGAATTGCCACACGCTCAGCTGTGCCCTCCCATTCAATGGTGCCCGTGTTGCGACTAGGTGCGCCGTGCTTGTTGACGTAGATACCGAACTCTAGGGTTTTACCATCAGCGCTGACTGGAGATCAAATCAGAACGACTAACCATCATAACATAAAAGGAATTCATTTTCCACGCGGAACATCCCCATTGGCCTACAAGATTCCCCACGTTTTGCAAGTCTTTCATAGCCATCGTCACGCAGTGGAATTGTGACACTCTTGAAACTTGAATGATGGTCAAAACGGGAGAAATGGATAGGTGAGGTGGTAAAATCGACATACTCAGTCAGATCCATGATTTCGAAACCTTTGGTGCAGAGAATCGCGATCTTTGCTTTGAGGAAGACCAGATCGAAGGATTCTGAGGGCAGAAAGAACTCCTAAGAAAAAAATCAACATGGCAACGTCATCCACCAACAACCGCGTACCCTGTACAGTCGGAACCACTCTGAACGCGCAGGTCGGATACCAAAACGGGAAGTGAACGAGGCAGGTGCCTTGCTCCTTTCATTGATTTTTTCCACCACCGGTTCCAAAACGCGGAAGACGCTGTCGAGCTGTTCACATTGTCAGTAAGCCCGCCTTGGGATGTCGCAGAACTTACCCCTTTCTTCTTCATGTATATAACTAGCGTTCGTCCTCCTTGATTGCCGACGCTAAAGAAGTGAACGTCCCTGGTTCCATTAACCCTCTGTGGCGTCTGAGACGTATGAGCACTCTGTGGAGATGATGGAACGAGAGCCTCGATGTGGTATGCAAAGAGAGCCTATTTGCAGGTTAGTGTCCTGTAAAGGCCATCACTAGTGGAAATACCTTGTCTGCAAGTACGAGGAACATCCCAAAATCCTCGAGCATTGCACACTGTGTCACCATCTTCAGATGTAATACGCGGCGCATAGCTAAAGTGGCAGTTGTCAGTCTGCAAAGAGAGTGAATACGACTACACAAACATCTTGAATCGTGTCTAAAGCCTATCCAAACGCCCTCGGCACAACCAATAGCCACCAATGCTCGTCCATCAGCAGTAGCTTGAAAAACGTCTCGGTAAGATAAACAGAAAAAGGAAAGGCCCTGAGCTCACTAAAGGGAACAGAGCAAGTAACCTTGCCTGTGAGGGAATTCTCGTGGTTCCAAGATGGTACAGCAGCTGACGATATGGATGGGACAAGAAAGGTGTCTGTACTGAGAGGCTCCAGCTCGAAGACTTTGTTTGATTCTTGGACAACCTTGCGCATACCGATGGCCTCGTCCAGCTTCTGCTTCCATTCCGCTCGCGCTTGCTGAGATTCCGTAAACACGGTATGTAAACCACCAAGCCTACCGTTATAGTGGATGGTACAAGGATATACAAGACGTGAATCATTAGCGGTGTCAGGAGCACCGTTACCTGGAGATGGCCCGCCTTCTACATGCCTGTTCCCTCCACCAAGGCCAAGACGCAGAATGCTTGTGCTGCGCTGTATCGGCGGATCAGTGAAGTTGGCCAGAGTAAGGAGGTCCAGCGGTATGGGCTAAGCCACAAGTGAGATATTATACAATGCCATATTTACAATCACTCACTCTCCGGTTTACGTTATATTTTGTCACGCCGTCTTTTTCTTTTGTCTTGGTCATGACCACTGAATTTGGAGGTCAAGTGTCCCGATACAATACAAGGGTTAGAAAACTTACAGTAGTTATCAAACAGTAAAACGAAAAGCTCAGTCCATCCGTTCCATTCAAAGCCAGTGTCGGGTTGTCGCAGCAGCTTGCCAGCATGAATGAGAGAGCGGTTTTCATTCAAAAGATCCATGTCCTACATGAATCGTTCATTATGTGACGGCAGACAAAAACCTTGGAAACTTACAACGGACTCGTTGGGCTTGAACTGCAAATTTGAGTTATAGCACCAGAGCTGAACTTTCTGTTTCGCTGATTGAACTCCTGGCTCGGTTTCCTTGCCCAAAGACTTTATGATCTCCAAGACTTGAGGGATCGCTTCACGATCCTCATGGGTAACAGGTGTCTCGTCCATTATGCCCTTCAAGAGCAATTCGTATCGCAATAATCGGGGGATAGGACGGTTGATAAAACTCTTCATGTCTAGGCGGTGGGCATCCGGATGCCGTATGCATTGCTGTATTATGATTAGGAATGTAAAGCGAAGCAAAGAACAAGCCTCACGTCAACAAACGTCTTGAAATCAATGTTGTTAGCCATCTCGTCATCGATGCGATAAGCAGCAATAGGATAGTTGGGAATGTACTCCATGTATGCATCCCTGAAGTTCAAAGCAGCGTCAAACATAGGTGCTGTAATACTCTTGATCACTGGATGCTCCTCGCGCTGTATATCATGCAGTTGGTCCAGGAGTTTCCGATGATGCGAGTGGAGCTCAGCAAAGTTGTGAAAAACATCGGTGATAAAACCATTCAACCTCTCACGAGGAATGACCGGAGGATCCATCTCTCGCAGGGCCTGAATGTAAATCTGTGGTGGCAAGAATGAGTTATGATAGTGAGGTCAAGGACTTGCAAAGGACAACGCACCAAATCGATATTTTCTAAGTCCCTGACGTACGCCATCTCACCTTTAATAAGTTCGAATATAATGCTGCACAAAGTTGAGCATTTCATGATAGCTGAAAGAAAGAACAAACGTACGATTGACGTTTGGCCTCAGCCTTGCTGAGACTCTCTCTAACATCCTTGGCTACGATATCGTGCCACTCCCATTTCCCAGTTGGACCTTTGCCCATGGCAGTCTGGAACGTCCGGAGTTGTGCAACGTTCTGAAGATTTCTGATGGCTTCGATGGCCTCTGCGAGGTAGTACGCGTCTGGGTTGCCTTCAGTTGTCTCTTTCATGATCGCCTCCAGTGCAATGGGGTACTTCTGCAGATGTTCAGAAGGTCGCGATAAGAAGTGTTTCAAATCCAGTCGACGAGCTTCCTGTTGCTTGGATTGTCGCGAGCACTCCTACAAAACAGTCCAGCAACGCCCGATATGGCAGATAATTATCATACCTCAAGGAACAACCGAAGGTCGGCGTTGGACTCGATCTCGTCTTTGAAGCGCTTTTCAGCGAGGGGAAGATGTCCGACATATGTCGGATATGCAAACCGGAACTCTCTCGCGGCCTCCAAAAACACATCTCCGATCTTTTGGATGATCGGTGCTTGCTCGCGCTGCCGAACATACATAGCTTCCACTAGCCGTCGGTTGCATTCGCGAAGATCTAGGATGTTTCCGAAAACCTCTTCGACAAACTCGTCTAGCTTGTTAGCCGGCATGACAGGAGGACTTGCTTTCAGCAATGGCCGAATGAACAGCTAAAATAAGAGTAGGTGGGTCGAAACTATCGAGTAACACAAGGCACTAACCGCCTCCACAGTATCCAGGTCTTGGACGTATTGTTCTTCCTGGGTGATAGTTTTATAGATGATGCTAGTGTGGTCTTTAGTATAGTGCCAAACAAAGTTCCCAAAGATGCTCACGTTTGACGATGAATTTCACTTTCAGGAAGAGTGTGAAGAATGCCGGGATCAACCGTACTCAACCAGTCTTCGGTTTGCTGTTGTGAAGACAATATTCAATATTCAATCCAGTCAATAAAACGTGAACGGTAACTTACGTGGTGTACTTCTGGCTCGGCTATGGGACCTATGTCTACGATCCGACCAGCTTGCTACAGAAACATTAGACCGAACTCACGACCACGGGATCACAGTAACTTACTCGACGTGGACAAGCAAACGAATAACAGGGGTCGTCCTCACTGCAACTCGACGCATAGCACCGAGTGAGTGAAGTGATGACGGCTGTTGGCAGCTCTTCCCTCTCTCGGTGAGCCTCAGAATTGCCCTCTAGGTCATCCAGGAACATATACACGTCCTCGACGCCATCTTGCAGCAGCTTCTGACCCCATTCAACTTCATAGAAAAATAATTGCTGTTGCAGACTTCGAGCAACCTGGAGGGCAGCACGGCGATCGGTGGTCGAAACACCATGATTGATAAGTAGTTCACGTTGGATCTGGCTTTGGATAGTAGACTGAAACAGCGGCATTGCGTCAGGTCTTGTCACAGAATTCTAGCAACGGACTTACGACGATGTCCTTGCCGGTAAATGCACGAGGGTATGGGATACTGCTTTTCACATGAGTGCCGCGAGGCACCTTGTCGCGCAAGCGGACGGCCAAGTGCGATAGCAAGCTGAAGTTGACAAATCTGTCTGGGTCTGGATCATCACTCTCGGAGTCAAAGTAATCGTCGTCTTCTTCTTCCTCTTCTTCTTCTTGGTCGTCCAGCGGAGGTCCAGGTGTGCCGCTGTAAACACTCGGACGAGCACGCGCTAACGAATCCACACTTCCACCTTGGAAACCGACACTGCCAGAATCTGAATGACCGTGGATGTATGTGAGTGCCGACGGGCCTGCCGGTGGGAACCCGTAGGACCCTTCTCTGCTGAGTATTGTTGGCCCAGATTTGGGAGTTGAACCGTCCGTATCAGTGTAGCTGGTGGCTGTTGTCGTTACTGAAACATTGCGACCCAGTGAATCCGTTACCGACGAAGATATGGTGGAGCCCGTAGAAATTGCACGGCCTAGTTTGGGGTCAGTATTTTGATGATCTGCAGATGGTGTCAGTTGGTGATTCAAATTTCTCGTCTTTGTGTGGACTTACGATTAGGGATATAGTCGGATGATGATGAAGGGCGATGACGCAAATCATTTACCCGAGCAGATGGTGCGGGGCCGTTGATTCTATCGTTTGGATGTAACCGTGCATGAGGCTGTGGGTAGGCATCCGCAGGACGAAATTGTTCCGAAGATTGTTGAGAGCGATGAGATGGGCGGTTCTTCGTATCGTCTAGACCATAGTCGGTCGAGAAATCATCAAAAATATTGCCGTGACCCGGAATGTTCGGGGGCGAAGCGCCAGGAGGTCGAGGGGATGGTTTAGGTGCGACGGTGACACCGTAGCCCTGTACATCGAGGCTGCTATCTGATTGTTGCAAACGGTACGCATCCACGCCATTAACAGTCGCTCCATTGGCGTGCGATGGGACAGCAGGGACAGCTTTATGTATATTTGGCAGCCCGTCAGCATGAGAGCTAGAAACGACTGGTTTACTTGTAGATGAGGTAGGGGATGTTGCAGGACCTGTGGATGGGCAACTGCCGTTATAGCCATTGGGCTGCACCGTAGGTGCCTGGGGAAGCTGACGACGCCTGCATGTATAATAAAAACTTTATGGATGGAATCAAATAGATGAAGACCTACACATCGACTCCAGCCGTCCCAGGGCGTGAAGTGCTTGCAACTGGAGGTGGTTGTTCATGAGGCTGAGGACCTACAGAAGAAGCACCTGGAGGCAACGGAAGTGGTCTCAATCTCCTATGTGTAGGCGAAGTCGCAGCATCAGGTTGTGGGCGTATTTCAGGAGAGTGCGGCCGCTGGGGCGCAGGTGCTATATGTCATAGTCAGGTTACTCGCACACAACGCGAGTAAACATAAAACGAACCAGGGGGACGATGAGGGGCAATTCGGATTGAAGAAGAAGAAGATATAGTCGCATTGACGTCGTGGAATGAGCCATTGGGGTAGGGCTCGCGTGCATGGGCAGAAACAGCGCTTGTTGGCGAGCGCTCGGTTGGGGAAGCTGTTTCTTCGCCAAAGATCCGCCAAACTTCATCATAAAGGTGCTGGAGATCTTCGTCACCGGGTGGAGGAGGACGACCGTTAGATTGAAGGGTAGACATGATTCCGGTCAATTATCGAATTGGGTACTGGTTGGGCGAAGTTGACCAGGCCTAGTTGCGCAGCAGTCCACCACTTACTTACCTGGAAACCAACCAGATGCAGATTTTGATTGTGGTTGAAGCCAGAAATTGTGACAGAACACAATTTCTGTGTTATCAGAAAACTTGGATCACAGTGTTGGACAAGTAGCAAGACGAGACTATGTTGCTTGGTGGGCGCTCAGGGAACCCAAGCCAATAATCAGCATCGGATTTCGGTCATATCCGGAACTAAACTCATCCACTGCCACGGCAAGCAGTGAGTCCAACGCATAAGTTACTGATCTTTTTTTCTCTGATCGCATCTAGGTATAATTTGGGCCAGGGCATGCTGTGTGTTTAGACACAAAAAATTCCATCAGGATCTCGACCTGTGCTGTGTGCTTTGCATGGATTCTCCACTGGATACCAAACCTGCGCGCATACCGAAGCTATGCTCATCGGTGCACGACATCAACGCTGAGAAACCCCCTTTTGGGTCCAGGTAAGCATGAAAAAGATCATCAGAAAATACCTGATCTAGGTTATCAAACGTGTAGATTTCTTACGCAAGACTCTGATGTCTGGACTCAAAACGCTTGGGACCATGTTCCGCCCCCTGAGGATCAAACTGAAACGATAACTGCATCGTTGGCGAGGCAACGTCTTGTTCCAGTACCTGAAGATGATAAGAAAAATTACAATGCAAAACCTGCAAAATATTGGTTCGTAAGTTTCGACTGTCAGCGCTTCATTCGTTTTGATGCTGTCTATTGATAGGGATAATTTTTACAAGACAAATGCCGACAATTTCTTTCGAAATAGAAAATGGTGGGCATCACTCATTCTGTCCTGATTAACACGCTTACTTTCTAGCTGAAGGTTACATCTTGAATTTCCAGAGCTGCTGACAGCGGCAGAACCAAATGTAAGGGAGTGTACCTCAACGGTGATTTCTCTTATATAGTCAGGCAGGAGACGTAACTATTTGCGAGATAGGATGCGGTGAGTATAGTATTACCTTTGATGAAACATACCTAAGCCCTGTCTAGGCGCTGGCAACGCTGCATTTCCGCTCCTAATGGCGAACCAGAACCCAAATCTTATCATCCGTGCTTACGATTACTCGACCCATGCAGTCAAATTAGTACAGGTATGCACAGGTTGACTATCTTCGTCTATTCGGCTCAGTCTAGGAGTAGACACATGCCCTCTATAATTCCCCGCCTGTTGGCAAAATAGAGGCAGCTGTCTGGGATTTATCCTCACTGGACACACTGCCGCCAGGGGTAGAGCCAGGGACTGTGGACATTATCATCCTGGTATTCGTGCTCAGTGCGCTCCACCCGGATGAATGGGGTAAAGCTATCGCTAATATTCATAAGGTATTTGGATGGCTTCACCAATACGTTCGTTTCATCACCTGCCATTAGATGCTCAAGCCTGGTGGGCTTGTATTATTCCGCGACTATGGTAGACATGATCTCACGCAGCTGCGATTCAAATCCGGTCGTCTCCTCGAAGACAATTTTTACATTCGGGGTGATAAGACACGAGTCTATTTTTTCGAGCTTGGTACGTTGGGAACAAAGCTAAAGCTCGATAAACCAAGTTTCTGAATTCTGTTGCTATATTTAGACGAGCTTGCGCTTATCTTTACCGGATCCCACGCCTCGCCTGCTCAGAAAACATCAATAGTGACCGAAGTTGTAGACGAAGATGAAAATAACGAGCCAACGTCACTACCTGCGCCGTCAGAAACTGCCAGTCCCGCATCACACACGCTGTCGGACACTCCCGACCCAGGATCCGACGACACCCCCAGCTTGCCCTCTTCAGGTCCATCCTCTGGCGTTCACTACAACCTCCTTCGTCCTCTTGCCCACTGTCCACCACAACCTTTGTTTACAATCGAACAACTCGGTGTCGACCGCCGGCTTCTGGTCAACCGGAAACGGCAGTTGAAGATGTATCGCATCTGGATGCAAGGAAAGTTTTGTAAAGCCGAGTGATGCAGACGTGGCATGAACACAGGGCATGGCGATAAGTGATATATCTATTGAACCTTTTTTGGCGAATTGAATTATGACATGATCGTGGTGTGGTGCAACATTCAAGTTGTACTGGAGACATGTAGCATCCCGGCGCTCGTATGAAATTGCGCGATCAATCAACGACGAGCGTCGAAAAACATACTATGATCGTATTAGTGTGTAAACTAGGCTCTAGTCTGCTAATCAGCCTGGCCAAAGGCTAGTAGAACCGGGGAGATTGTAGCGGTTTAGAGCCTGCGAAAACTCCCGTCATGGGGCTGTCGCTAGCCCTACCGCTCGTACCTCTCGTTCCGTTTTAAACTAATGCTACTGAGCCTATGTGAATAGCGGTCCGTGCGACGCTGCTACTGAGCCCCTTTAGGGCCAGCCAGACTCATCAGTACTCATGGCCCACCATGAGGGTAGTGTACGGTTGGGCAGACAAAGGGCTGCGAGTGGGACAGAGCTTCATAGCAAGGTCGGCCTCTAGTTCACAGATCCTCATCCTAGGAGACGGGTGCCTGCGGCAGGTGCTAAGGTGGCCAGATACGATGGCGCCCTGCTGGACCCTTCTAACATGGCCTTGCCTCCCTGTCAGTTCGCCAATGCGCAAAGTCCTTATTCTAACCCTACACGAGTCGTACCTCGCTTCTGGGTAGAATTCTAATCATTGTGAAGGCTCTATACCTGATATCCATCGCTGCTTGGACATCGTTCGTGCTGCCAGTGTTGCACTCAAAAATAAGTTTCTTGATATCTAGTCTTTCCACATTCTCGGCGTCATGCTCCGTAAGATCTCACTGGACTCGTCTATTCCGTGTCAGATAACGTTGTGGAATCCAATCAGGTTCCTTCCACTCTTTATCAGAAATCTCAGCCAGAATCATTTGGCCGATGACTTCGGCACTGGAAACCATATCATGTATGAATTGGTTCAGTCGTAAAATATAAGACTTACCATCCAAATGCGCGCGGCATTCCATGACCGGTATATCCTGCGGCGATGTACTGTTTCTGGTACAGTTCTCTGTCTGGATTTGCTAGGAGTAAGTCTGCCACAGCACCAACCTGGCGAGGGACAAATCAACAACAGTAGTTACAAAAGTTGCTTGGACATACAAACGGATCCCCCATCTTCGTGAAGCCCATGATGCCAGTCTAAACCCTCGTCATGAATATCTTCAGCCAGACGAAAAAAGTACTTACCCATTCCATCTCAGGCTCCGAAAGAGGGTCATATTTACCCTCGAATACAGATGGCAGGAACTCGCGAAGCGCCTTCCCGACGAGAGGGTGCGTTTCAGAGTCATCGTCCACGTATAGCTCGTATTGGGGTGCCACAGCTTCCCGGCCACCACCAATGATGATCAACGGTTTTTCGGTATAGTATTTTACGGGTCGTGGGAACCAGTATGCAAAACCCTAAAAGAAAGATTAGTCACGACAAGACAGGCTACTAGCCTGAGAATGGAGTGGTTTACTTCGTTTCCGCTCCAGCTTGGTATATGGATTTGATCTGTACCGACAGAAGCACGGGTGGCCATTACTTGTCCTCGAGTCGGTATAATTCCATCTGGACCAGTGAGAAAGGGAAGAAGATAAGAGGCGTACGCATTCGTGGCATGGACAACACGGGAGCACGAAATGCTACCCCGGTTCGTCACGACTGCATAAGTAGAAGAATTATCGGTCGTTTCATGTGTGACTGCAGTCACTGGGGTCTGAGTGTGCAACTTCAGGGAGGCGTATTTCCCAGCGTGTGCGTGAGCATGCTGGTACAGCTTCGTGACAAGTTTTAGTGGCCAGACGTTGTTTCCTGGCTCGCGGAATCCTGAGTAAGGTGCACCATATTCCTAGTAATGAGCGGGTTGAATCAAACTAGGGAGATTACGACTGGCGATAACAAGTACCTTCTCCAGTTCCTCCTTCGAGAGCCATTCCACGCCATCTAGATTGAGTTGCGCTTGACGTGCCATATCGAAGTCTTTGTGCGCATTTCCTGCTTCCTTCTCTGTGAACATGAGATCTATGTGTCCACCTTCTACTAGGTCGATATCGCTTGCCCAACCATTCTCCTTTATGATTTTGACGAGTAAAGAAGCGGTGTGTTGTTCGAGTTTATACGACTTAATTGCCTCGACCGTATCGAATAATGCCTGACGTTGAGCAAACTCGAGGAAAGCAGCCGGCGTAAGATGTCCACCATTCCTTCCTACAAACAATATTCTCCGCACAAGGAACTAAATAGATATGTAGTGCTCCACGCACCAGTCGCTCCTGAGCCTGAAATGAATCAGTACAGTACGATAAACTCACGATAAGCATAGGACAGACTAACAGAAATCTCTTGCTTCGAGTATCACGATTCTGAGCGGATTTTTGACAGACAGCGAGGCGTTATTCAAGAGTTCGATAAGATGGTACGCGACGCCAACGCCTGTGATACCAGCCCCGATGATGCAGACGTCTGCATCACTAGGCAGAGGATCTTGGCTACCTTGGCGAGCGAGTGGATTTGCGTCCGGAGAGGAATCGATCCAGAAGGAGCGGGTTGGATTGCGGGATGGAAGTTTAGCAGGAGTTGGAGGTTCCGATGGCGGTGTCTCGAGTACCTTCTGAGAATGTTCCAACTTACCGAGTATCTGAGGATTAACAGGCATTATTATCGACCAACTGAGAAGAACCCAGAAAACGAGAAAGATTCGCATCCGGTCTCTCATTTGGAATTTACAATTAGTACTCAAGTCCAAAAGATAAGATAAGGCCCTAGAATTCGGAACGAACTTGACGGTAAACCACAGACATCATGTGTGTGACCTTGTGTGTGACGGTCACGGCCGCTGGCAGTCACTTGGCTTTTGGTCACGGTTGACTTGATACATTTTCTTGTAGCTTCGAGCTCAAGCCTTTTGCATTCGCATATTCGGACGTTAGAAAACAACACGCGGGCAATTGACGGAATGGTAAGCAATTTGAAAGCAGAATTGCATGTACTAATATTCATTCGCTTTAGCTCACACGTCTATAGTCTACCGGACATGTCCGATTGTTCAAGTTGACTCGGATTAGTTACCAGATCTCGAATCTGCATTCCAGTTCTCACCAGCAGAATGTCGCTCAGTCCTTGACACTGCAATTGAGAAACCTTCTTCAGCCTTAGTGACATCAATCAATCTCGTCTCTCTCTCAGATCAACTTAGCCTTGCGTGGCAATGGACTGGAACTTATGTTAATCCGGAACCGACATCTCAGCATTTCAGGAGCTAATCATCACATTGGAAATAGATGGGTTATGCATTTCTCGACTTCCAACAACCCTACGGCGCCTCGAGATGATAGGGTCCTCATTCGGCCTCTGACACATCTTTGTTGACCACACCTGACAAATGTCGTGATCGCCATATCGATCGGTCAATTCTCTGCTTGCTCCAGTTAGGTTCCATCCTCTCGCCGTTAGCGATTTGCACTTCGCTCCGCAGACCTTAGGGCCATTTAGGCATATTGGACTTCAATCCTTACACATCAACAATGATTTTGCCCCCAACCTCGATTATCTGACTAGTTCGACGCACTCTCACTCCTCAATCTACGCACATTTGAACCCGGTTATATAGAATCATGGCCTCACTCGGGGCTCAACGCATTCCTGGCATGGTCAAATTGTGCCCTGAAGACCCTTATTTTGGGCGTTGGGGCTGGGACAACAGATGAGCAGCGAGTGGGATATGTTACCCTTGTTCCTTCCCTTGGAGTAGCGACTGACCCAATTACTTCACTTCTAGTTACGCATTGTTTTAGGGTACCGTAATCTCCCGAGTCACTACGTGGTTCCTTTTGAATAATGACTCATGGGATTGTCGTGACCATGGCATAGAAACACTTCTAGCTCTTGCCTGTTGATTCGAGCATGGACGAGCGACATCACAACTACAAATCCTTCGGAGCTGGATGTACATTTAATAGTGACAAGAGGTGTGGTACTTACCATGACATGGGACTTCCACGGAGCAAACTGGAATGCTTCTCGACCATTAGGAGTGAAAGAAATTAAATGTACTGAAACGTCGCCTGGTGCCTGCCATTTATTGATGAGAATGATAGTGAAGAATAGAGAGAGATACAGTCGGACTCCGTCTATGCTCAAAGCTCGCGACAGCAACATCAGTTACTTTCCCTCGGCCTTCGGGTCACAGCTACGATGCGCATCGCGCTCCTTTTGCTCCAACTGGTATTCCTGCACACGTCGTCTAATTTCCCTTCGCCGCTCCATCCCGTACTCCTGAGCTTCACTGCGAGCTTGGGTGAGGTTTTGAATTGCACTCCTGTGACGCTTATCGGAGCTATGATTGAAAAATATAGGAGCGACGCCAATGATGAAACACTTCATAGAAAGATTAAATATATAAAGGAGCCATAAACGACTGATTGGAAGAAAAGACATACCGCAGTGCCCACAAATATTATTGACCAGTCTTTCCATCTCTCATCTGGCCGCGCAGTCCACTCTCTCCCAGGCGTTCCATTCGCAAAGCCAAATGGATGGTTGTGATCAAAGTCCATCCCTGCATTCCTATGGTGCGCGCGTCTCCGCCGTCTTAACTCTTCATACATATCGGAATCGGACGGACTGCTGCGGAGTCCCGAACCAAGCTGTAAGCGAGATTTCCCAGTAAGAGCCTCATACGCAGCAGTTATGGATTGAAACCGGGCATGTCGTTCTGAAGCAGGGATATGTTGCGCATGAACAGAATCGGGATGATGTTCTCGGACGAGTTCATAGTCTAGGGATGCCAATCAGAAGTTAGTGTGAGTATGAGCGAGTATACAAACATCTTGACTTGATGTCAGCTTGAGATGCGCTATGGGAGAGGTGAAATATCTGGTGCGGAGTTGGTCGTGGGTGATGCGGGAATGGGTATTGGGACATGGTAGATGCGAGTCGGGAATGGATGAGAGCATGCAGACGTGCAGCTGTAGTTGGAAGCCTCCTTCGACATGATCCGAATGAATGCATGGCCATAGTTTTACCTAAGGATGTTGTCGGGACGGTTCATTGTAAGTCAAGTAGAGAGTGGCTCGGCATCTTCCGCAAGTGACTTGCGATGGGCAACAACACTTGGTTTGGCTTCTGTATCTGGGCGGGAGTCATGGCAAATTATGTCGTGAAGTTGCAGTTGTAGATATTATCAGGCACTATCCATGTCCAAGCATACTCGAAGAATTGGCGACGGCGATAGGTCCTTGAACGACAGTGACAACTACCTGAACGGCGAAGCGGCAGCACGGATTTCCATTAATCTCCAGCGGATAATCTAAACAAGTACTATTATATTGAGAAAATTGGACAGTGATGGGAACGCTCTGATGCGGCCGCAATATCCAGGTAAGCTTTAATTACGGACGAACTGGAGAGACTGGGTTGCATTGATTTGAGCTCATTCAATCATCCAGAATAAAACTCTCTCCAGCACCTACGGATGTGTCATTAACTACGGGGGAGACTCGGATACCATATTTAAGACCTGTATTAGAGTTCCAACAATCACTATTATTGAAAGTCGAATGTAAAAAGCGAATCATTCCTCGTCCATAGCATCGCCATCAGGCTGGGCGCTCTTCCACCACGGGACAGGCCCGAGTCCCTGTTCTGCGATAGAGCACTGCAGAAAGAATAATCAGCAAGAGCACGAGGCCCGTACCTGAAAGCTCACAATTATGCTATATGGTGCGCGCCGGGACTCTCGTTTTACTGCAATACCTTCCGATGCTTTTGGCGGACCAGGTTCGTCGTCATAAAATTCGTCAGCCTCAATGCGAACCCGCACTACTTCCCCTTGATCGATGTACATCCGGTCTGCCGTTGCAGATTCCAAAAGCTCGTGCGCGGTTGTTGCCTCTGAGTCTGGTAGCCAGAAATGAGCACGCTCATTTGGGTCACTGAAAGCAGCTGTGAGTAGGTTAGAGCGAACGGTGGTTCAAAGGACATACAAAGCGGATGGTTGCGGTAGATATGTTAGAGGTACATGAATGTCGTCGAAAAATCCTACGCTCACTGGTACAATTAGTATTTATGAGAGAAGGAAGGAGCGTCCATACATCGAATGCCATCTTCGTCTGATGACTTCACTTTAGCAAGGATCACTTCCGACGCGAATGGTCGAAAAACGACCATTCTAAACCTGACTATTCATCTGGATAAGTCGCAGCCACAGGACAGGCTAAAAATTCAAGCACGCACCTTTATACCATAAACACCCATCTCCGTATCGTACTTTTCCTTCACCGGCTTCTACCAGGTCGAACGCGCAAATACACAGCCCTACGTCATGGAGGACTCTATTGGCGTATTTTTTGTTTATTTCGGAAATGAGAGCTTGTGCTGAAGGCACACCAAAGTTTGCTGGCAGAATTGCAATAGTATCCTAAAGTAATAAATTAATGGATTATGGGACTGTTGAAGAAATGCTCACTTTGATTATGGACAGTACAAACATATCTTCAACAGCCTGTATATGAGGGTCCTTCTATAGTGAACGACCTTGCATGTCCAGCTCACGATCGTGTTTCATGAAAAGGCGGTTATCTAATCATTATTTTTCTCGGCTCCCACGTTAGACTGATAAGGTAGAAGTCACACAGCGACAAACCTCACGTGATAAAACGTCACAAATCGTGACAAATAGATCATGTGTCCGAAGTTGTGGATAGTATACACATTCTCCATTTCCCCATACTCATTCTCAAATATCACCGTAGTCATAAATGATCCCAGTTTGTGGCCGATAATTGATTTGAATATTTTTTATAGCTATTGGACAGGTTTGTCGTATCAAAATGTCTTGATCTAACATTGATATCCTATTTCGCAGTTGCCGCTGGCGTCGTGGTGGTATACGATTGGGGTGAGCAGGACAGTGTTTAAAAACTGCTGATCTTCTCATAATATTTCCAGCGCTAACGGTTGGACAAGAGGTAGGTCGATATTATTGCCAGAGCAGCCAACTCGCTGAGAACCGTGTCATAGATTGAACTTATCTGGGTAAGTGACGAGAGTTCTGTATCAGCAGAAAAAAGAGAATACTACGAATCCGCCAGAGGCAACGATGGTCACTCATGACTGTGCTGTATTTGCTTGTTCGTACCTCATGTTGTGCTATAGCGTGGCTGGCAAGTCGTGCTGAGTTCAAAATGTTCCAGATACGTTATATTGGAATACCATATTCTGTGTATGTATTGAGGCCAACAACTTGGCACCATGCTAATGCTCATATCTGTCGATTAGCATTGATATTCTGCGTATGTCTCACATGTGCTGCATTCGATTCCTCTAACCAGCGGCACACAGAAACAATGCCGTTAGTCTCACTAGGAGATGCAGTGAGTATTACGCCGCCATTTCATTCCTATTCAATGAATACACTCATATGTAGGGGTGAGAGCGATTCCGAACATTGAGCCTGGCCCGACATAATGACTATACAGATGTGAGTCGGTGTTTGTCTCCAATACCTGAGGCTGATCGCTTATCGGGTGTTTCAGGCAATATCACATACTACGCACTAAATGGGACAAATGTGGTTGTAACTGCCATGTTGGGTGGTGGGTCACCTAGCTGTGATACCTCTGTGATATTGACTCGACTGAAACATGATGCAAGTGATCATGATTGCCCGGTTACATGCCATGTATCAGGGATCCAGAATGATGCTTGTCTTCCTTGTTATCATGTTTCTGACTATAAACATCACCTGCGGGGTCTTGGTGGTAATAGTACTCAAGGATAGTGTAACGGATGAGCTCACTTGTCGATTTGAAGAACACAGCTCATTGGACGAATTCCAGATGAGCTGATACTCTCTGGCACGTATATGTTCAATTACGTGTTCGAGGGGGACTCCCCGCTTCTGTTTTCAACGATTTGGATGCTCTACACTGTTTGGGAGGTCCTCGCACTGTGTCTTTCAGCCTGGGTTGCTGTGAAACACTTCCGTAACCTGCGAAGACTCGGTCAATCGACAGGACTGAACATCGGGGACTGTTTCAGAGTGCTGATACAATCTCAGGTGCTTTATTTTTCAAGGTGATCTTGTCATGTAATTGTGATTATAGTTTTCTGCTAAAGTTTTGCGCGTGCTAGCTTTGTTTGTGTCTCTTGCTTCCAGTATGCTGTTAGCTCTCCAGTAATCTCTGTACGCTGACCTGTCGCTGACATCTACGTGTGATCATTGCCCGCCGTTTCTGCAGAATTCATATTCTACTGGAGTTCCGACACTCGATGGCGCTCTTCAAATTTTATTGGGCGTGCAGATGTTTGTGCTGGGACCACGCCTGATCCTAAGCGTTCGAGAATATCACGCGAAACTCGTGGCTGACTCTGACGCAGAAACTAGCATAAATTCGATTGTCTTCCAGGAGAATGTACATGTAACGACTAGCAGTACTGTGTAGAGACATACATGGCAAGTGGTCTGCAGGGAGGAGAAATTTGGTCGAGGATCCGTCGTAGTATTTATTTAACATATGGTGTTTCCAAGCATATGTAAATTGAGTGTATGTATACCAATCCATTTCTTGTTGTATCTCTACTGGAAATCCGTGAACTGCCGACCACACTTGCACCAAATGACAAGCTCAAATTATTCGGAACGTCTACATAGCAGCCAACTTAGTCCTTGACGCCGATAATGAACTACAATGAGAATCAGTATAAATTGCCCAATCAGCGGACTCCACGTCGTGTCTGGAGTTTCGACTGTAAAGCAGATAAATATTAAAAACCTGCTCTGTCAGAGTACCAGACCATTTGTTTTACATAATTTTATATTTCTTCATTTTGTCATCTAAAGGAGCAACTGATGTGACTGTATGTAGTAATACTAGTATGTATGTCGTGAACGACAAGGACCCTGTAGGCCTGAATGTTTGAAACTCGCTTACCTCCGGTTCGGACTGCTTCCGCGGGGTTAACCGATCCTGTTGCGCGTTCATAGTCGTCCATACATCTTTCTTTGTTCACTAACAAGGTGACCTCTGCTTCATTTCATGGAATTTTTGGTCTTCAAAATGAATGTACTCATATTTCTGCTTCTGCTGAAGATGTCATTTATCTATTAGCAAAGGGGTATATGCACTCGGATCGACCAGCCAGATCATCTGTGCAGCATCGAGCCCGAAAAGTGCATGAGCCACTAGCCCAAATCACCATCATTTTTATCTGATATCCGCTCGATCACCTCGCCAATGCACATCACTAGCTCGTCAGAGCCCCACTGTCCAACGACACTGACACCAACAGGCCAACCGTCGGCGGCTAACCCGGCAGGGACACTCACTGCTGGTAAGCCGGCCAGAGAAGCGGGAACAGTCATAACGTCCTGCAGATATGGACCCAGACCAGAGACTGCATCTGAGTCTAATCGAGGTGCGGTACGAATCGCAGAAGGATGCAAGAGAATATCTACACCATCAGGATTTGTCGAGGGATTGGATAGTTGAGCATTGGAGATGCGATAAACAGAGTCGAAGTCGGCCTTGATTCGCTGCCGGACGCGCTGAGCTTGAAGAAAGTAATTGTCGAATGCACTGTGACCAATAGTTTGAGTCAATGCTTAACAGAAGAACAAGATACACGTACTCAGCTGTGAGTGCATAAGTGCCAAGGAGGATGCGTTTCTGTACCTCCGCTCCAAAACCTGCTGAGCGTGCATGTGCGTACACATTGCCTGCTTTGGATTTATCTGCGCCAGGAAGCAGAGGGGAACGAGTACCTGGACAGGGTCAGTTGATGAGGAGCAGAGTTTTGGATATCATCCCCAACCATATTGAACCCCGTCATATCGCGCTAAATTACTTGACGCTTCTGCGGTTGCTATGACGTAGTATGCACTCAATGCATATGGTGTCGATGGAAGAGAGACGGGAATCAATTGAGCTCCAAGGGACAACAGTCGCTCTAGAACATTGCGGACTGCGGTCACGATAGTGGTGTCAAGTTCATGAGGAAAATACTCCTATCTCAAACTGTGAGCATGTCAAACGAACCGAGAGCCGAGACGGACTTGTGGTATCCCAATCCGAAGTGACGAGAGGTCAGGGTGAGACCGGTTCATATCCAGAGTTGATAACAATGATGCTGCAGAATCTCTTGCTCTCTCTCTTGTACGAGGTGTGGCTGCGGTAGGATCCTTTGGATCATATGATGAGATCGAGGCTGCTCGAACTGTCAATTCAGGTGCTCTCGATCATTGCTGTCATGTTCACCAAATACCGCCTTCACTGTGTTGATGGACTTTCCAAGCACACCGACACAGTCAAGGCTATCAGCAAAAGAAACCACACCCCATCTGCCGTCCATAAGTTTCTGAAAATATAATTTATAAAATCACGGACCTGCTGATGAGGCCATACGAGGGTTTCAAGCCCGTGATACCGCAGTATGACGCAGGAAGACGAACTGAGCCACCTGTATCTGTACCTAGTGCACTGTCTCCCAATGAGTGCTATGCTACTTCGATGACTCGGCAACTCACGCATCACACATACCAGCTGCAACGGCTGCAGCACTTCCGCCAGAGCTTCCACCCGCCGATCTTCGTTCGCGCTCGGCCCAAGGTATGAATTTTTCATTTGGAGAATGATACGGATTTACCACGGGACCATGGATGCTGTTCAGATTCAAGGACCTGAGTAGACGAGTTTTAGTGGCAAACTGCGCAACACAGTGGTAAGACTTGCCCCATTCCAAATTCATCGCAGTTAGCCTTTCCAATAATATCTGCGCCTCCCGCCTTTAGAAGTTGAACCGCCGTCGCGTCAAATGGTGAAATGAAGTCTGTAATAGAGTTAGAACAGAAACGAGGCACGCTGTTGGACATACGGCGAAGTATGGCTGACGAGCATGTTGTTGGTAAGTGCATTGTGCATATGTTGTCCTTGACTGCGAGTGTAAGATTATTCAAAGGTCCATGAGGATTAAGATCGTGATTTTCAGCTGGGAAGCTGACTAGCGCATTTGTGTGTTCATTTAGCGGTTGGTTCAGAGTATGTCCGGCATGGATTGCAGAGCACCGTGGATGTAAAGTTACAAAAGAACGAGCACGACAGCCAGCACAAGACCTGGATGGATATGCACGTGCTAATCCAACGCCTTTGAGTTGCATAACTTGGAAGAACCCCACTGCAGAAGTTACCAAAAGGACTTATTTGTGTCTGTTGTCCGAGACATTCGAAAATAAACGTTGCCAAACAAATCTTATGTACACGCCACGTATAGACAGACGCGGATCAATATGTTCACGGCGAGCAGTGCAACAAGGACAGATGGCCGAGCGGTCCAAGGCGCCAGACTAAGGAGTACCAGCTCATCAGATGAGCACGGAATCTGGTCTCTTCGGGGGCGTGAGTTCGAATCTCACTCTGTTCAAATGTTTTTGCCCGTTTGAACGACTGACGACCTATTGCCAAGACCAGCACTAGATGACTGGAGTCCGAAGCCTTCCCCAGTCTTATCCATCAAATTTCTTCTCTCGATATCGATTTTCAACGAGTGGAGCAACCTGAAATTGTATTCCAAGATCTTGTAGCACTTCAGGAACTCATCATTCCCAGTCATATCAGAGCTATCCCGAGTCTTCATTCGCACCCATATGGGCCCACCTGACAAAATTCGAGATCTCGACAGATACACAAGATGCATTCCTTCGTGATGCTCCGGCTATGTCTTAACGTCTCTTCATTAATAGCATTCTTCCAAAAACGTCCTTAAAGTGCTTTATATTTCCTTTTATTCTGTCCCCCGGTCCACTGATGTATGGGTTTCAGTTTTACCAGGATGCTAGCAAGGACGAAGAGCGATGGGCGTTCTCTCTCTTATATCTATATCATCTAGATGGCCGTGAATCGTACAATGTATCTTTTTTAGCATCCGAGTCAGTGGAATCAAACCAACATCTTTCACCCAGTCTACTTTTGGGGCATCGTTCGGATTCGTTCCGTATTTAAGCCTCATTCAACCCTGCATAGAACCTTGGTCGACTCAGCAACGAACTACATGTTGTGCTATCAACTACAAACCATGGTATGATGAATGCGAAGGTAGGGATATAACTCACTGTTGCGATGAGCCAGTGACCCAGGTTCCAGCTACTCTTCAAGGTCGTATGAGCAGAATCCCTATAAGTATTACAAATGGTGAGATATGGTGTTGAATCAAACAAATGATCCATGCTCACATCCACACAATTAAGAACATTACTGCAGCAATCCAAACGGGTTGTGCACGGCTGCATTGGCTGACTGCATGCGCTGACAGATACAGATGCTGTTAAAGCAACAATAGCGGCAAGGATGGAGAAGCGCATTTTCTGTACAGGATGATAAAGGATCTGATCTCGAATGATAACTCTTAGGTGAGTGGCCACGGTCAGAAACAGGCTGGCTTTTATACCTATGCATAGCAGCGTCCAAACCTTTGTGATCTGTAGATGGGATTGGCAAAATGGTGATGCCTGACGAATGGCAGGGCGCCATGGCACGAGTTTATGGATGACGCAGGGGTGCTCCCGGGTCACCGCACCTGAGGCTCCCACGTTGTCAAGCCTGTTAGACATTCCACTGTATCGGTGTCTCCGGTCTAAGTCGAGGGGCTTTGAGTAATTCCTACGAATAAATATGAATATCTCAGGGCCTTTGGGAGCTTAGTCTGGCGACAACCTGATACTGGTCTATTGATAGATGCCGGCGGCAAGGAAAGTCCTGTGCTTATGTCACAGTAGGATTGAACTTTCGTTGCTTACATAACGAGGTGGGGTTTAGTATCTAAGCCCGGTAGTACATAGAACATTGATCGACTCAGCAACGAACTACATGTTGTGCTATCAACTATGAACGTTATGAACCATGGTATCGTGAATGCGAGGGATATAACTCACTTTTGCGATGTGCCAGTGAACCCGGTTGCAACTACTCATCACTGATGTAATGGCAGATCTATGAGTATCACAAAGGGTGAGCTATGGTCTCGAATCAAACAAATGATCATACTCACGTTATTTTTACAGGTAAAAAAGTTACCGCAGCAATCCTTGGTGATGGTACATTTCTCGTTTAGGTAACTGCATGCAGTGCCAGTGACAGACACAGATGCTGTTAAAGCAACAATAACGGCAAGGATGGAGAAACGCATTTTCTGTACAGGATGATAAAGGATCTGATTCCGAATGATAACTCTTAGGTGAGTTGCCACTGTAAGAAGTGGGCTGGCTTTTATACCTATGCATAGCAACGTCTCGACCTTTGTGATCTGTAGATGGGATTGGGAAAATGGTGATGCCTGGCGAATGTCAGGGCGAATTTATGAATTCAATACCAGAGTTTGCCTGGGTCGCCGTATAAATGATCCAGAATTTATCATAATGAAATTGATGTAGGGTGGCTATAAGTATTGCATAAACAATGACGAACGCCGTAATGCATTATCTGCAGGCTTCTGGCCCAGGTGACTGTCTCGCATTGCGTCTGCAGGGCCACCTTTATCACACTTTTCTCTATCATTTCGTTTATCATCATGATTATCGTGTATGTTACAAAAATGCGTTGTGCGTCCGACCCGCCAGTCATCTAGTAATTCAGACCTTACTCCTCCAATGACGAATAAGCCACACAACCTGACATTACACCGTACTGTCTGTAGGTGACAAATCGAACATAGAAGTACATATAAGGGCGTCAGAGTCATGCATGTGCTGGTGGGTATGCCAGAGATGGAGATGCATGCGCGTGGCAAGGATGCGAAGGATACACACCTGAAGGCTGTAGGTGTTTTGGAGTGTTATCAGCATAGGAATTCGCAGCAGATGTAAGAGGCGCATACTCTTCCAGGACGATGTAGTATGCGGACTTTGTGTGCGGAACATCAACGACTCGATCGTATTGAAGGGTAACAGGAGGTTTAGGCACATTGGGGAATAGCACTGGCATGATGAGATTTACGACAGAGAAAACTTTCGGAATAGTAAACATCACCGATGATTACGGAAACATGCCTAAAGTCCAGACTCACTGAAACCACATGCATAGTAGAATAAGTTATGCTTCACAAAGATGGCGTACAGATCGCCCTTGGCCGACCTCCAGCTTTGTATGACACGTATGAGTGTGAGGGATACCAGTCCTGGGGCAAGCGTCAGTCAGCGTGTGTGCAATTTATCGTTCCAGCTCCTAGCCACACACCTAGTTGAAACACAAACAAAAAAATAAACAACATCAAGTATGAGACACCTTTCGTACTCCAGGAGCAGCCTGGGACGTCTGGTATCGCGCTAGTTGTAACTGTGAAAGTGGGGTGAATATGTGTAAACGATAGTCCGTTGAGGTGAGATAACAAACTATATGAGGTGGCAATAATGGCAAAACGAGTGCCAACGGATGTTACGACCATAGCCTGACTGATTCATCAACCATGAAATTGGGTGCGTTGAAGGTATGGGACTCACAAAAGCGGTGGACAACAGGCCCACAAGTACGATCCTATTGTTATTCCCGAGCGCGTATGTTCAGAGCGCAAAAAAACCTTGAATAGCATCAGTAATACGAGCGTGATGAGTAAGAAGAAGAAATACTTTCAGAGCAAGTGAGTGATATCTGGCTAAAAACTATGGGAGGAAAGAGTAGCGCTCGACAGGGAAGTGTATTATGCACGTACATGAGTAAATGTTGATCAATATCCGACATCTCCAACAAAATCATGCAGTGAGCGTTACTTGAAGTCTGTTGTATATCCACGTACATTGGGGTTTTCGCTCGGGATAAGGTTCACTGAAATATAAAATATAACATGTCAGTTTATTATTAGGAAATTTTTGTTGAAACCCATCAACGCACGACATAGGTACAGAGCGATGAGACAAAAGGGCAGATATCGTGTGATGATGTAAAGGGCTTTTACTTTTGTCCAGCGCGACCGACGTAGAAATTCCCACTTCGAATTGAACAGTGTTTAATTTTCAACCCGAGGTGTGTAATGACACGAGTTGGTACCTCTTCGTCAAAGGAACAAGCATATTCATAAATCTGGATAAACGAGCTTAACAGCGGACGGGATTCGGAAGAGTTGGGATAAGCCTACCCAGAACATTGTAATCGACACTGAGCTGTCACATTAGAACGAGGAAGAAGCATTTTAACAAGCACGTACTGTATAGGTACTGGTGGAACAATGGAGTGTTATCTTACTTTCGTGTCAAGAAAACGACGCACGGTTAATTGCTGCAGCCTCATGACCGCTGCGATATCGACTGCCGAATCCATCTGCGTTTGTTCGATAATCGAAGAAACAGTGTTCTCTTGCACATACGTCACACACCCTCTTATCTCTGAGAGAACCCAACATGATCGGGGCGTGAATATTGAGGACAGCATTCGAGCGGCCGGCTAAACTTATTGATTGTGATGGGGCGTACCATGAATAGCTCCGCACCTACGTAGCAGAGCTTGGTATCCACGGTATCCTGGGCCCCGGGTGGTCTAGTACCTCAAAGACTAGGGTGATTGACGGTCGCATCAAGCCATTCGTTTAGTGCCAGAGTTCTCCAGTTGTGCCAGGTAGATGTCCAAACAATTGGTCGGGCCATTGCACGACCTGTAATTTTTTGGTCAGGCATCAGTAAATTCACACTTTTCTTGGCCGCCCTTATTTGCAAAATTAAAACTTAATTATAGAGGATATTTGTAAATGGGTTAGGTACAATATGTGGTTTTGTTACCCCCAAGGGTCCCAAAACATATTAATGACTTGTGATCATGCGGGATTTCCGTTATCTATGTCTAAAAAACCATATATATAAGGTATTTTAGACCCATTGGACTCACTCACAAGCGTATATTTACCTCTATGTATATCTCTATAATATAACTTATCTTGTATATTACTATTCATTCGACAGATCACTTAGGCCGCCGATAGTACCGTCTGAACGGCGTCGTATACAATGGATTACATATAAAACACATACAAATATACAAATACAAATATATTTGTAGTCAATATGGCCGCCGTTGGAACGGTCTGGACGGGGGGACGAATTGTTGTAGTTGAAAATATTTCATACGAGTTATGCAGGCATGTTATTTAATTGTACTACGGTAGGTATATATATAGATCTACTATACGAGCGATATCACAGGACTAATGTAAATTATAATATAAATTCACTATGTATACTAAGATATATACTAAGATTACAACGATAAATACAGACAGAGAGATAATAATCGTCACGTGATTGAATCACATGACCATCGCTGAAACTCAAAGTACTAAGAACATGAGGCATAAGTAAGAACATGAGGCGACGGCGTAGCGTGCATGGGGCAAAGGGTCCAGGGTTATTAGAAAAGGAGCCGGATAGCGATAAAATCAATTGTTAGACACTTACCATCACATCGATTAAAGATCAGGACTGAAAATACATATCGACATGCCCCCCAAAGCGTCGCGCAAAGGGAAAGGAAAGAAATCTGAAGCAGCAAATGTAAGTGTACAATGGGTATACCTAGAATTAACAACACAAACTGATGATCAATGGGTGTAACAGGAAGGAGGAGGATCAAGCTTTCACCTTGACACCAGACCGGTGGAGGCAGTCGCTCCCAAGCACGATGCTGGGAAGGAAATCGAACGTCTGGACACCGAGGTGATAAAGAGCAAGGTCGGTGTCGCATGGATCAATATGTTGGCGATGGGCGAGCGTCTAAAGTTCGGGGTCTACAACGACCGGCCTGAAAACGACGCTGAAACGCACAAGTTAATACTATCGTTCAAGCGCCATGGGATCGTGTCCATGAGAGAAATGAACGCTATTCCACTCATCATTGAGATCGACCGCGTCAACAATGCGGAAACACTTCCCTTTGATTTTAGCAGCCCACAGAATGTACCAGAGTTGGAGCTCGTCGACATGAACCCTATCATAGTGGCCTCGGGACAGCATCGACTTGCAGCACTTCGACAATACCATCAAACATTAACAGATGAGTACAGGACACTCGAGAAGAAACGCGTCAAGATCAAAGAGTTGAAGAACCTGAGCGAGGAACACATACGCACCTTCAATGAGATGCGGGAGGAGATGGGCACGATAAAAGGAATTTCTAAGCACATTTTGTTAAATAGGATGGGGTTAGCCCAAGGTTATGCCTAACTCACATGTGCAATTTCACACATTTCTGGCATTTCTCAAAATGTGCAAACCAAGTGGTATCCATTTTACACATTTTGAGATAGGTCAAAAATGTGTGAAACAAAGGGTGTCCATTTTGCACATTTTGAGAAATGTCAAAAATGTGCAAAACAAAGGGTGGTCATTTTGCACATTTTGAGAAATGTCAAAAATGTGCGAAACAAGGGGTGGTCCATTTTGCACATTTTGAGAAATGTCAAAAATGTGCAAAACAAAGGGTGGTCCATTTTGCACATTTTGAGAAATGTCAAAAATGTGCAAAACAAGGGGTGGTCCATTTTGCACATTTTGAGAAATGTCAAAAATGTGCGAAACAAAGGGTGTCACTTTTGCACATTTTGAGAAATGTCAAAAATGTGCAAAACAAGGGGTGGTCCATTTGCACATTTCTGGCATTTCTCAAAATGTGCGAAACAAAGGGTGGTCATTTTACACATTTTGAGAAATGTCAAAAATGTGCAAAACAAGGGGTGGTCCATTTTGCACATTTTGAGAAATGTCAAAAATGTGCAAAACAAGGGGTGGTCCATTTTGCACATTTTGAGAAATGTCAAAAATGTGCAAAACAAGGGGTGGTCCATTTTGCACATTTTGAGAAATGTCAAAAATGTGCAAAACAAAGGGTGTCCATTTTGCACATTTTGAGAAATGTCAAAAATGTGCAAAACAAGGGGTGGTCCATTTGCACATTTCTGGCATTTCTCAAAATGTGCGAAACAGGGGGTGGTCATTTTCCCCATTCGCCTATTTCTCAAAGTGTGTAAAACAGGGGGTGGTCATTTTACACATTTTCAGAAATGTCAAAAATGTGCGAAACAAAGGGGGTCCATTTTGCACATTTTGAGATATGTCAAAAATGTGCATATCAGGAGCGTAAAAAGGAAGCAACAGATGCACCGGAAGATCATGCAGAAGCCAAATGCCATGTGATTAACAGTTCAACTGCTATTGATATTGCACACCCAGAAGGAAAAGATAGTGCCCAGGCTACTAGTAGTGGCTCAGCAGCAAACATACCTATGATTATAGTTACTGAGGTACAGTTGAAGGAATTAATGAGACCACCAGCAGGCACATTAGTGTTACAAGAACATCTAGATGCTTGGGCCCCTACCATTTTTCTCCTCATCCTCCTCATATCAGCCCTCGCGTCATACCCTTACCCCGACCTCACCCTCGTCATTTTTGTCATTCTCGCATTCCCTTTCGCCCTCTACCTGTCGCTCCAGCAGAGCCAGTACATTTGGCCGGATCCTTTTGCTGACGAAGCATACCCATGCTCCATTCCTCCACCTGACTGATCCTGTGGACAGTCCCCTTGCCCTTACCGTCCGGACAGTAACCTATGATATGATGCACGACGCATCCCCTTTGCCCTTTTCCCTTTCTTGATCTCTGACTCAGTGTGCAGTCGCACATGCGACTTATACTTAGATCCGCAGCTGCACGATCGTGCCCCTGCGCGTTTCACTTCTTATTTCGACCTGTGACTCACTTTCTTATTTAGCACGTTCTGCCTCGCCCGTGTCTCAACGCGAACGTGCTTTCCTTTTATGGTTACACCCTTTACTGTTTGCCTCTCTTGGTAGTACGAGTTATCACCCACTAATACGTCTCCTGTCCTCTATATAAACTCGCTACCATGTACTGTATTCCCTAACTTGAATCTACTTGGTTCTTGACCTCCTACTCTCACCAGAGTGATCCTTTCTGCCTAGCCAGCAGTCTATATTCTATCTTCTTATCTGCTCTTTGCGGATAAGCCTATAGTCTCGATCTTTACTCATCGACTTCGTCGACGAGCAAAGCCCCTGTTAACTAGTCAGACTTCTGTCCTTCTAATTAACGACGATCTTACGATTAACCTTTGGGTGTCATAAGCCTTGGCAGATACAGCTCATCGTCTAGCACCCGCTTGACGTAAGCTACCCGATTTGGACATAGGCGTCAAATCTTACTTGCCGAAACTCGCCAAGTAAGACCCCTAACCTTGGGCAAGCCCAAGGATGTCCTCGACCGTTGACAACACATGCTCTGTTTGAGTGTCGCCGACAGATACCATCCAAGTCATAACAATTAGAGAGGGTATTAAGGCAGAGGAGAGAATGAATTGGATTGAGCAATGGATTTGTTGATCAATGCCAATTATCATGGTGTTGGGTGTCATCAGAAGGTATTTAATATACAATTTGACAATGGATCAGCAGGTGTGACTTTCCTATAGCTATACTATATTAATAATTGTAATAATATTTTATGTGTGACCCTTCAGATGCAGAAGGCTATTCACGCTATGCTCCCATAATTCCTAAAGTCTGCTGTGACATCCATCAACCCCTTTGTTCACCTTATCTTCACTGACTCAACCTTTTGACCAGAACACAGCCATTGTTCCAGATGATGTGACTCTCTTTCCTGACAAGGAAGTCTGGTGCTGTGATTGGACAAAGTTTTTCATAAGTACTCTATTTCTTTTGGGCTCTTTCGGTGATTCTGACTTCCTTTTCTAGGAAAACTTCTCTTCTTGCCAGTGGGAAGCCGAGGAAAAGGGTGTCCTTCTTCCGATGTCTGGCAAAATCACTGTGAAGGGGAGATACTTGTGTCTCCGCCTTCCCAAAGGTCCAGGAGGTGATTTGGCTCATGAAGGAGGAGACCGCTGAGTAGGCCAAAGAGAAAACTGTGGAGGAAAAACGGAAGAGATTGGAAAATGAGGAGGCAATGAAGAAGATTGTTGAGGAAGAGGTCACTCCACTGGAGGAGGAGGCTGCCAGAGGTGAAGATGGTAATGCAGAAGCTTTGGGTGATTGGGTTGTTTGCCCTAAGGTGGATCTTTCCTTTCCCTTTCATATGTACTTAACATTTTTCCTCAGATGGTGTAGAGATTCGCACTACTACAGGCTTACAATGTGTCATAATTCAGTTCATATCACTTGGGTTCACAGCACCAACTTGCAACATTATTCCCTAGCCTTTTCCCAGCTATTTCTATATTAGGCGACACTTTCCCATGCACATGGTCCTCATGCGACTTTCCCGCGCTTTCATCGCTCTATCATCCAGGAGTATCCATCCACTGTCCAGCAAGTCTCACTGGTATGTATTTTTGCATTTTAGTCAATATGGCACCATATTAGAGCATGGACCCTGACTTACATACTTTATTACATCCATTATCTCACACTCGGCTCACTCAGCAAGACACATATATAGGTCCGCATTTTTCACTCTTTACTACATTACACCACACCTCACCTTACCTTATTGGAGTTTCCCTATCATGTCCATAGCTAGAGTCAGAGGTTATTAGCAGTCCTTTAGTAGTCATTCATTGAGCCCTTGCTTATTGCATTTCGCATTTTCGCTATTTCACATTTCGCGTTCACGCACTTTGTGCACACATCGCTCGCTTTGCACAGCTGCCACACGACTGTGGATTTGTCTTCCTTGCTTCCCCTTAGATCAAACACGCTCGTCCCTGCAAGTATAGCACCCTAGGCATCACACTAGACCACTATATCAGCTTCTTGTGTCCTTCCCTTGGATTTACCATTTGACCAGGAGCTGAGTAGATTCACCTTCAACTGGAGCCCACTGCGAGGGGAACAGTTGACAAGTCTGCTATCTGCGTTTTTGCTTGTTTCACATCTTGCACCTTCACATTTTCGCTTGTATCACCCTTGCACTTTTGCGCTTATAGTGTGCAACTTTCCCACACCTCACCCCACCTTTGCACGCAGCCATTTCGCACCATAGGACATGGAGGAACTACCAGTAGACATGTTTGGCATGCCCTGGCGCGATAGCAGCATAGCTCCGCATTTCATAGGTGACTCTGCTCAGCTTCTTGATGCACTGGTCCATGGAGGGGATGAGACGGGGGGTGCTGCTAAGCAAATGGCAGCCTGATAGCATAGATTTTGTGCATGATGTTTGAGAGGGAGAAGTTTGGTGCACATGGCTCCTGTAATACTTAGGGCTGCTGTATGCTGAATCCTCTGTAAGTGATTCATCATCCCTATCGAGCCGCATTGAGCTACATCTTAAGTTCCTACAAAGAGAGGACAAAGCCAAAGGTCTACTGCATACAACATCTTTGGAAGGGCTACTGTTAAATATAATTGACACATCAGTGATAGTGGTATTCCAGTGACCCCCAAGAATTTGTGAGTAGCGGAGGGAGTGATTGTAGTATTATGGGTTATGAGGGGTGGATGCTCTTTTGCTGCATTCATCAAGATATCCACTAAGGCAAATTTTGAAGTCTCAAATTTTGAGTTATGGTCTCTAGCCCAATTGTATCCTCCTCCAGGCCTTTCGAGCATATGCTTGAGGATAGTGTGCATTTCTCTGAATGATGAACCTATGGCAATAAAGGCTGTATCGTCGACGAAGGCTAAGGTTCATTCTTTCTTGTGGTGTCCTGCCACTATATCTACTAAGTCAGAGTCATATATGATATATAAAATCATAGACAGCAGGTCCCCTTGACCAATGCCATTCTTAATCTGAATCCAATCTGAAAGGTGGCTGTCAAATTTGAGTTGCATTTGGTGAAACCTACAAGGGATTCAGGTAGGCTCCATGACCTCATGTTATGCAGGAGGCAGTCAGTAACTGCATTTGGGAATGCGCTCTCTATCTAGGAACAATGCTGAAACAACTTTCCCTTGCTGCCATGCATCCTTGATGGTCGCTTCAAGGAGGTGTAGTGAGTCAGTTGTGGACCTTCCGGGGCAACCACCAAAGTGAGTGCTGGGGAGTAGATTTTGATGTTCTAGGAGGTACATAATTTGGTTGGTGACTACTGCCATTAAGAGTTTGCAGGTCATATTCAGCAGGGCAATTGGTCGGTACACCTTCGTGACAGTGTAGTCGGGCTTTCCTGGTTTTCACAGAACCACTGTCGTGAAGTCGCGGTTAGTTAGGTTATGGGGCCTCCTAGGATTGCTAGGATTGACTTT